TACTGTGCCAACTCAACTGCCACCGAACGAGAGAGCACAAGGAAGAAGGTTCATGGATGGGTGGACCGCCGCCAGCGCATCGAGGCTATGGCCAATCGCGCATGCACGAGCCGCCAGAAGACTGCCCGGTTGCGAGGCATCGGAACAACCCTGCCACAAGAGGCAGAGGAGCAGCTGATTCGATGGGTGCATGGTATGCGCAAGACGGTATACCTGTCACGTACGCAATGCTCAGACTCATGGCATTAGAAACTGACATCGACGTGGGTCTGACTGAGGCCGAGTTCAAGACCGGGTGGCGCTGGATCCGTGGGTTCAAGCAGTGCAATAACCTCATGTTTCGAACGAAGACACGCGTTGGCCAGGACACGAATGAAGATGGTGCTCGAACCCTTGAAGCGTTTGCCGAACGTATTCACGGCGTCGTGGCAGAACATGGGATGGAGCGCATCTACAATGCGGATTACAGAGGGGTGAACTACGAGTCCCTCCCGACGAAGACGCTCAACGAGGCCGAAGAGAACACGGTGTGGGTGAAGCGCGGCGGGAAGCCCAAGGACAGAGCGACGGTCATGCTTCTGGCGGACAGCACGGGCGCCAAGCACCCGCTCTTCTTGGTCCTGAAGACAACGAAGTCGACCGTCAAGGAAGTCGTGCAAGAGAACCTAAAGAAGAGTTAAGAGTTTGGCAAGAAAGTCTGGAGGGAGGTGCTACCTCTGCAGCGTGCGCACCGGTGCCAGATCTACGGGAACTCGGCAGCATGGTGGAATGCAGGGATATCTCTTGCGTTCTTGAAGTTCCACTTTGCTTCGCGCGCGGACCGGGCAACGAAGAAGGTCATGCTGATCTGGGACGACTTCAGCGCGCACTTCACCGAGGAGGTCGTGGCCTACGCTGAGAGTCTGAATGTCGTGCTGGAGCGTGTTCCGCCGCGATTTACCTGGATATGCCAGCCAGCGGACGTCGCGTAGATTCGTCCCTTGAAGGTCATGCTGAAGGTCATGCTGCGTGCCCATTGGCTCAACGAACTGAAGAGACAAGTGCGGCTCAGCAAAGCAACGGGGTCAAAGTTGGTGCTGCGTGGCCCCTCTCGCTCTAAGATTGTGTCATGGGTGACTGGTGTGTGGGGTGACTTGCCTGTGGCCACCATTTTGATTGGTTTTCGCAAGTGCCATTTGGTGAGCGGTCCTGTCGAAGAAGTTGCTGGAGATGTCCCTGTTTTGGATGATGACACACTTGGTGACCTGTTGACCAACATGGCCATCGATGACACCATTCATCCAGATGAAGCTGAAACGTCTGAACAAAATTAGGACAACTCAATATATTACCTGTCCATTTGTATACAATATTTAAAGTTCTCTTCCTCTCAATTGTTCCTACCGTTGAAAATTAATTTCACTTCACAGCTAATTGTTTAAGGTGTTGATTCGGTGAAAATCCATATATGAAAGTTTGTACTACGTAGTATGTCCAGTTAAATTACACAACCTCACCCCTTCCCGCCGTCGGATAAATGTCCCGTGACTGTCCAGAATAATATACGCTACACGGTATGCCAAAACTCGAAATGAGATTTTCTAGTAAAACAATACTGCGATGGCATATTGGCTCACAGGGAGTGATCATAAATTGGTAAGTGATCATAAATTGGTCGGTCATTAAATATTCGGGACTTGAAGGAGGGAAACGAACGTAAAAGGGGAATAAGAAATCAGGAGGATATGCATCCTTGATATCCATGATGGTAGATATGTCGAGCTTTGGGTGGTTTCTGGCCATCCCAGGGTGGGTTAGCTGCCATATCACGTTATGGATGATTCAATTAATTGAAATGACAACACTCTTGCCAACTTCGTGGCTACAATTCCTCTCCGAGTGGCATCGCAGTTCCCTTTGTATCGGGGGTATATTGCTTACGTTATTCATTCCATTCTGCTTGTTATACTTGTACGTTGAACCTCGTCTTCTGGTTATCAGAGGATAGCATTACAAGAGTCCGCGCAATGGACATTATCCCTTGTCATGCTTGTGTATGCTGTGTACCACCACACATTCCTTTCTTCATATCCACAGTGCAGCAGCTTCAAGTAAGCGTGTGTGGTATTGTGAGTCACAACCTGCATACATGACGAACAATAAATAGCCAACACAATCCAAAGTTGTTGATATGTACATGTATGCAATAGTTGTAGTAGTAGTAGTAGTAGCTCAAGGTAGCACTATATCGTCGTGGTCAACCCTAAATGAACTCGTCCTTCTTGGATTTGTCGGGCTGCTTGTCAAAGAGTCCGTCGGTGGGGGACACTTGGGTCTTAGGGTTCTTGGGCGATCCGTTAATGTGCTTGTTGGGGCTATCAAGTACCACCTCGTCCAGCTCGTCGTCAGCTTGCTGCTGGAACTGTTCTTCGTCCGAGTCGTCCGTGTTCCACGCATCCGACGGCGTCGCAGTCTACCCACGTCATCAACATCATCAGCACTCTCTCCATCCTTGCTAGGATTTCATGCACTTACATGGGCCAGTTCCAAGTGCTTGCCCGACGACCCACCGCCGCCGCCGCTGCCCCCGCTGCTCGAGCCTTGAAGGAGGTATACAATGCCACTGATCGTGATGACCCCCCCCGCGGTAAACATGTACTTTTCCACCGACGTCATGCTCACATACTCTTCAAAGTACATGATACCTCCGAGCACACTCATGAGGATCCAGAAACTCTGGTACACGGGAATCACGACAAGTGCATCAAAACGTTTGAGGCCGCCATTCAGAAACGAGATCTGGCACAACAGACACGTGACGAGGCCAGCGATGATGACATACGTCGTGACGTGGGCAAACGCGTCGGCGCCGTCGCCCCAGATGGCTGACTTGAGCAGCTCCACCGTCGACTTGGCCAACAAGACGCTCTGACCGCCAAACGTGCCGGCGATGCCGCCGTAGCACACGATGTGGAAGAACCCGTCTTCGTACACGTGGTTAGTCTCGATGTACCGTGTCGCAGCAAACATGGTGAGGAGGAACAGCACGACACACGTAATGTACGCGTACATGACGGGGGTTTGGTAGAGCAGGATGAGGTCGTCCAGGTCGTACGTGGGCGTGGAGTGGCCCGCAAAGATGACAGTGATCGTCACGCCGACAAAGATGATGGCCGTGGCCACGAGGTTGCGGCGGGTCACCTTTTCTTTGTGGAAGAAGGGCGCGATAAACATGTTCCAGACTAGGGAGAGCGCGGCGAGCGGCGCCAGCAACGTCTGCGGCGCCATGCCGAATGCGACAAAATCCAAGATCGACCCGAGGATCACAAACACCATCCCGAGCACCCACAGCGGTTGCTGGAACGACGTCTTGGTCGAGTTGGCATTTTGGGACAGCGAGTACTTCTGCAGGTTGATGCCCACCGAGTTGAGAATCGAAAACACGAGCGAGATGGAAAACCCTGCGATCCACATGCCGACGGCGGGACCCTTGTAGTCGACTTGGAAGCATTTCGGCGCCGGTTCGAACTCGTCCGCTCGCTGGCTGGCGCAGAATCCGGCCATCTGTGGACACTGCTTCTTGACGCTTTCCGTGCATGACTTGAGGCACAGCCGGTTGTAGTCGCTGCCGATCTCGCACACGGGGAAATGGAGCGCGCACTGCAGCCGGCGCATGATGATGTGACACGGATCGGTCTCGTTGAGGAGGAACTTGTTGGATTGGGCAAACACGGACGCAAAGCCCGAGAACCTGCCGCCCGCGTCCACAAACGTCGTTCGATTCGTGTCTGGGTTCATCATGTTGATGAAACCCGTCGCGGCCGCAATGTCCTGCGCCTCCCATGAATCCTCCGTGCGGCACGTCGCGAACGAGATGTGTTTACAGAACCCAACGCCGTCGGGGTTGCCGCACGAGTTGGGGCATTCCGTCGCGGACACCAGGGTACGTCCAAGCAAGGCAGCTGCGCACGTCAAGGCTAGCCATCGTCGCTGCGTCTGTGCTTCCATCAAGACGCTCGTTGTTGTGGGGAGTCGTTAAGCGGAGGCGCGGCTGCCGTGTGGGCGGTGCTCGATCTGTCGGTCGAGTAGGAGTATTGACTTGCGAAACGAACGCACCAAGACAATTTTTATCGACGTGGATTCTGTATTGTTTCCATGAAATAGTATTATTCGTCCACTATTGTTTGCTTCATACATATTTACTTGAAAGAATTAAAATTCAGAATTTCCATCGACTCGATTAAAAAAGTGAAACCCCACTTTTTTTCGAGTATGAGCCACCGAATTTCATTGAGGATAACAACCATCAAGTTGTAGCTGCTGCTGCTGCTAGGACTTCATACTGCTGCTGCTGCTTAACATCGTACACCAATCCTTGTGCTAAGTACATGAGGTCATGCCACTCAAGGTTGGGCTAGTTAGAGCCTTGGATTCAGCATTTGGTCGGCTTCCATCACGTTGGGATGATTCCTTTCTCGTTAGTGTGTGAAATATGTTTTCGCAGGTATTTAGTGTAAGTCTATTCTGACAGTTTCATTCCGAGATGGTGGCTGCAATGGCTGCGGGAAGCGTTGCCGTTGCGGTGCTCATAGTTCTTATTGTTGCCACTTGGAGCACATACTCCCCTTCGATGATGGGACGGGATAGAATGGACGGTTTGACGGCGGACGCCTTGGCCACACAAGTCGGCGCCATCGTGTCGGCTAGCAGCACAACGTTCATCCTTGTTCGATCATTGGGGGCCAAGGAAAAGCAGTATCGACGGCATCCAAACCCGCTCTTGTTCTGGAAGGCAGCCGTGGATGGAGTCTACGCGCTGCAATTGTGCGCTCAAACGCTGCACATCCGCCTTGTTCCAGCTGTCCTGTCGGCGGCGATGATCCAAAGCGCCTTGTACGCGTCCGAGAGCTGGTTTGTGCTCATCTCGTACGATCTGTACGCATGCGGCACGAATCCATTCCAGAATACAGCGTACAGCATCCGATGGTACCACGCGATTGCATGGAGCGTGGGTGGCGTGGCCGGGCTCGTGTCATGGCTATACATCGCCCCGTCCGACCGCGACGACATAGTCGAACATGCCAGGGACGTGATTGGTGCAACAGAATGGACCCTGGGCTTGTTTTACATATATGTAACACTGTGCGTTCTCTGCGCATGTGTGTTCCTCCTCTTGGAGAACCAATCGCGACCCCCCGTCGGCGGCATCAAGGAAGCGCTGCGAACGCGGAGTTCGATGCTCCATGCATCCCGCACGTTTACAATCCTCTATGGCGTGTACCAATTCGTAGCGATTGTGTTGTGGGTGTTGCTGACACTGTCATCGGTGGCGGCGTCGTGGCAAGTGCACGTCGCGTTCAACGGGCTGGTCGGGGCCAGGGGGTTCATGGATCTGGTGACGTGGCATGCCATCAACTCGAGGTCATTCGTGTTGCACTCGCCGTCGTCGTCGCTGCCGGTGGACGCCACTAATCGAAGCGTGAGTGGAGGAAGCGACTCGTTCCTGGATGGCGTCATGTCTTGGAATCCTGAATTCAACGTTGCCTTGCGCAACGAAGTATTGCATTTCACCACGCGTGGCATCGTCGCAGCTTCACTCTCCACGACCAACACCGCCTCCAACCAGTCCCATAATTATCATCGGCGCATCCAGCTCAACCTCCACGAGCTAGGCATGCACCTGCGGTACCTCGTTCCTATACATGCCTCTAATCCCCATGTGTCTGACGCTTGATCATCTAGCTTTGACTCGTACTACCCGCACCTGTTCCAAGACGTCCGCCGCGGCTACCGCTTGGATGAAGCCTCGTATCGCGAGTCGTTCATGTCGACATGCCACGAACGAGTCGGCCACGGCGGGTCGAGCGGCGCGTTTATGTTTTACACTGCCGACTATTTATTCCTTGTGAAAACCATCACCAAAGCTGAGCGCCGCGTGCTACTCAAGATGCTGCCGGCGTACATCCAGTACCTCAAGAGACACCCGCGGACACACTTGACGCGGTACTATGGCTGCCACGCCATCCACATGTACCGGCAACGGTTTTACTTTGTCGTGATGAGCAACGCCATGGGGCGAGTGAGTATGCACCAGTCGTTTGATCTCAAAGGATCGTGGATCAACCGCCATGCCAAGGTATTAAACATTACTGGTCGCGATTGGTTTTGATCGTGTTTTGATATATTTAAATCGATTTGATTGGCGACTTCAGATCAAAATTATGAGCCAATCTAAACCCATTTTTCAATGCAATTCAACCAATCAGATCGATTGTGGATCGGTTCCGTCGGCGCGATTCGATTGCATCCGCTCCCCAAACTTGTATCAAATCGACAATAGGCATCATGCCTTTAATTGTTGATGTGGTGCATGTAACGTTAGTCGTGGTTTGAATACCAAACCCATCGGTTGATATTTGATTGGCCACTATTTTGCTTCGTGATCTGGGTTTTGATTGGTTGGTCGATTGTCTGTCGATTTGGTTATTCTGGTCATTCGATTGAGAGCACTAGTGCAATTTCATGTGAATCGACGGGACAATCATGTATCGTGCTTTTCAGTCAAATTTGCCTATTTTGGGGGATTGATGAAATCGCCAACTAATCGAGAAAAGGAGTATGATTGGCTACAAAGAATATAGGTTGCAATTTGATTGGCTGAAAACATTGATTATTGCAGACAATTGCAGTCACAAAGATACCTCTTTAACTTGGTTTTATATGAAATTTCGAAGGTCTGACGATTGTTCGGCGGTTCCCGCCACAGGAAATTTTGCACACAATATTTGCACGACATGAAAAGAGCTGGTGTTGGGTAGTTTTGAGATATAGTTTCGTGTTGATGTTTTGAATTTAATGCGATAACGTTACTCGCTCACATACTGTATGTATGATGAGTCAGACCACGCCACCTGGAGACCCCGAAGTTTGTACATACTGCGGCATTGCGTTTCCGTCGGGATCCAGGTAAGCAGTAGTATCACAGTGTATGCTGCTGCAACATAATACTAGTATATATATAATATGCAATGCACAATTGTACTGACGATATATATATATGTTTGAGATGCATTTTCTTGACACTTTGACGTAGACTGCCGTGTGGTCTGAGCATCCACGGCATGCACTTGCCCCATCGAGTACTAAAAGACAACGACTTGCAGCGAAAGTTGCAGCTGGCGCCTTCAACTGCCCATGAAATTGTAGCCCAACTGGCTCTTGACAGCAACTTTTTACGGGACCAAGGGATCACCGACTACAGTTTGCTCTTGAGTGTGCACACCACCCAGTTCACAGTGGACGCCGATTCAATTCACATGACTCCGTCCAGTCGACATCAACATCGGCACCTCCACCACCCTCGTCATCCGTCTAGCCCCCACAGTTCTGGCTACATGTCGACAGCAACTGCACTTTGCTTTCCGGTAGACACCACGCAAACTGCGACAACGTCGTCGTCGGCTGTTACGGCAACATGCACCTCGTCGCATCCTGTTTGTTCGTGTCTGGGCACATCTAGCGGACACAGCCGTGGCGGCAGTGTGGAGACCACCACCAGCAGCAGTATCGTCCTCGAAAACTGCGACACTGTACAAATGGCATCTTCCACTCGTACATTGACCTGGTTTGCATGTGTAGTCGCCGACTGTCGATTCGTTTCACCGAAGTTGCCGGTACTCGATCCATATTGCCGATGAAGACGACGACGTGACGACTCCATTGGCGGCGTCATATCGCAAGTCCAGCTTGGACTTTGGTACGTTTGAGAAATCTCCTTGGATGGGCCTGCGGGACACGACCAAATCCGGCGTCAAGGCGTCGGCGGTGGTCGGCCCAGATTTCTACACACTTGGAATTGTCGATTTGCTGCAGACGTGGACATGGCAGAAGCGCATGGAGCGGTGGTGGAAGGTATATGTGCTACGTCTGGATGGACGAGGGATCTCGGCCGCGCCGCCGGCGCCATACGCCGCCCGGTTCCAGACCAAAATGCGAGATATCTTGCTGCCACATGGAGCAACTGCGACGATCGAAAAGCCAAATATGGCCACGTGTAGTAGTAGTACATATGCGCAAGTGGAGGATGCGTACGACACAAGCGTGACATGAACCGAAACAGCAACGTAATCGAGTCGTCTTCCTTGTCGTTGCTGTGTTTCGAAGGTGGAGGATCGTTAGGTGTCTGCAGTCTGAATAACATTTGAAAGAACGTGATGTGTATGCAGAAGTACAAGTATGACAAGTATGTACGCTGAAAGTCGAATGATGTCGTGTTACCCAAGAGTTACACTACAGGATGATGGTGTGTGTATTTTGCTTGTTTAACTATCTACTAGGTACGTAGTATAGTACTAGTGCATGTATTAGTATGGGTAGAGAGATATGATTCTGGATTCGGCCCAGACCACCGAATCGAATCACGAATCGACGCTAATTCAAAACTGAGTGGATTTGATTGGCTCTTACAGAAAAGCAGACAAATAGATTCAACCAATCACAACTCCAGAGTGATTCAATATTGATTACTAGTCAAACCACGCGAATTTTGCAAGTTTATAGCGACTTCACAATCATATAAAGCAACTTTATTTTATTCTTACGAAGCGTGTTTTTATTGTTTCCCGAGGGCTTCGTATTCTTGCAGCCATTGCAACGCCTGGAATCCGTTGTGGATCTTGACGGCGTACTCCATATCGCCATTCGCATCCACGTCCCCCAACGCTAGCAACGTCGACACGTGCTTGGACGAAATCTTGGGCAGCGCATTCTATATAGATATACATAAATATATATATATATATATATATATAGATACGTATATATTAATATATATAGATACATATATAGATACATATATATAGATAAATATATATATATGTACTTCGAAGTATATATATATATATACAGTAGCCACGACATTTGCCAAGACGTAGATCATATTATTTTGAGATATATATGATAGGACCAACCTGGATCGCTTCGACGACTTCGTGGCGCGGCACACTGCCGCGATGCGTTTCATCAATGGCTTCAAACGCAATCCCCAGCGCATTCTACATTCAAATTAGTGCATCAATACATAAGAGTCGTTGTCGTGCTAACTATTTGGTACAGTGTAAATGATAGTGCAAAGTAGTGCCAATACCTCAAACTCTTGCTGGTTCATGCCTTGTACGGTAAAGTACTCTTCCGTGCTACGGTACGCCGGGACGATCTGCGCCATCTTTGCCTGGTGGTCGTAGTCGATAAAGCTCAACGCCATGGGCGCAATGTTCTTGACAAAGCGGTCGTACGCGACCGAGTCGTCCTCTTCTTCTTGGGCTTCCGACATGAGCGCGATGATTTGAATGCGCGTGAGGCCGAGGCCCGCCGCCCGGAGAAGCGTTTTGATCGCGGCAAACGACAGCAGCCCCGTGCCGTCTTCGTCCCCGCTATATTAATGCATGTTGTTGGTCTCGTTATTGTTGTGAGCGACGATGTAGTAGTAGTTAGTAGTTAGAGTAGGCTGGTTGTACCTAGACAATGCCCGAGTTAAGACGATCTCGATCTGGTCTTCCGTGCGCGGCATGTCGAGCAAATCGTTGGCTGCCGCATGCACCAACACGTCAAAAACGATGGGAATCACGTCGCCGTACGCGACGCGGCCGCTCTCGTCGCTCGGGGTGTCGAACAGCACCAAGTTGGTTTCCTTGCGAGTGAGCCCCAGGTCTGCGTCCTGCACAGAAGGATATATAACATCGTTTTACAACCAGACGCATGATTTTCCCCATACAAAAGTGTGCAATATATATATATATCGTCCTGGTGTACCGAAAAACACTAGTTTGGTGATTATTGCACATGGTTACAATTGAAACACCGGGATTTAGAAGGCCATGAACATTGGCCACGGTGACTGCACGATATTCGACGGGTTTTTACCTGGAGACACCCCATAAAGTCGGCACGAGTCAACGTGCCCGTGTTGTCGATGTCAATATTATGAAGGATTTCTCGCAGCAAGCTCTCAAACTCTTCGCGCAAAAGGCCATGGGACAGACTGTTCGACGTCTCCACGACCAACTCCTTGGACGCGCCTGCCACGTCATGCGATTCAATGTTCTACGACGTAGAGGATGAAGGGCATTCAGGAAGTCTGGGGTGTCGTCTTGCGTACCCGCTTCTTTTTAATCGTTGAAATGACTCGCAGCGCCGACGGAATGAACGCTAAACCATGGCGTCGTGGTGACGTCAGCTGGACGTTTGGAAATGCATGGAAGGGACAACGTACCAGCATACGAAAACGTGCTATTGTCCAACTCGTCCGCTTCCGCTGCGCATTTCTTGCGTTCGAGTGCGCTCAAATGCAAGTAGTCGCCCATTTCGTGAAAGACCTTGGAACGCGTGGGAGGAGTTTACGAACTACGTTGGATTGCTGGGGAGGTACCTTTTTGAAATCGCATTCGTCCAAGTTGCCGACGCTGCCCGGATCGGACGCACGGAAGATTTGCCACATGTATTCTTCGATTTCGTCGTCCGACATGGTCATGTACACTTCCTTTTCGTCCTGGGCGCCGTTGTTCACGCCTGCGTTCTTCTCCGTGACCTCGGTAAAGTACCGGATCCCGTACTGCAAGATGTCGTCGCGTGTCTTGATCTTGTCTTGGTGACGCAGCACTTCCCGCGCAAAGTTGCGCAGCATCTCAGGAAACTCCGCCGGCACTTTGATGTTCTTTGCATACCGAGATGCCATGATGGTCCGAACCAAAACAAAGTGTTGTGAAATCCGAAAGGTCGCGGGATACCTCGTATCCGGATGTTCGTATACGATTATATCCGGAAATGGTACGGATAATACCAGAATTTTGGATCGGGCAAGAATCACAAATCCAACGCGGGAGATTTGAATGTGCCACACCGCTCAAGTGTCCGTGCGGAGCACTCCTGCGGCGATCGAAGCGATGGCAGCCCGAGCCAGTCTTCATGCACATGATCAGGGCAAAGACACAATTCCGTGTGCTATGGTCGTGCAGTGCCGGAATCACAGCACTACTGACGATGTCGCCGTGAATCGGTTTCGACCTTGTGAGTACATGCCCGTGGTAGGGATCGATATCCTTGATTTCGTTGGTTGAACAAGATGTGGCCAGGTGCATCCCGTCAACTTCTTGACGAATTTGCAACTGCATGACATGGACTACTCGGTCATGCTGGTCGATTGTGCGCATGGGTTCCATGCCACGTTTCCTCATGTCGCGATCTTGTCCAAGCAACTTCCGCACCCCTTTGGTCCATTCGTAATAGGTAGTACATCGTGCTTGCTTCTTTGAATCAACCGAGACATGCAACTCCTCACGCTTGTCTTTGTAGGAACGATATACATGAGCTACGTAGGTACGACAACTTGCGTCGTTTTCATCGATCTATTTCCACGCATGACAGACATCCCCTTGAGAGTCTCGAGCCCTACCTCTCGTCAAGACGACATTTTGCATCAATGGAGCCACGAGTACTACATTGCCACGATTGCGGTGGTGTTGGTCTCGTTGATGTATCTGACGAGCAGCTGGCTTCGACGTCGCCAGGCCCCGGCAGCATCGGGCCCCCGTGCTGCAGTCACCTCGTGCTCGTGCATCCTTTGTCACCTCTCGACGTGGACAGCATCCCCATCCCATCCCATTAACGACGAGGATGCGCCTGAACTGTCGTTGCTTCCTTCCATCAGTAATGCCAAACGCGATGAGCCACGAGTTGGTGCCGGCACACCAGCGACCAACCTGAATACACCGCCACGCCACGTCATTGCGGCCGATTCGTCATCCACTTCGCTGTCAACACCCATGCCATCAAGTCAACCAAGCGACTCGCGCCGCCCTGTAGTCGCTTTGGACGACGACGTCATCGCCATAACTCCATTGCAACAACCATCCCTCGACCATCCCACGAACCTCATGCTTCTCGCGCGTGACATTGGTCTCATTGGTACGATGCCTTATTGCTCTTACAAACACCTTTTTTTATTTTAAAAATAATATTATTATTTTTAGATTTTGTACAAATATTATTATTTAATTATATTATTAAATCAACATATATGTGACACTGTTCACTTCATAACGTTAAACAAAAACGATGGACAGTCGACGACTCGTCTACGCTTGTCACGTATGACGTGGAAGGGAGCGACGTGCCGACGGTAGCGCCGCTGCTGCCCGAGGAAGGTGCATATATATATATGTATATATATATGGCCTGATGATCTTTGCAGACGAAGTGTCGTGGCGAGAGTTCTTTGACAAGCACATTTACGCCAAGAACTACAACGACGGCGGCGGTGACACCTCTGCACTTGATGACAAGTCGTCGACGCAACGCAAGGCGCAAAAGCTGACGCTGGCCACCACCGCCACACGTTGCTCTGACCACGACGACGAGCACGGATTGAGCGACTTGTGGTGACAACTCCCTTCTCAACCACAAGGTTTTATCCATATCCGACATGCTCTCATCTCGTTAGTTTTGCGTCGAAGTGTGGCAAGTCGTGTCGTGGTTTAATCATGGCAATAATGCCTAGGGCTACGTATATATGGCAATACTGCCTAGGGCTACGTATATATGGCAATACTGTACTGCCTAGGGCTACGTATATATGGCAATACTGCCTAGGGCTACGTATATATGGCAATACTGCCTAGGGCTACTGTGTATGTACGAGACATAGCAACACGAGATCCAACCAAAATATACTTGATAGGTTGGATTTGTGCATGCTAGATGGAGGTGGGTGGGGCTACTGCTACTGCTACTGCTTGTGGGGCGAAGGGTGCATGCTTATATGACCTTGCGCTTCTTGGCTGTGTTCATGTACGGGCGGAGTACCCATTCGTTCTCGGCTTCCTTTTGGTCGAACGTGCCCAGCTTGATCTGGTACAGCTGCAGCTCAAAGCGAGGTCCGCACTCCAACAGATCGACGTTGCGGCCAGTCTGCTTGAACACGTGATGGCGAAACGAGAGGAAGTCGTTGTTGTTGGAGAACGTAATCACGCGCTTCGAGTCGGGCTTTGGCACGGGAAACAAGTGCTTGAGGATGTTGCCTACGCGTTGGCCCTGCCGACACACACATGAATATGGACAAGGGACAAGCGATGGATGGATGGATGGATACCAAGGTCGTTTCGAATTGGTTGAGGATGATGTGCGGGTATGCTTCGGAAATGGTCGCGCGGTCTTCAATGTCGTGGCGCATCACGACGTTCTGCAGCGAAAAGTACGCCGTGGGGCCGTATGGCAAGTGGCAGACCACCAACCCATCTACAGATGAGGCGAACATGCGATGAAGAATGTCATGGGGGCGGAACGTGAGGACGGAGGCGTCGTACCTGGCTCGCCACGAGTTTCCGTGATTATGAGAAGGTCCGTGAATTCGTTGGCGCGCGCCGAGTCGACGAGATCACCGACGGTATGCGCGCCGCGGTTGAGCCGGATTGCGTTGGGAAAGATGAGCCGCGCTTCCTGGGCAAACTTCTTGAGTCGTGCGCTGGGATCACGGGACGTCGTGACGGCGATCTTAGGGTCGAACATGCCTGCATTCTGGTACTCGTCGTCAATGTGCGACTTGGGGACGATGTGTTTGTCGTCGTCGTAGGCCAATTCGGCGCGCAACTTGTCTTCGACGCCGCGGAGTTCAGTGGGGATGGACTTGCCGCTCTCGATGGCCTTCTTCAACTGGACCTTGCGCTCGTACTGCGCGCGTTCTTGGCCTTCGAGACCCTTGCGGTACAAGTACTCTCGGCGCATGCGGACATTGCGGCGCACGGACATGATGGAACGCGCTGAAATGGAAAACAAGTGTGGAAACCATTGGTGGGAGAACGTGGTTGGTAAATAAATATTCTTTTTAGCCAATGAAATGGCTCTATTTCAACCCACCAATCGTTTTTTGTTTTGAAACCCAGGATTGGTGGAGCAGCAAATAGTTTGGCGCGGGACTCTTGAAGCAAGAAGCACGCACGATGACGAAGGAAGCCGACACGTCCGTGATGGAAGCATTCCGCCGTAATGTACTGGAAAAACCAGAGGTATGAACATGTAGGAATATGGGATGTTCACGACGATATCAGGTGTTCTTTGCGCCGTCAACGGAGCTCGCAACCACAATCTCCCACGTCACCAAGTACTTGTACGACCAAGGTAAGAAACCTTCCATTGACCTTGGGTAGATCCTTATATGCACGTGTGTCTACAGCGAAGAAACGTGAATCCTCCTCGAGCGTGGACACATCATCGTTGGAAGCCCTGTACGTGGATGGGTTCGACGCGGATCAAATCTGGGAACAGTTGAAGCTTCAGGTAGAATATCGTGGTGTTGCCAAATACATGTGGGTAGTATTCAACGCACACATGTGCTTGTAGAACGAACCATTGGCGAAAGAAGTGGGTCGACAGATCAAGAAATTCGCCAAGAACCCGAGCTCCGTGGCATTTTTCACACCCGAGGAGGACGGTGGTGCCGCCGCCGCCGCCGCCGGTAGTGCCGACGACGAAGAAGATGCGTCAGAGAATGAGCAGTCGCCAGACGACGACGTTGTTGACGGCGATGATGACGACGACGACAAAGGCCTTGAGGACGAAGGAGACGTGGACGACGACGACATGGACGACGACGACATGGACGACGACGACGACGACGAGTTGACGTCGGCTCCCAAGAAGACATTGGCCAAGAAACGAAAGCGCCGGGATTTAGAAGACGGGTTCTTTGATTGGGATGAAATGGAAAAGGCCGCGGAAGAAGTACGTCCAACCACGAAAACCTGTCCATGTATCCATAGAGACGACCGATGGATTTTCTCATGTTCTGTTGTGTCTCCAGGAAGAATTGAACGACGATGACGATGACGAAGATGGTGACGAGAACGATGACGACGACGACGATTTCGAAGACGAGGATGACGACGGGTTGAATGAAAAGACGGCCACGTACAAGGACTTGTTTGACGAGCCCACGGAAGAAGGCGACGAAGAAGATGAAGAGGAGGAAGAAGAAGAGGAAGGGGAAGACACCACGCGGTCCTTGAAGCGCAAGTCGGCGGAGCTGACCGACGACCAGGCCGAAGAGCTCGCGGAGCGCGGGATTCTATCGACGCACCAGCGGCGGTCGACTCATTTGCACGATCAGATCAAGAGCCTCGAAGACGAAGCGCTCGGCGACAAGCCGTGGGCGCTCAAGGGCGAAGTCAAGGGGATGGCGCGGCCAGAGAACTCGCTTTTGGAGGCGGACCTCGAGTACGACCGGCCAACGAAAGTAGCGCCCATCATCACGGTCGAAGTCACGCAAGAGTTGGAGGAGTTGATCAAGACGCGGATCCGCGACGAAAACTATGACGACGTTGTGCGCAAGTTGGCTGTGAACGACGGCGCGCAAAAGGAAGCGGCGGAGCTGTCGATGGAGAAGAGCAAGGAAGGCCTGGGCGACGTGTACGAGAAGGAGTTTATGAAGTCGGCCATGGGCTTCGAAGACACGTCCGAGCTGAAAAAGGAGCAAGACGAGATCGACGTCATGTTCCAAAAGCTATGCTGGAAGCTTGACGCCCTGACCAACTTTCACTATACGCCCAAGCCTGTGGTCCGGGAAATGCATGTGACGCCTGCCGCCCCCGCGATTACGATGGAAGAGGTGCGTGCGTACATATATTTGTTTATCAAGGACACAACACATACGACAAGGGATATGAAACTCGGTGTCTTTGTGTAGGCGGTGCCCATCGCCGTCAGCGACGCCAACCTCCACGCCCCCGAGGAAGTGTACGACAAAAAGCACAAACGGTATGTGATACACATATGTATTCTAGTCAAATTATATATATATGTATTCAGCCGATTGAACAATATTGTGTTAACCATATTGCTTGAACAACGTTATAGAGATGGCGTGGTGCGGTCCCGGGAAGAAATGTCGCAGGACGAACGCAAGGCGGCTCGAAATGTACGCCATATTGTCGTTATGTTTCACTTCGTTGGAATGATATATATATATATATTACGATATGCTATCGTTGGCAAAGGATAAGAAGATACTGATCTATATATGACGTTATCGTGTAGGCCAAGAAACACGCCCGCCGAAAGTCGCGCCAACAGAAGGACGCGGACGAAAAGCTTGTGGCCAAGGTCAATCCGGGCATGGGCAACAAGTACGAGAAGAAGAAGCTGCTCGACAGTCTCCAGGCCAAAAACGTGTCGACGGGCAAGGCCATCGAAGGCTCCACGCGCCAGTTCTCCAACTCGTCCGAGTTCTTTTCACGATTACAAGACGAGCAAAAGGCGGCAGCCGCGGGTCAACCCCCCCGCCCGTCGTTCAAGAAGGACGATGCCAAGGCTGGCCGCGGCGGCGCGTTTTACAAATTGTGATGAATATATTTTACTACCAAACTCTTCTTGTATCTAGTGCATCGTACAAGTAGCTGTTATAGTCAGTAGTGATAGGACTGACCATATGACTCAACCAGGGTATACAGTAACCCAAGAAGGCCACAAATGTATGTACTGTACGTACTACTTCACAGGTTTGCCTAGTACATTGTACTACTTCGACGTGAGGAAAGATGTATAACGATATTAGAACGTTATGAAGTATATCGGACGGAATCACTCTAGTACAGGTCGTTCGTGGCTGCTACTTTTGCGCGTCGCCCGTCTTCCACTTGGTTATCCTAAACTCGCGCACGGATGCCAGCTTGATCGGTGACGCGTACAACTTTGGGAGGCCGATCACGGGGGTGCTGTGACTACGCCCGAGTCCCCCCCCCTGGTTCTTCTCGGGGGGCGATTGGTGTTCGTGCTGTTGCAGCGTATCCAGTCGCAAATGTTTGACAAAGACACTCCCGCCCTCGTGTCCCCCGTGGCTGTTGAGGTGTTTGCTAAACTGTCGCTGTGCCATGTCTAGTTCCGTCTTGCTGTTGACTTGCCGCGGCGTGAGAATGTTGGCTGGGTCGGGGCGATACTTGAGCTCTTTCGGGTCCACGAGACACGCCGTCACGCCTTTGGACGACTTGAGGCCAAGCACGCGTTCCTTGGCCCTCAACTTGTTCATCGTTTTGCTGAACACGCCCTTGTCGTTAGCAAGCAACTCGACCACCTACACAGCAATGAATGAGGGTTGATAGTACACTACGAGGTGAGCTTGACTTGTGTATACCTCGTCGTCCGACTTGTTGCGATATACGGGGTTGTACAGCCACATATCGCCCGTGTTGCGCTTGACAAAGTCCTTGGCCATGAGATGCCGCCCTTCCGCCTGCAGCAGCACACTCTTGGCTTTTTCGTGGAGCATGGCTTCGACGGCATCGATGTGGCCGTCGCCGTTCAAGTCGACGGCTTCCGCGTGATGGGCTTGGGAGTCTTGCAATTGAACGTGCAAATGCATTTCAAAGTCGTCGATCACACCGTCGCCGTCAATGTCGATCACGCCAAAGTTGTTTTGAAACACGGTCTTGTGGGTTGAACCGAGCGGGTCGAGGCCGAGGGGCTTGTTGGGGGGCGACACGGGTGGTTCGTCCAACGCGTCCAGCGATGGGGGCAGGGGGTCATCCGGCTCTTCAAGGCGGCTCGCGTATGTCGAGTTGACGGCTTTGTGCAGGGCCATCATCTTCATGTGCGTGGGCGTTTTGAGCTTTCGCTGAGTGTACACCCACGTTTGACGGTGGTCGTCGTCTGCGACATTGTCGGTCACTTCCTGGCCACTACCACTACTAAATGCAGACTTTTCGTTCAAACACGATCGAATGTTGGACGACGACCGGATTGTTCGCCGCCGCTCCATGAACTCGAGGTATGGCAGCATCTTCTTGAAGTTTTTGTGCTCGGCCACAAACGTCACGCATTCGTCATCCGACTTGTCGGCAAACGTGGGGCCATACCGCCACAGTTTGCCCTTGTTACGATGCACAAAGTCCTGTGCCAGGGTATACCTGCCCACCGTGACATGCATGTCATGCAGCTCGGCATCGGTCGGCGCGCTGCCGTCGGGTTTAGTCATTTTGGACGTGATGTCGTGCAGATATTTGGCCATGCGCATCTCACGCACGTCGATCATGCCATCGCCGTCAATGTCTACGGCCATCGGTTGGTTGGAGCCTCTGGGGGGCTTGGTCGAACCACCCTCCGTTGCCATCATCGACCCCCTCGGAACGGCCACGTTCGACTTGCTGCGTGACTTTTTAAGCCCCCCAATGGGAAGTTCTTCCACATTGGACAGGAACTTCCACCTCTCGCGGTTGAGGTTTGTGAGCCCCCCACTAGGCTTTCGCTGCCGACGACCTGTCTTTCGCTCACTCATGTGAACTCACTCCCCCTTAACTGTCAACCCACCACCGGGCTATTTCGATGGATATTCAGGTTGCCAAACGTCTAAAAATACACGGCCGATCAACGGGAAGTAACTTCACGCAGTTTGATTCTGGTGAGGTGGACCGCTTTGGCGAAGGCTCACCACAATATTATTGTACATCACGAACACTACCTAATGCTACATTTTCACGACAAGCATGCTTCACGTCCAACCAACATGCCTCTGATTATCAGAAAACACCGCCCATTGATTGCATGTCAAAAAGGCTACGAGTAACCGAGTGTGTAACTGGTTATGAAACCGATACTGTCGCCCTCTCCATTTCTTGACGACATCGCGGGAATTCTCCATGGGCAGCTCCGACAATGCTAAACCAACGTTTCACGTGGAAGCCGCCAAGAAGCGAGTTAAAGAACTCACAAAGGAAACCATGGTGAGTGTTCCAGAAGGCACTGGCGGATCCCTTGCCCTGTCGGACCATCAATTGGGCGACCCTTTCAGTGTCCATGTGAGTCTTGCAGTCGAGTGGAACGCATCGTTGTTGACAGTGTTGGACGTGTCGTTTAACAAGTTTGCGGACGGCCTCGCTCGGGCACTGGGGGACATGACCACGCCCCACTTGCCTGTGCTGCATACGGTCAACTTATCCAGCAACAAGTGCGTCATACATAGTTGTCAAGCAACCTTTCCCACAGCGAATGAACCAGTTATGTTGTAGCTTTACTGATGCCTCGAGCGACGCTCTAGTTCGATTCCTCAACAAGGCGCCGGCACTCACACACGTGGACCTGTCGTTGAATCACTTGGGCATGAGCTGTGCCAAGCACCTGGCAGCCGCCTTGCCTCCACAGAGCCTCAAAGCATTGGTGTCGTTGGATCTGTCGTCCAACAAGCTGCTCGACGACGGCTGCGACCTGATCTGTCACGCTCTGACCAGTCGAAAGAACGCGCTGCAATCCCTTACCCTGTCCATGAATCTGCTCACAGACGCCGCCGGGATCGGCCTCGCGAACATGGTGGCAGCGTCGTCCATTCGTCAACTGGTCGTGTCTGGCAACCTCATTGGCGACTACGGGGCCAGCGCGATTGCGTTTGCCATGGACCGCAGCACCCATCTAGACGCGCTGTATCTCGACGGCAATGCGGTACAAAGAAGGGGGACCTTATGAGAATGTCGAGTATCAAACAATCCATGACGTCGACTATGTAGATTGGGCCCCCGGGGGTGTTTGCCTTTCTCAACATTCTGCGATCCAATCCCGGCAAATCGTACCGAGTACTTTGCCTCGACGACAACCCCACGGACCAAGCCTTGATTGACCAAGTCTCGCAAACGCGTCTCAGCCACGTACGCGACAAACTGGTTTATAGGACGGAACTATTCCTTGTAGAGATATATATCGTCCTTTTTCTCGTAGATGCTGCACGCTTGCCATCCAAGTTGTCCCGTGAGTGGCAGCTTAGACCTACATGGCCCCCATCTCTTCCAACAGCTTGATGCGTACATTGACGACGCATTGTGTAAAGTACGATTTGATTGTTGCAAGAACAACGCATATTCGATTAAACGCCCAGGACTTAGACCACTGTGCGCCTTCTCCGGTCGTTTCCCCAGTTACTGGACGTAAATTTGAGCGACAATGTCATTGCAGACTCTGGTACCCTACATCCATTCAAACTGCGCTCATCGTATATCGGAAGGGGCGTTGGCCATTGGATTTTACTTGGCGCTCAATCCGACGCTCACACGGCTCAACTTGTCGGGGAATCGAATCACAGGTGCCATACTGTATCACACAAAGGAACCATTATATCGAAGGAGGATGGATGATGTAGATGTGGGGGCATTTGGTCTGGCCAAAGGACTGCTGGTCAACAGTTCGCTGACGGAATTACACGTGGGCAGCAACCGCCTTGGCGACGCTGGGGTGTCTAGCATCTACGCGACGTCCTTTGACAACAAAAAGTCGGTATTGGCCACCATTCACGTCAAAGGCAATCTCGTACGTGCGACGGACAAGTCACGAAGACATAACCTTTGTGGTGATGTAGCATTCATCCGAAGGGGACACGATTGTGCACGCGATTGTCCAATCCAAAGCCCTCGCCACCCAGTTACGAGAGGCCACGCCGGTCGTGTTGGATCTGTCGTACGTTGCCACGTCATAACCTTCATTCCACTATGCACATGTGACATATCATTGCGTTTCAGAGACTTGGGACTCCGGCGATTCGGCGCCGACGTGTTGGCCGAGCATTTCCAAGGCGATGGCTGCGACGATGCATTACCGACTTCAACATCTACTACTACCAGTAATACTAATGCATGCGAAGTGCTGAATCTGTGCCGAAACGGCCTTGGAGACGACGGCGCCCGAAGCATCGCGTCGCTCTTCCTGTCCAATGCGACCATCACCAAACTCGACCTCAGCTGCAATGGCATTGGAGACGTTGGCGCGACGGCGCTGGCCGCCATGCTCCGCGTGAACAAGTCCCTTCGCGCCGTCAACCTCCGCGCCGCGTACGGTGCATCGTCGGCGTCGTCGTGCGTCATCTCTGAGGTGGGTATGTTGGAGCTGAGTGCTGCCATGCAAGTCAACACTGGCATCCAAGTGCTCGACTTGCGGGACCATTGCGCCAACCCTCGCGTGGTGACGTCGTGGGTGCACATGCTCCAGCACAACACGGGGCTGCTCAAGTTCAACGGAGGCACCCCCGCTGCATTTCTCGCTCGACACGACCATCGACGGGATTGACAAGCAACGCCTCAGAAATTTCCCCGCAAGTTGGCTGGGCATGGTTCTTCGTGTTTTGTCCCGCACCATGGAGAGGACGTTCGAAGTGATGATCAACATGTTCGCTTTGTTCCGTGTGAATAATAATATGCGATAGAGTGAGTCAAAACTATCAACCAGAACAGGTTTGCATAATCCACACCATGAGTAGTGATCGAAAGCAGCAGCTAGAACGCTATGACAGTTCCCACCACTACGTATGGTTAGCAACTTGGTTCAATGATAAAGTCATGTACGTACACTGTGATACACCCTGTACTGACCATTCATGTTTGCCGACTCGTTGTTCGAAAACATGAACTGTGTTGTACTAGTATTAAATGGTAGTGCTGTAGTGACGAAATATTATCTAACTGAAGCGTCGCAGAGCATCGGGCGATGACGTTTCCAAGACTATGTGACATGGTGTGGTATCTGTCATGGATTATGACATGGCTGCGTCATAACAAGGCCGTCGTGCGATGTTGTGGCTCGTGCAAGATTTAACTTGCGCGACCTCGGAACTGAGAGACGGCGGCGTATTTTTGACGAAGTTGCACAAACAGAAGCGATTCGTTGCCGACAAACCCGAGAAGCAACGACTCAGCTTCGTTGACCCGAGACGGGTCGTGCAAGCGGAAGAACTTCTGCAGCTTGAGCGTGTTCTCGCGAAGCTTGGCTTCGTAGGACATGCGTGGGAAGAGTGCGATGGACAGTAGCCGCTCGAACGAGAAGACCCGCAAGATCAGGATGATGGTAGACACAACGGAGGAGTTGTTCCATGAACCATCCAGGGTGAGAGCTGTGAAGATGTGTAGCATGCAATGCAGAAACGCAATGACTACAAACGGGATCATTAGCATGAAGCGGTTGGCCCAGATCGAGAGGTTCTCACCGCCTGCGTTCCATGATGACATGAAAGCCACTGCCGTGACGAGTGTCGAGCACGTGAGGCGAAAGAGCTCGACGTCGTGGATGACGCGTCCTAGGAGGATGTACTGCGGAGCGCCATATAGAACCACTAGAGCCGCTTCAATGCCACCCCGCAGCATTAATCTCCGGGTCGTGGACATCTCACGGGTTGTTGAAATGCTATGGTTTCTTGTATTTTAGCCAATCATAGAAAATAATTTCATGTTAACCAATCAAATGGAAGATAACACAAGATCGCCGTTTGTACTTCGCCGCCGACTTGCCGCCAAACCCATGGCTTTGTCGACGGTGGCCCACGTGGCCTCATCTTCCTCGCTCATCCACGACACTCGTTGACCCATGATCCACATTCCGCGTCTTCGCTTCCCAGACATGTAGATGTACGTCGCGACACCGTCGACTTGGCCGTCCTTGAACGTCCCTTCGATGCCTTCGCCGTTACTGTAGTACGACGTCCCAAAGCCTTGCCTCTTGTCGTTCTCGTGCATACCATCGTACGAGGCAAATCGATAGAGGGAGTTGCATCCCTTCATGTGCATACGTGCCTCGTCCCCGCGCTCGGCTAGAGGAATCAAGTCGGCGCGGCCTTGACCATGACGCTTGCCGGCATGCCACGCTCCTTCGTAACGTCGACCGTCGCATGTGACGAGTGTGCCTTGGCCGTGGAACGTTCCATTGGCAAACATGCCCGTGTATGTGCACGAGCCTCTTCCGCCGTACCAATTGCCGCTCCCAGCCGGGAACTCCATGCGAATGCCATCAGGGTTCCAAGCGCGCAAAGTGCCATACCCGCTGGGCCGTCCATATTCAAACGCTCCGTCATACTCCATGCGCAATGCATTTCCCTACATAACCTTCATAATCACATTGTTTTGTACTCGATGCATACGTTGGTGGTCAAGGTGGACTGGAGGACGCCTTGTCCATGCATGGCATCGTCGAGCCAATCCCCGTCGTACTCGTTGCCATTCACCCACCGTCGCCTTCCTAGCATCGTCCAAGTGTCATATAGGTACATATATTCTCCATCGAAAGGCGTCGCATTACCTTTTCCATGTTTAAGGCCATTCGGAAGCGGCAGTGTCTTCTTCGTCTTCAACGTTGTACATGAAGCATTAGTGGTTGCCTCGTACTCGCCGTCGTACCAACTGCCATCTTTGAATGTGAACTTTCCACGGCCATAAAAGTATCCGTCCCGCATAGATCCTTCATATACGTCGCCATTTGTAAACGTAAACAAGCCATGGCCATGGGGTCGACCGTGTGCAAAGTCGCCAATGTACGTGAACGCAGCAGTAGTCCACACACCACTCCCTTGCATGATGTTGTCCGTCCAGTCGCCTTCGTAGGTTGAGCCGTCGGCAAACACCCGCAGCCCCTTGCCATGTTGAAGACCATGGCGATACCCCCCCTCGTAGGATCCAGCTCCCCCCCGGAACGTCCGTCTGCCGACTCCGCCCATAAGGGACGTCGTGTGAAAAAGGTTGCGCTTGCATTCGCCCACATACGACTCGCCATCGACACGGCAGAGGTGGCCCATACCCCACCACATTCCGTGCTTCCACTCGCCGTCGAAGCGGTCGCCGTTGGCATAACTCCGCACACCCCGTCCGCTAAAGACATTGTCGGCAAACATGCCGTCGTACGACCCCCCTTCGCCAAACACCATCAGCCCCTTGCCGTGTTTCTTGCCGCCGCGGAACTCGCCTTCGTAAGTCGATCCCTTGACCCACACACCCGTGATCGGGTGCTTTTGATCCACCGCCACGAGGACGCCAAACCCCTCAAACAAGTTGGCTGCAAACTCGCCTCGGTACTGTAGCCCGTCGTGGTATGTAAACGTGCCTTGGCCATGTCGCTTGCCGTCCACCCATTCCCCATCGTACAAGTCTCCATTGGCAAAGCGCAACTTGCCGCGACGGAACACGCGGCCCTCCTCTGTGATGCGCCACGACCCGACATCGTACACCACCTGCATCGTCACCGGTTACAAACCACATGAAACCGATCAGTTGGGGGGTTACAAAGGGCACAGATCGTAGTTTTCCATGGTTGTGTATTGCGTAAGTACAAATACTCTAGTATTAATGTACTACTTTGTGTATTGAGCATAGCTTATCAATCCTTTGTGTAACGTTACTGTGAGCATAGCATATCGATACTAATCTAGTACTAGTAGTACACATGTATAGATATTAATAGTAGTGGACTACTACTGACCAGAAACCCACCACACATAGCGATTATATAAAAGCAATTTTAGAGGATTGTTACGAATGCAAACAACGGCAGGGGCGTTGATGAGAAACTACAGTTGCCCTGCTCACGCGTATCAATCGCGTGTCTAGTAGTACGAGTTGCGCTCGACCCATCCAGGAATACGCACGTACTTGCCGGTTTGCGGGTCCACGGTCGTGATCGACGTCGAGCGCAAAATGTACTTGCGCATTTCGTCGTACACAAACAAAAACATGGCAAACGGCATGGCGGGGAACCAATGGCTGAGACGGATGGTTTGGGTCTTGAACACGGATTGGAACCCCGACGAGTAGCAAATGAGCGCACAGATTAGGAACTCAAAGCCCAACCCAAACATGAGCACTTGGTTGCGCAGTCCTTGGGTGCGGATGGACAGCAACCGCGTCTTGCAAATCAAAATGTTGGACCACTGCATCACCACCACGCCCACAAAGTACGCCGTTTGCGCATGGATCAGCGTGTAGATCGACATCATGCGAGACAGCACATTCGAGTACGTCGTCGACCCCTCCTTGTACGTGAACCCTGTGCGGTAATCCAACAAACATTCGGCCTTGGAGGAGCACGGAGCCGCGCCAGTCGACAGCTTGACAGAGAGACCGGCCGCCGCGTTCGTGTACAAGTCGGCGTCCGACAACGTGATCGTCGACGCCACTTGCTTCAACGAAGCATCCGTCAACGTCGCCGTGGCACCGTTTAGGGCCTTGCGAGGACGCCCGGACGTGAGCACGGCGTCCTTGTCCTTCTTGGACGGGTCCACGATACTAAACACGCCAATGGGTTGGTACAACAAGAGCGCCACGTCTTCCAGGTCCTTTCCAAACCCGTCGACGCCGTTGTCGCTGGCCACGTCGTACGAGAGCCAGCTCTTGTCAAAGAACGACGAGCGGCGACCCTTGTACGGGTAGTACGGGCGGTAGTTTTTGTTCCACAATGCTTCCATCGACTGCACTGTGATCATGGAGTTGCCGTTCGTGAAATCGCCATAAGTCGTAGGGTCATATCGGTCGTAATTCGCAGGCTTGTTGGTCGTGCCCTTGTAGTTGGCGTACGGGAACACACAGTCTTCCACGACACCATCCTCGCCGGGGTTGTAAAAGATCTTGGCGTCGTAGATGCTGCCAGTCGGCGAAATCGCCGCGTTGTACTCGAGATCACATACAGGCTTGTCCGAGCTACCAAGAGGAACGACGTTGCCAGTGTTATCTTTGTACCCGCCACCGGGCGTGCAGTACTGGCCACCCGACGTGGTGCACCACAACACTTGTTTGCCAAAGCTGTCCTTTTGGCCCAACGCAGGCAAAATTTGAGCTGGGTACCCGTAGTCGTTCATGACGGTGAAGTACACGACATGGCCGGCAAACGCTTGAATGAACCCAATGTGCACATACGCCCAGAACACCAACTTTTTGGTCACGAGGCGGTCCACCGACGGGCGGCGGGGCGAGCGCAGCATGATGTCGCTTTCGGCGTCTTCGTACGCCATCGAGATTGCAGGAATCATGTCGGTACCGAGGCAAATCAACAACATCAAGACGGTCGTGAGGGGCACGGGGATGGCGATCAGCACGTACACCAAAAACGGAATCAACTCCGGAATGTTGACCGCCAATGCGTAGCAAATCGACTTCTTCAAGTTGTCAAACACCTTGCGCCCTTCTTCGACCCCGCACACGATCGACGCAAAGTTGTCGTCCAACAAAATCATGTCAGCGGCTTCCTTTGACACCTCCGACCCCATGATCCCCATCGCAATCCCAATGTCCGCTTTCTTCAACGCCGGCGAGTCGTTCACACCGTCCCCCGTCACGGCCACAATTTCCCCGCGACGCTGGCAGTTTTCAACGATAATTAACTTTTGCTGCGGTGACGTCCGGGCAAACACGACTTGGGTGTGGTTCAAGATGCGATCCCATTCCGCCTCGTCCGTGTCCACGCTGATGGTCCACCCAGGCACGACAATCGCAGGCGCGTTGTCCGGGTTCTTGTACCCAGGTTCACCAGCCCGCACTCCCTTCTCGGCATTCTCCTCTTCAATATCTTCCTTGGTTGGGCCCCACAAGATACCCACCTTGTGCGCAATCGCCTTGGCCGTGATTGGGTGGTCACCCGTGACCATGATGACACGAATCCCCGCGGTCTTGCACTTGGCCACGGCAATGGGCACTTCTGGACGAGGGGGGTCGATCAGCGCCATCAACCCAATGAACACGAGCGGTTCTTCAATCTTCTTGTTGGGCACTGGGTTGGCGTCGTAATCCACGTCCTTCTCACCGAGGGGAAAGTTGCAGTTGTCCGTGTTAAACTCGTAACCGTGGGGGTACGTCGCCAGGTCCAGCTCCTTTTCGGCAAACCCCAACACGCGCATGCCCTTCTTTGACAGCGCCAGTTGAAGCGCCTCCACTTGGGCCAACCGTTCGGGGGTGAAGTCCTCCATTTCGCCGTTGATCAAAATCTTGGAGCAGCGGGCCGTGATGCGCTCGGGGGCGCCCTTCATGACCAGCAACATGGGCTTGGTTTCGTCGTTTTCTTGCAAGTGGATCGATAACTGGTACTTGTTGCGCGAGTTGAACGGGATTTCCTTGAGTTTGCGGTTGGCTTCGCGGTAGTCGACGACGTCGCGCTTGTCTTGGCAAAACTTGATCATCGCGGACTCTGACGCATCTCCGATGGTTTCCCACAACACTTTCGGGCAGCGGGAGCCATCCGACGCCACCACCATCTCCGAAAAGGCAATGGGGGCGCCGCGGACCACTTGCACATTCGCGCCTTGGCCCTCGAGCACCTTTTGAAACTTGGAGTCTTCGTCAAACACGGCATTGTTACACAATGTAGCGCAGCGTTGGAGGCGTTGGAAAGACACGTCTGTTAACTTGTACGAGCCCACGGGCGTGAGGGAGCATTCGGCGTCCCAGATCGCATTGTCGTACACGATGTTCGCGACGGTCATGATGTTTTGGGTCAGCGTGCCCGTCTTGTCCGAGCAAATGCAGCTCGTGGAGCCCAACGTTTCGACGCCTTCCAAGTTCTTGACCAACACACTCTTCTTTGCCATGCGCGCGGCTGCCAAACTCAAGCACACGGTCACGGTCGCCAACAATCCTTCGGGGACGTTGGCCACAATGATCCCAATCATAAACACAATGTTCGTGATCGTGTCGGTGCCAATGATGAACCCAATCACGAGGAAAATAATCCCGATCGACACGGCGACGGCCGTGATGATGTGCACGAAGTGCTCGATCTCCTTGGCGATGGGCGTTTGCTCCTTCTTCGTGGACGTGGCCAACTTGGCAATGCGACCCATGACCGTCTTGTCGCCCGTGCGCACGATCAGACCCTTGCCAGACCCTTGCGGGATAAACGTGCCGAAAAAGCACAAGTTCTTCGTTTCCAACGGACTGTCATGGGTGCAATGCACCACGCGCTTCAACGGTTCCGGTTCGCCAGTGAGCGCCGAGTTGTCCACGGTCAAATCGTCCGAGCATTCAATGATACGGATGTCGGCAGGCACCTTGTCCCCGCCCTTGATGGCGATGACATCCCCACGCACAAGCAAGGACGCGTCGATCTTTTGGGATCGACCGTCGCGAATGACCGTCGTGATGGTCGGCATCATGTTCTTGAACGATTCCATGAGGTTGCTCGACTTGCGGTTTTGGAAGTACGAGAAAAGTCCCGTGATCACAACGACGCAAAATAGCACGATGCCGAGGTACAAGTTGTTGACGTCCCCTTGCAGGGCGTAGCAGACCATGCACAAGATCCCAGCCGCCCACAACAGCAACGAGAAAAAGCCCGTGAGTTCGCGGAACACTTTTACGATTTCGGGGGTTTGGCGAGGGGGGGTCAAACGGTTTACGCCGTCGACTTCACGCCGGGCGTCCGCGTCGGCATTCGTCATACCCTAATGACAACGATGAGTTCTAGCCATCGTCACAGGGTATGTGTTGAGGACGTACCAACGTGGCGCTGGTGGTGAGGTCTGCGCACAATTCGGCAATCGACTTCTGATGCTCGTCCATCTCCAACTCGCGCTTGTCGTCATCCTTCCCGGCCTTGCTCTTCCCCTTCTTGCGCATCGCTTGACGGTGTCGCAGCTCCGTGGACACCGCCACGATCTCAGCCGACGAACGCTTGCTCTTCATGGCGCCCGCTCCAACCTGTCTCTTCTCTGGTGGCGGCGTGCAGTGCAGAAAAATTCGCAACTGACCTGGGGATGTAATGAACCGTCGCCATAATTAAAATAGATCCTAGAGTGGTTATTTTAGCTTGGATTTTGTATACGCCGCTGTCGATCGTTTCGCTTGTCAAGCCCATACAAACGTCAAGTCAAAGTTGGCGCTTTTTTTAGAACGTAGAGATGTGCCATTCAATATCCGAGCGACCATCCATTTTTGAAATCTTATTTTCAATTCATATGCGGTGGAATTGGGTTAAATGGGATGAGCCGAGTGTTGGTAACACCTGAAGCGGACATACGATTGGCTAAAATTACCACAGAAAACGAGCAATAAAGCTGATGTCATACAAGTTGAGTCGTCCGGATATGTCTTGTCCTACACGCGTATCCGGACGGAAAACGCGTTCAATTTCGAGTTGACACGTATGTCGGGGATTCTCGTGGGAGTCGTTGGCGTCGTGATCGCGAGCCCGTTTGTGGCGCTTGGCACCTTCCTCTTGATCTTCCACGTGGTTGGGAGGTTGAAGCGCCGTCGGGATATCGGCTTCTTTCACCCGTATGCTGCATCAGGAGGTGGCGGCGAGCGTGTGTTGTTTTGTGCGTTGCAAACCTTGCCTGCCACTTCCACGGCCGTGATTTACATCGGCGAGCCCATCACACCGACAAAACTGCTGCAAGATGCCCAAAGTCGATTCAATTTCTCCGCGTCGGACGTCAAGTGCAAGATCGTAGTGGTGGAACTGGCGTACAGAACGCTGCTCGAAGCCAAACACTACCCTCGGTTCACGCTCCTCGGCCAAAGCATCGGCAGCATGCTGCTTGGCCTGGAAGCATTTCTCCGCCACCCCGTGGGTGTGTGGGTGGATACCACTGGATGCGCATTCACGTACCCATTGGCATGGCTGGGTGGCGCGACCGTCGTCACGTACACGCATTACCCGACGATCTCAATGGACATGCTGGACGTGGTAGCTCGGCGCGACGTGGCCTTCAACAACGACGCTGCCGTGGCCAAGAGTCTTACGAAAAGCACGGCCAAGCTGGTGTATTACCGCTTTTTCGCGGCGTTGTACGGGTTCGTGGGCGGGTTTGCCAAGGTCGTGATGGTCAACTCGGGGTGGACGCTGAACCACATCAAGCAACTGTGGCGTAGCGCGCTGCCGCTGGTTGTGTATCCTCCCTGTGGTACGACGTCGTTCCAAACGTTTCCGCTGGCAGATCGACAGCCGTGGGCGTTGTCTGTGGCCCAGTTCCGTCCCGAGAAGGACCATTCGCTCCAACTCCGCGCCATGCGCGTGCTCCTGGACACCCATCCCGACGCGATGGCCACGACGTTCCGCGACTTCAAGATGATCCTCTTGGGCAGTTGCCGCGGCGACGAAGACGAAGCGCGCGTGAGCGTCCTCCGACAACAATGTGCCGACTTGGGTCTGGGCGACTCCCGCGTTCAGTTTGTCGTGAATGCCCCATTTTCAGACTTGACGTCGTACTTGGCCAAGGCATCGATTGGATTGCATTCGATGCGGAACGAACACTTTGGCATTGGCATCGTTGAAATGATGGCGGCGGGCCTTGTCGTGATTGCGCACGACTCTGGCGGCCCGCGCGAAGACATTGTCAAGCCTGGCACAGGATACTTGGCCACCACGCCAGAAGAATACGCCACGTACATGTATGACATCCTCACGCAACCCAATGTCGCAGACGACACCCGGCAAGCCGCGCGGGTGGCGGCGGGGCGGTTTTCAGACGAAATCTTCCAAGAGAGCTTCGCCACGGCACTAGCTCCAGTGTTGGCCCTTTCGGCCGCCTCAACGATTTGAAAGGGCAATGTGCACACTTGGTGTGCAATGTAGTAACGTTACTGGTAGAATGAACACGCCATATTTGATACTACGTACTCTGTTCCATAATGATTGCAGCACTTGACTTCTGATTGGACTAAATTTTACATTTCTCTTCGTAATCGCAAGCGGATTGGCTCATTTGACACACTTGGTGTAACGTTACTGGTAGAATGAACACGCCCCCATATTTGATATGAAATGTATTCTCAAAACGGGTTCAAAGTGAACAATTGATGTAATCTGACACATTAGTTCGATGGGCGGCTAAATTTCCACAACGCAGCTGTAATCGTCGAGCGCCAAGTCGGTGGGGGGAAGCAAGTGGTGGTGGCTGTACAGGTTGGGAAACTGTGAAAACTCGTCCTCGATAGAGTCGTCAAAATCGTATGCTGTGCGATGGCTCTGGTGGATGTCGTCGCGGGGAGACTCGACGCTGTACGGCTCGGAGTTGGAGTCGTCAAACCCTTGATTCTCTGGCTGTGGTTTAGTTGGCTTTAACCGACTCGCGAGCGAGAGGGCTTCGGCGGGCTTGACGAGAGCGACCTTTGAGTTCGGGTTTCTTCGAACGTAGTCGCGCTTCTTTTGCAGATCGTCCAGTTGCGACATCATTTTGCTGCGTTCGATAGCGCTGAGGTCTTGGTGGAGCGTGTCCTCAATGGCGTCGATTGTTTTCGACAGCGAGCTGATCTTTCGGTACGGCCATCGATGGATGCCACTTTTCCTGCAGATTTTCTTGAACAACGTCGTGCACACGCCAAACTCACGCGCCACAGCCACGATGGGTTTGTCGAAGAAGTCGTAGAAATCTTCGATGGTGATTTTGTTCAGCGACAACGCTCGCCGCCGCATGTGGGTCGAGGCGCTTTCATTGGTTGGGCTATCGGGGTATAAGTTCTTGTGCATGACATTTAGGTCCATGACATGAAAATCGTCGTCGTTGTGCAAGTGGTCCAGGTCTAAGTCCATGCCGCGAGTTGGTTACCTGTACAAGGTGGGATGTGTAGTGTCGTCTTCAAACAAGATTGATTGCCCATGATGCAAATAAAGAAAGATCCACTGTTAGCGTTCCGTCCTTCGATCGTACAAGAACGTACGTACGTACACTTCGTACAATATATATAAATCCGAAGTAGTCAAAATTGTCGTACAAAGGTGTAAGCAATGTACCAGTACATGAATGTACTTGAATCGGATTTGAAACCGTCACACAACTGCAAAACCATCGTTTCCAGCCTTCGATATCGAAGCCTTCGGCGGAGCTACCGACACCTGCCAAGCGGAAGAAGAGATACGACGTCCTCCATACTAATGCTCACATTGCATTCTGCCCATGGCCAAAGCGTACATGCTTTGCGTTGGTTCTGGCGAGCATTCGCGTTGTACAAGTACAATGTATGACCTTCTGTGTTACAATAAGGATGAAAGGTGCGTATGTTCTACTAGTACTCCTTCTGAGGGTCAGAACGGACCTACTGCTGCGCCTTACGTGCGGGCGTAAGTGTACACATATACTTAGTAGCTATCTAGCGGCTAAGTGCCTTGGCATGGCGTACAGTACTGTAGAACGCTGGCGTCATGTCGATGTTGTGAGACGAATACAGTACTGTATTCGCATGTCAATCATCCGGATAACTGCAATGCTATACCGAAAACTATGGGATTCCGTTCATTCCTGGGTTGGGGACAATGCTGATCATGTTGGCAATAACATCCGTGCTGGTGGGAGTGTCTGGATGGATTGGCGCATACGTGGAAGAGCCTGCGAGGTATGCTCTGTACTGCACCACAGCGCTTGTGGCGGTGGTGGCCTTGAGTACCGTCCAACACCAACACGCGGATCCCAAGATCGCCTCGGACGATCTGCTGGTAGAATCGTTGCCCCCTAGTACATTTGACGTCGATGGACTTGCCACAGAAAAAGGGTCGATTCGCGCTGCCGTGGATGCGCGAGTCCACGACACGACTGTCCTAAATTCCTCGATCGATGGCGTCAAACGAGGGCTGATCCTCACGTCTCTCGTGGATCACCCTGTGGGCTGCATTCGCATCTTGGTGGGGCCAGAAGGCGCCAGCGGTGGTCGCCTTGCCAAGAACGAGATCATCCTTGAAGAGAACGTCGTGAGCCGTGTGCACTTCCACCTCGGTTGCCATAGCCCAAGCCGCCACAGCAGCGGCCCCTCCAACGAAACGGCGCCCTTCTTCTTTCTGCAGGATTGCGGCAGCACCGCCGGCACGTTCTTGTACATGGCGCCGTGGGAGAAGCGCCGGTTGCACGTCCACGACGCGGTCAAGGTCGGCAACACCGAGTTGGTCGTCATCGCCATGCAAGAAGACCACTGGGCCCACACGAAACCATTCCTTCGCGTGCAGTTCATCTCTGGTCCCATGGCCGGGATCACGCAAACTGTCGGGCTTTCGCCTGTGACGTTGGGCCGCCGCACCACATGTGCGTTGTGCCTGGAATCCGACGTGACCGTGTCCGGCCAGCACTGCACCCTGGCGTACTTGGAGAGCTCAGCGACCATCGTCGAAGCGGGGTTCTACATTACGGACCTGAATAGCACGAACGGCACGGGCTTGCGGTTGAGTCCGCCGGGGACCAAGTCGACCAAGGTGCGGCTGCACGACAAGGACGTGTTTAGTGTCGGCGCGACCAAGTTTCTCGTCGAGTATCAAGCCACTCAAGACACGACGACAGAAACCATCGGTGGGCAAGAACCGGTTCGAATAGCGTAATCATTGTTATACCAGTAGAACTATTCTAAGGACGCACGGTACGTACATGGAAACGAGCTACTATACGCAGAGTTGCGAATAGCACTGGTGCAGTACATTTCAACACAACACATTCATCCAACACAAAGTGAATACACATATACTAGCACTGTTTTTAGCAGCAGTCCCATTCCGTCCACTTACTTCCCCCGCCTTGACTACGATATCCATCCATCTCCTTTCCAGGTCGCGCGGCATGCGTTGAGCTGGCATCACAGTACACCTGAGCACGCGGAACCACTTCTCCACATAATCAACTCCAACAAGATGGCGGCATTGACTTGAACTTGCTCTGTGGACAAGCTGCAGCGAGAAGAAGCTGCTTTGATTGGATTAGTGACTGACTTGGACGGTGTGTGTCTCCCAGTGTTAGCTGGTGTGGCAGTACAACGTGCAAGACGTGCGGTAGCACACGTTTGCCCTCTCTGCGTTGATTCAACTAAGCCATGAATGGCTTAACGCCTTCAGAAATTGTCCACCCAGTTGCGCGTGGAGACTCCTTGGGGCCAGGGTTTCTTGGACGATGACGATCGTACACAGCACGACACGTCATGACACCCTGGGCGAACGAACGCACGTTTAGGGTTGGCTGCAGCATTCCGCCCCTAGTTTGACACTACAGGCTGATGGGAACGATACCCCAAGATGTGACAACGTTAGAAGATGTGTGCTAAGAATAGATCTTGTCTCGTGCGATCGCGTTCGAAAAGAAAAAACCATGAGCCCGATCGCACCCAACACCAAGTGCACTACCCACGACACCGTGACTGCACCAGCCACCAGCCGCGGTGACAACCGTCTTCCAAGGTACTGTACGTCGAAGCAGATGTCGAGTGTTGTCACATGTTCACACACGGCCGCACGGTGGTCTTGTCTTCAACTGCGACAACGTTCACGTTTCCTCTCACGTATGGCGGCAGTGCGATTCCCAAAGACAGCTCGCGTTCGAAAATCTGGTGAGCTTCTCCGCAATACGCAGCTATGTCGTGCGGAGGAATACCGGCTGCCTTCGACATGTTGGAACTTTGGCGGGCGGGTTTTTCCCACGTCAGATGCCGGTGGCTTGGACGCCGACGTGGTAGTGAATGGTCATTCCAATAGCAGAAAGAAGTTTTCGATCGAGGCCACAGCATGGAGCCAACGCCGGCGTCCGTCGTGGAGCACAAGAGACGTCCAGCGAATTCGACTCCAGTCATGTGCGCTAAGCAACTCTACACGACCGCTGGCTGTACTTGGTAGGAGATTCGTATGTAACTCTTCTTTAAAACATGAATGATTGCAAACGTGGTCTTGAAATGGACGAGCACATCATGATGCAATCTGAGCTGGTCGCTTGTCATCAAGGCAGGATATGCGCCAGAGTCGTTGAACAGTCTATCCTAGCGCAAAACGAATTACCATTACATGCTCCGAAGTAAAAGTCACTAGCTTTGGATATGAATAATGTGACGAACTGCTTATATCCCATCAGTATAGTATCGAAAACTACGCAACTAGTGCATCGACATATGTCTTCTTATTCTGTGGCATCGGGTTGGGCAGACGGATGGCTGGCCTTGAACGCAGGAAGCGCGGCCAACGCGGCTTGGATGCGCGCAATGGTTGGGTACTTGTCCATGTTGACCTTGAACCGATTGGCGTTGTACACTTGAGGTTCCAAGTACAAGTCGGCAATGGTGATGGAGTCGCCCACGGAGTACACGCCGGCGGTCTTCTTGAGCTCTTCCTCGAGGACGTCGAAGCCGCGCTCGATCCATTCGTGGCCCCATGCGATCTTTTCGGCAGCTTGGTCCGCTGCGGGGAGCTTCACGGCCGCGCGTTTGAGGACAGCCAAGTTTTGAACGGGTTGGATGTCGCATCCAATTATGCCGACGAGATTGCGGACTTGGGCGCGGGCGAACGGGTCCGACGGAAGCAACGCCGGTTCGGGATGCGTTTCTTCGAGGTATTCGATGATGGCACCGCTTTGGTTGAGCACATGGCCGTCGATCTCCAGCGTTGGCACGCGCTTATTGGGGTTCACGGCACCAAACTCGTCGCTCACTTGTTCGCCCTTCAACAAGTTGATGGGGACGTAGTCGTACGGAATGTCTTTCAGGGACAACGCGATGCGGACACGCCACGAGCAGCTACTGCGCCAGTACGAGTGCAGCTTGGCATTGGCAGAGGAACTGACCTTGCCAGGGGACGAAGCGGCCTTCGTCGGGGACCCCACCTTGGCCTTCTTGGCTGGCGAGCCAACTTGGTCTTGTTTGCGCGGACTGCGGGCGTCTCCTTGCTTGGGCATTTTGGATTTGGTTTCATTCAACGGTTGCATCAATCGTTATCCGGATATGATATCCGGATAGACCGATAATTATCCGATCGTGGAATTCGGCCACAATGAGCGTCGTGGCGTTGTACGATGGTCGCCGCAAGAAAATCGCCGTCACGGCTGGAACGTACATGGTCCGATGATGGACCCATCTAGATGCATGTTCATATCATGTTTGTCTAGTCGGATGTGTTGAAGAAGGCTTGCGAGGGATTCGGCCTTGACAACATTGAACGCCTCGAGTTGCGGCACAAGGACAAGGTCGTGGACTTGTCGATTCCGTTCCGGCTGTCGGGGGTGTCCGTGAATGCGGTGCTAGAAGTCAAGGAGGTAGCTAACGCCGCACAAAGCGATGTGCGCGTGGGGATCCAGCTAGTGGACGGCCGACGAGTCCAAGGGAGTTTCCGGCCCAGCACACCCGTCATCGAGATCTTGGTGCAGCTGGGTATCCCCACCGACATCACGTTGAACTTTATGCGTCGGGATCTCAACCCACACGAGTTTTCTTCAGTGACGTTGCAACAGTTGGGACTGCTCACTGGCTCGGCCATGTTTCGCGTCAAGGCAACACCACCACCATCGTCGGCTTCGGTTGCTCCTGTTGCGCCGTCGCCTCAAACGACATCCAGCAGCGTGAATTCGATTCCTTCTGCTCGTCCTTCAAACACAGAGACGATCTCCCCCGGCACAACTACAGTCGCCTTGCCACGTCCGTCCGTCGAGCACGTCATCACAGCCGACGACGTGGACATGCAAGATGCTACAGCGTTGGCACCGCCCACAGTGTTGAGTTCGTACGACGCACTCCAACTGGTGCGCAACACGTGCTTTGACGCGGTCTCTACAGAAGTGGTGCTGACCCTGATGAAGATTGTGTGCAACATTTTGTCCAAGCCTGGTACGAACCACGTGGTCTTCTGCACGCCGTCACAGACCACGTGATCGCATACGTGATGCATTCTGTTTGGATGTTGTAGACGAGCCAAAAGTGCGGTCGATCCGAGCGGCCAACCCGAAGTTCCACGACGCCGTGGGAAAGCACCAAGGCGGTGTGATGTTTTTGCAGTCGTTGGGGTTCCAACAACTAACCAACGAAGGAGATGGCAGCAGCACCAGTCACTTTGTGCTGCCGGAGGACGCCGACACGGCGTTGCTGCGTCGGGGACTGGCCTTGCTGCAGGACCAAGCGGACGACCTCCGCCTCCCGCCGACGTCGCGCCCGTCGGTGGTCGTCCCGGCCGCTTCCCCCGTCGAATTTGACGCGTACAAGGCCGTGATTACGCGTGTGCAGGTACTTGATCGAGTTTCGTGTGAGAAATGATTGACTTCGCACTTGGCAGGCGCAACCGCGAGGACTGAGCGTTACGGAAATGCGACTGGAAGACCTCAAACGTAAAGAAGAAGCGCTCTTGGCGATGATCCACATCCCGGCGCGGAACCCCCGCGTGTTCTTTCCGCATGAACGTGTACGTACATATGTATATATATTGTCTGCTTTACCCTACATTTGGAATTGGGCGGTGATTCGCCAAATCTATCGATCGATTGGTTGTTCTACTGAATAAAGTTGTACTTCAAAGGATGTAGAATCAAGTTGTTGAGTGGGGAATGGGATGATCACACTAATTGAAGACGTATACTAATTAGGGGTGGTGATGAGAATTTCCTGCAATCTGATTGGCTCAAATTCTTCTGCCGATTCGTCTGCAATACATTTATTTGGTTGAGTCGATTAATTATTCTCCAATTTCGAGTAAAACACAAAAACTATATATCTATCTATCGGTATACCTTACTGGACTCGTGAATATCGGGGTTGTAGCTTCCCCCGTTGGCGACGACGGCGGCCAAAGCGGCGACGGCGGCATCCAGTGACTCTCAATTGCTGGCCCAAGCCATGCGAGCCCGGCAAGAAGAGGCCGAGAAGAACCAGGTAACGCCACGTGTATGTACTGTTCGTATGTATGTTGATGGCTGGAATTGCTGTAGAACTTTCGGACGTTGGCCATGCGTGAACTCGACGACATGCAAAAGAAAACAGTGTTTCAGAGCACCGTGCTGCGCATTCGATTCCCCGATCAAGGTATTTTTTATTGTCCTTTTACCCAATATTTGGACTTTTGTGATGAATCGCCGAATCTATCGATTGTTTGTATTGAATTTTGTATGAAACATCGTCCAGTGAAGGCACACACTAATTCAATGTTGAATTGGTCCAAGAGTGGATCATTTGATTGGCTACTTAATTAGTGTTGTGTGTTTTGATTGGTCGATCTTTGACTGTCTGTCGATTTGGTGATTCTGGTCATTCGATTGACCACCCGAACACTCGAATTTCGAATATCTTGTACAATATATATATTGTGTTGTCCTTTGAGCAAGACAATTGTCCAGTGTCACACTAATTCATATTAAGGTCATAATACATACACCAATTCAATGTTGAATGGTTGAAGCGAGAATTTGATTGGCCACTTGATTCATGTGCTGGTTTTTGATTGGTCAATCATCGATTTGATGTAGTAGTACGGAACACTCATGTGTTTGGTGTGTGTGTAGTGACACTGCAAGCAACGTTTCACCCGAAAGAGACGCTGGCGGCGGTCGTGTTGCATCTGAACGAGTCGCTGGCCGACAGTGGTCGTCGGTCGTTTTCATTGTATGTGACACCGCCGCGTCAAACGTTGGCGCTGGACGGTTCTGCAACGTTGTCGCAGTTGAATTTGGTGCCCGCGGCGTTGGTGTATCTGCAGTGGACGACACCCCCCGTCGACGGTGCGCTATCTCACGCTGGGTCATACTTGCGGGCGTCAGTGGTACGGAACACGGCGTACACATGAGGCTTGTTCAATCATGACATATAGATCGAGGCTTTGTGCGAAGAGACAAAGGATGACGACGGTGACGGGTGAGTATTTATATATATGCGTAGCAGTGAGTGGCCGGCCTCTGCTAACGTCGTCTGTGGATGTGGTGGAGTAGGGGTACGTTGTACTACCCTGCGGCCCAGACGCTCGACGACAAGTCGAACAAGGTGGCGAAACTCAACCCTGCTGCTCCTCCCCATACAACCAAGGCCAAAGCATCCAAGCCAAGTTGGTTCAAGTTGTAATCCTTGGCACCTGTTACTTGGTAGAACGAAGAACACATTGTACGACTATCAATTGGCGAGTTATTCACACATTCTAGTCGAGGTAACCCCCAACGTACCGTTTCTCCATTTGAATCCAGAGGCACGTTGTATCTAAAACGACTCGTGTTGTATACTTCGTGTAATAACCTCGTCACAGATGCTGCCTCGCCCGCCCATATATGTATGGACACGACAGCAGCACCGTTGCTTGTCATTCATATTGTAATGATGGCATATTCGTCCATTATGGTCGTTCAATCACTACGTCTTGAGTGCCTTCTTCTTGGCTTTGTACTTGTCCCAGTGGGCCTGCACCTTTTGGTTGTAGTTTTTCGCGTGCTTTTGCTGGGTCACAGTCAGCGTCACGACTTGGAGCACGTCTTCGTCTTGCAGCACGTGTTCCTTGCCCACGCGCTGGGGGTTGTACTTGGTACTCGTGCCCCACACAAGCGCAAAGTTGAAGTTGTCGAGCATGTCCTTGGAAATCTAACACCAATCACAAACAACACGATTTATATCGTGAGATCCCAACGTAAGCAACCAAAAAAAAGGACGAGCGCAACGACGTACCGACAGACACGCCGAGTTGACCGTCGTGCCTTTGCGTTCAGACGACAGCACCACCGGTTCCAATAGCCCCGGTTGCTACATATATAGATAGTACAAGTGTAAGAACCCCGAAACTCCGCAACCCCGAAACACCGAACGTCATGTACTCTTATTTCACGTACTTCGCCCCGGCGCTTGGTGTACACACGTGTGAGCCCCATGTAGTTCCACATGGTTGCGAGCAAATGGTCAAAGTTGAGCTACGTAAGGCATCAGTTTACATTTTTACTCAAAAAGAGATGATGCAAACAAGGAACAGCAGCAGGAGGATGTATGAAGACATGGCCTGACTCTAGGAAATGGAGGAGGAGTAGTACCGCGGGGCGGCCCTTGTGTTCGCATGCAATCACGACAGAGTGCGGGAGGCGCGCAAGGCGGTCGACGTCTTCGATGGACACGACGTCGATCTTGTTGTACACGTAGAGGCACTTGATGTACTTGCGGTTGCCTTCGAGCACATCGATGAGGTCGTCCACGGTGCAGTCTTCCCGGAACAGCAGTTCGCAATTGTGCATGCGATATTCATGCAGGATTTTGTATACTGTCTTGGCTGGGTCGTCTCCGAGCTAAGGCAAACACAACACAATGGTTGGGGTATCAGGCCACGAACCTGAGGTTCATGTAGGTAGAGTTAGGTATATGTTACCTTGGTCAATCGAACGGTAGCGTTGAACTGGACCCCGCCGCCCGCCTTTTTGCGAAAGTAAATGTCTGGCGGGTTGCGGTTTAAGCGAAGCCCCACGGTTTCCAGCTCGTTTTCGAGGATCGTGCGGTGGCGGTTGCCTTCTTCGCGCCCGGCGTCGAGCACCATGAGGATCATGTCGGCCGACTTGGACACGGCAATCACTTCGCGACCGCGGCCCTTGCCATGCGACGCGCCTTCGATGATCCCAGGCAGATCGAGCAGCTGCCAGCATGTGTGCAACGGTCACGACAAGAGATATGGCGAATCGAGAGGACGTACCTGGATCCGGACGTCGTTGTACATGAGGTTCCCAGGAATGCAAGTCAACGTGGTAAACTCCACGGCGTTCGTTTCCGATACTGTGTCGGTCAATTGACTACAAATACGTGTGCATCATCAGCACATGGACGGCGGTCATGATGATGGAGAACCCACCTGAGCAACGTCGACTTGCCCACAGAGGGGAACCCGATCAACGCCACGCGGCCATCCCCACTGCGCGCCACGTCGAAGCCTACCAGGACCATGAACATGTGTGCTGACGTAACATTGAAGCTATGCAGACAAACCTTCGCCACCGCCTCCGCTGGACTTTTCGCCGTCGAGCAATTCCGTGCGCAACTTGGCCAACTTGGCCTTGAGGTGCCCCAAGTGCCCTTCCGTGGCCTTGTTCTTCTGGGTCCGCTTCATCTCATCCTCTAGAACTCGGTGTCAGATCCTCTCCATGCCAAGTACTTGGACGGACCTATCTCCTTGATCTTATCAACGATCCCCATGATGCTCCTTCCTGATGCCCTCTAGCACTCCCGATGATGGATGAATGGCCTGGTTTTCGTTCGCTCAAATAAATTGCCCGCTATGTTTAAAAATAATAGAATTAAAATTCACGCCGTGGCATTGTAAATATTCAATGAAATTTGCTCGAATGATTGAATTAATGTCGTTCGTTTAATACTTTTGTACGGTTTACCAGCTAATCGACATGCAACGAATACATGAGCTTTCCGGCAGGACTGCATGGCAGGTACTCGACGAGCCGAATGTCCAAGTCTTGTAGCATCGTAGGCAGATGCGCAGTGCACCACGCCGTCAACTCATCCAGCGTACTTTTTGGGGCCACGACCAGCGCCACCGGCTTGACGTAGCCTACCTTCGACGGCACTTTGATCAACAGCGGCAACAGGACATCTGTCACGTGTGGGTTGTTCAGGATGGCTCGCTCCACTTGTTGCGGCGGTACAAACACGTCCATTCCTTGCGAACGGACGTGGATTGGGTCTCGCAATCTGTACCCGACGTACAGGATGCCATCGTTGGTCATGTCGCCGCCATCTCCCGTGTGGTAGAACCCAGTGCGGCTAATTGGGGATAAAGTGCCATGCTCCACATACCCGATGCATTGCCATGGCGTCAGCACTAGAATCTCACCGCGTTCTTCGCCATCGAGGAGTCGGCACGGATTCGTCGGAACGGCAATGTGCACTTGGGAGCCCTGCCAAAGTTGCCCCACCGCTTGCAACGATCCGCCGAAAGGGTTGGTGGAGGCCGTAGTCAATAATTCCGTCGCAATGCCGCCAGTTTCGGTAGAGCCGTAGTTTTGAAGCACAGTGAGGCCAAATTTGTCTCTGAGCGCATGCCTCAGGTCCAGCGGCAAGGCGGTGCCGGCACTGAATGCCATGACATGGCTCAATGAGCAAGCTGAGGAGGTGGTATCGAGTGTGGTGAGTTTCGTAAAAGTGCCTGGTGTGCCGTAGAGAATGGTTGGACATGGGGTGCTAGTGCAGGAGAAGGGGAGGCGGATGGCTTCGACGTGGATGTCGAGGTGCAGTTCACACAAGTGGCCGTACGGGGACGTATAAATGGCAAACAGTGCGTTGATAGCATAAGCATGAGCAATAGACGAAGCACAGACGACGCGGCTAGGGCCTTGAGGGAAGAGTAGCTCATGCGTGGCTTGGCCTTGGAGAAACATGCTGGTCCATGTGCAAAAGACGATCTTGGGCAAGCCAGTGCTGCCAGAAGTGAGCATGCACACACCACCACGGTCTTGCACTTGCGAGTGCTGGAGCCAAGCATCTCGGGGTGTTGTGGTCGATGGAACGACATGATGGTGTGAGACTTGGTTTGTCTCGGGATTGATAACCAGAGAAATGCCGGTGTACTCGGCGACATATGGTACCAAGGTTGTTGCTCTCGACAACGGAACCAACACGCACACTCGCTTCAGGATGGCTGCCGCGGCAATGACCAGCGCACTTGCGCGAGCGTTCTGGATAAGCAACACAAACGGTGTTGTGCTACTACTTCCTTGGAGGAGACGTTCCAGCAGCGGAACACCTTCATCGATAAAAGCATCTCGGGCATGTGTGATCACCGATGATAACGTCGGGCTGCCGGTAGGCGCACTGCTGTTTCCATCACTGCTGACAGCTTTGATCCTTCCGCCTTGTCGGACGATCATTGAAATGTGGTGTGATTTCGTGGCTGTGATTGGTCGTTTGACCGGTCCTACGATGGATTTGATTGGCCAGTTATGCAATTGGCAGTTACAGAGCTAAGTTTCGACAAATGTGTCAATATTGCGCGGAACATCCAAAGGACATCTCATCCTTGCGTCAATGCGGCGTGAAAACCAAGAACAAGATGAGGACAATGTCCGCCCACCATCAAGTGCTAAAGGAAGCAGGCTAGGAAGCAGGTCAACCTACGTCATGGGAGTGCCGAAATCCAACCCCATATTGCCCACGGTGAAACTGCACTTTCCAAGCTTCAAACTCACCGCGGGATCCCCAACAACAGGTACAACCATGTAGCTAGCTGTATATGCAAGAGAAAATTCACATGCAGGTGCAGATATCGCTGACTCCGTGGTTCCAAGAACGCCACGGCCACCAACGTCGACGGGTTCAAACGTTCGTCCACGAAGTAGTGCTGCCCACCGCGTGATCACTCGTCCAGCGACAGGCAATATGCACTTATCCAAGCAAAATGGGCGTAAAGAGCGACCGAATACTTCCAGCGGAGTGAAGCGCAGACCAACAACGCCATGCTTTCTTACGGAGGGAAGCATTGCCCAACATGATTCCACCACCGACGAACCGTCGTATAGTTTTGACGACTATTTCAAGTCCAACTGGTTTCACGACAGAGAGGAATGGCTCCGCATATCTCAATCCAACCACACTTACGGCAAGTCCATGTACTTTGAAGGAGCCGGCGACATAACTGGCCATTGGGCCGACTGCCAAGTCAAGGAATACAATGCCAAGGTCAGTCCAACCACAGCGTCTTCTGCTGTCTAAGAATGCTCACACGTGTAGTCGGGGATGTTTTCGATTGTGTTTACCCATTCAGGCATTGAAAAGCAAGTGTTTCGGGTAAATCTGCTGCTCCCAGCTGTTGGTACGATATGCCTAAACACAAGCTACATGTTGACCATAATTGTCGCCTCACTCAAGATGCCACGTAGACGACGAGGCGGCGTTCCTTCGCCAGCGAGACATTTACTTCAAAGAGACCAGACTCATTTACGAGCTTGTCCGTTGCGAGCGGTTTGTTTGCAACGATGCAGGGGATGACGATGGTGACCTGTGGGTGTTGTCCCTGAAAACCAAAGGCAGAATCACACAGCTCGCGATCCGTCGGCACCATATCACTCAAACCCTGGCAGTCCACGGCGCCATGCTGACAGCCATGCTGCGTGGCATCGATGCAGATTATGCCAGCGTCATGCGCCGCTCCAAGATCGACGTCGTCGGGGAAGGGAACAATTCCATCACCACACCGCTGCATTCGACGTTGGTGAAGGCGTACTTGCGGCAACAACGGCTCACACATTGGTGCCACAAGCCACAGATTCCCCACCGACTGCTGGCGTTTTCGAAAGCTAGGGACAAGGTCGTGGCCACCCACTTGGACGCCACGCGCGCGAGTTTGCACCTTTTGCATCGCATCATGACGATTTCTCAACGCGTGCTGCCAACCATTCGACTGTTCCACGAGATTCAGAGCGACTATGACGCGGCGGTACAGTACATGCTAGGAAGACACGATGCTCAATACCTATCATGTTGATCACCGTGAGTAGAAGCATCGGTTGAGGCCGCCGTATTCGCTTGAGGATTACATTGCCCTTCAACAGGACAACTTGAACGAAGCGTTCGATACGTTGAAATTCGAGTGGCGCCAAGAAGTACGTAGTCATGTTGATGATAATTGTGGTGTAGGATTTAACGATGGGCAATAGATCATCCAGACCATTGAGGGCGCCACCATACCTAGGACATTGCAGTCCAGCATGCATCGATTCACAAACCGAATTGACTACATCCTTGCCAACGATCTCAGTCAAGCGGTACGTACCTACGCACCATCGTTATGTGTGACACTGTCGTACAATCCTAGCTGGCAACAGCGTTTGGCGACTACCACGACATGTTGTTTGGACGTTGGTGCAAACTCGTGACAGATTCGAGCGACGCCACACGTCCCGTGTCGACCATCCGTCGCCGGAATTGGAGCGCCATGTTCAAACCCAGGCTGAAACCCCCACTCATCCGCCTCCACATCGTGTCCACGGTGGTCGACAACGAGGACAACAATTCCCTCCGCACGGTTCAATTGCATCCCACGCTGAGTGACGTACAGCAGCAGGTTGAACAAGTCATTTCCAGAGCCATCGCGCGCTGCATGGACATCCACTGTGTCCACGGCGAGGACAGTTTGACAGACAACGACGGGGCCACGTCACTTGTCCGAATTCCGCTGCTCAACAAGGTTCATTTGTATGTGTTTACGGCGGCATGTCAGCGTAGTGCGTTGTCGTAGAGTCGCGACGTGACGAGCCTGGGGAGCAAAGTCATGGACGACTCGCGCGTGTCGTTTGATCGCGCTACGGCCATGCCACGACAACTGGCAGAGGCGTTCCAGGCACTTTGCGATCGCCTTCATGAGCGCCGGACGGCGTTGCGCGCGCTGTGCCAGCCCCATCGAAACCATCCGTTTCTACCGCAGACTGAGTTTGACGAGATTGTCCGGGAGCTGCGTTGGTTTGGCCACACTCTTCATGACGTAATAGCATGCTTACCTTTTTTCTACTTAGATCTCGTGTAGGTCCGCCATCTCGCGTGCGACGTGGAACAGTATCCGCTTGTGGAAATCTCCACGGCCGACATCAAAGCGGTATGCTCATGTCGAGCCAACACAAGGATCATGTAACCACTCACTGTATCTCAGACGCTAGTCATGGACATCCATCGCACGATGCAAGCCTCGCTCGAGTTTTTGAGTTTGAACTGCCATCACCAAGAGCGCCGAATCGCGGAAATGTACGACCAGGACATGAAGACACTAGCGGTGCCCCCGGAAAATGAAGCCACATTGGACGTGCTCTGGACGTTTCTAAGCGACGTCGACAGCGTCGTGGACGACCGACAGGCCCAAGTCGACAGCATCGCAGACCGCCTCTCGTCGTTGGACGCAGTCGGGTACTTGATCAACCACCCCGTGGGCGTGTCGACAACCAAGTTCCACTGGACCTTGCGGGGATACCCGTCGACGATCCTGCTCGAAGTCAAGACATGCCAGGATGCTTGCGAAGCCCGGAAAAAGTCGCTCAGCGCGTCGCTGTTTATGGAGAAACGCGCGTTCGAGTGCGACGTCGTGCGGCTCAAAGATGCCATCTTGGTGTTGACCACCAAGACGGAATGGTCCAAGGACAACGTGGAAATGTACGCCGACGACGCGCAAACCCTCCACGAGAGCGTCGAAGCGTGCCTCCGCAGGTTGCAAGACTTCGCCCGCCGCGACCGCATCTTTGGCTGGACGCCGATGGAATCCACAAATGTGACACTGTTGCAAGCCCTCCTCGAACCGTACTTTGCCTTTTGGACCACCTCGTCCGACTTTACCACGTCTACCACGACGTGGTCCAAGACACCGTTCGAGCAACTTGCCGCCAAGGACGTCGTGACCAAAGTGGCGGCGTGGCAGGCCCAACTGCGCGTGTTGACTGTCCAACTGGGCAAACAATCGACGCTCCAGCCGGCGATCGCCACGTTGCACGCGGAATTGGACGCGTTTTGCGTGGGGATGCCAATCGTCCACATGGCGGCCACGGGGGCGATGAAGGGCCGGCATTGGGAAACAATCGTGGACCTGCTGGACGTAGACGCGCGGCTGATCCAGGACGACAGGCTGCTCTTCACGCTGGACGACCTCGTCCGCGGCGGCATCCTCTCAGTGCTCGAATTTGCGCACAACGTGCACCAGAAAGCCCTCCGGGAATTCCAACTGGAACAATGTCTGCAAACGTTAAAGAAAGACTGGTGCAAACCCGTCGTGCACGTCGACAAGTACCTGTTAAAGGACACGTACGTGGTCGTGAACTTTGCGCCGCTGCTGGCCATGGTGGACGACCAACTAATAACGATCTACCAAATGTGCTCGAGCGACGATGTCGACCCGATTGAAGCGGACGTGGACGAGTGGAAGGTGAAACTCTTGTACACGCAGCAGTTGCTGCAAACGTGGAGCCACGTCCAGCAGTCGTGGAGGGCGATCGAATGCTTCTTCTACAAGCAAAAAGAAGGCGACAGCGCGTGGCAAGATTTTGCCAAGGTGGAATCCACGTGGCGTAGTGTGATGGAGTTGGTCCGGGGGAACCCTGGTTTGGCCAAGATTGCCGATTCCGACAACGTCAAGGTATATGAGTCTTCGCAACCAACCACGTTTCGTTGATGCTGAAGGCATGTATGTCCTTGTAGGAACCATTGGAAAAGTGTTTGCGCATGCTGCGGAGTGTGCACAAGGTGGTGACGTGCATGCTCGATGCCAAGCGCAGTGCGTTTCCCAAACTGTTTATGGTGTCCAACTTTGATTTGGCGCACATTCTATCGGCGCAACGCATCCAAGACGTGCCCCCGAAACTCAACGGGTTGTTTGAAGGCATCGACATATTTCAAGTCGACCACGAGTGCATTCAGGGCATCACGCTCAAGACCGGGGACACGCTCGTGCTTGTGCACCCTGTCGCATGTACGACCCCGGAGCGCGACGGTTGGTTTGTCGACATCGTTCACGTGCTGATGAGTGTGGACGCGTCCATCAAGCTGTCGATCGAGCAGCTGATTGCAACGACTTGTCAGAATTCTGACGGCATGCAAGTCGCGTACAAGCTGGACTTGCCCCTTCAAGTGATCTTGGTGGTCCTGCAGATCAAATGGGTGGCGATGATGGAGGCCGAGATGGACAACCAACCGCTTAACGTTACTGGTCACGACCATGTGTTGGAGGTCCTCCTGGCGTTGGAAAAGGGTTTGATCCACACGATACGAACGGGGCCGACCGATGTCAAAGTGGCCACGATTCTAGCCAAAGTGGTCAGCCTCGTCCACCACACCAAGGCGTTAGCGCAGTGCAGTACCCATTCCTTTGACTGGCTATCGCAACCCAGACGATACCTGCACTACGCACGACCCAAGCCAGCCCACGTCATCCAAGTGCTGGACACGGAAATGCACTACCAAAACGAGTTTCTGTGCATCCGACAACCTCAAAGCAACGTCTCCACCGACAAGATGCTGTACAGCGTGTTCATGAGCATGCGCCACCTTCGAGGGGTGATGCTACAGGGGTTTCATATGGTGCATACCGCCGTGTACTTGACGCAATCTATCGGGGCGTCGTTGGTGGTCGAAGTCTTGTCGAAAGAATCCAAGTGGACTACCCTAGGTCACGTGTTGAAGGGGGCCGCCGCGTCCGGATCGTGGCTCCTCCTTCATCGCATGAACGACGCTCCTTCCCCTTTGTTGTCGATACTGACCCAAGTGATGGTGCACTTTGCAGCCAGTCACGCGTTGCACGTGCTCCACCTTCCGCAGTATCCCAAGGCCGAGTTACACCCGTCATTTGCGTTGTTGTGCACGCTGAATAGCCATCGAACGTGTGCCCCCTTACCCACGAGCCTCAGTGCCGCGTTCATGCCTTGCTCGGTGGTCCAACCATGTCTGTTGCAGTACACGATGAGTACGCTGTATGTGTTTGGGTTCACGTAAGTACAGTTACTCTTACGACACTGCCACCCGTTGGGTAACTAGCTAAATTATCAAATAGGCACTTTGAAACGATGGCCAAACGAATTGTCCGGTTTCTAGAGACCATGTGCATCGAGAAACTGAACCTCTCGAGTGACATCCCCATGACCGCGCTCTTGTCGCACGGGTACATTCGCGTGCTGGTGCGCACCGCAAGCTGCGATTTGGCCTCGCACATGATTCAGGCAGCCAAAATGACGAGTTTGCACGACGAAGTGGTCGCCATGACCCAAGCCATCGAAAGCGTATTCCTTCCTCGCCTCTCACATCAAGGTATCCATCCAGTCTTATTCCACCAACATGACTAAACATGTCGATTCATATGTACATGGATCGTAGATGTACAGTCGACGCGAGCTGTGTTGGACCATACGTTCCGATCCCCTTCGTCTGTTTCTGCGACATCGTCGTCAAAAGACGAGGCCATTCGCACTGCCATTTCCACGTGGACATCGTCGTCTTCGTCCTCTCATTCTATCGACGTTTCTGACTACATGACCCGAAAACTGCACCAATTCCTGGTCAACACAGACATATACTTGTGTACGTTGGTCTCGGGGGCAACCCTGTCCAGCAAGTCGGCCATGTTGACAGCGGCTGCCGCCGTTAAGATCGTGTTGAACCCATCGACTAAAGTCCATGTACTCCTTTACGTAATGACCTTTGTATGCGTTGACATGCTGGGCACGTGTATTATATATAGGTACTTCGAGTGTACACGTCCAGTGTCGAGAACCTTGTGGGGTCATTTTACGGGGACACGAGGTGTGGCCTTTTGCAGCAGTGGATTCACGACGCCACAGTTGTCGCGGCGAAGGTCGAGACGTGGATCGTGTTGGACGGCGCAGCGTCGCAAGACATGACCGATGCCGTCGTGTCGTTTCTGGAACAGCATATGAACATGCGGCTGTTCAATATGGCCAAGGGCATTCAGCATACGTGGCGACTGGTCGTGGAAACAGACATGTTGGCGCAAGTAAGCCCAAGCTTTGCCGCAGTCAGCGGGCACGTCTACATGGACGCCGACTGCTTGACGTGGCGTCAAATCTTGTCCACGTGGTGCCAACGGCCAGGATCAAACGGCAAAGTGCACAGCAAGGCGATCTCGGATACGGCGGTGTGGGTCATGACCGTGACATTTGGGCTGCTCAAGCAGCCGACCACGACTCGACAGACGCACCATATGCTCAGTGTATGCCGCTTGGTGGACATGGTGGTCGAGGCGGACGGCGGGTGGCCAGCACAAGGCCATCAGTCCGTGGTGCTGGCCGAGGGGTACTTTGTGTTTGCCGCGGTGTGGTGTATCGGCGGTGGCCTGGAAGACGGCGATGTGAAGCAAGCGTTTAGTGACTCGTTGAAGGAAGTGTTGGCTGGGACCAAACCCCACATGCGGCGATCGGCGGTGCCGTTTCCACCGGGTACATCCAAAGCTGTGTTTGACTTTGTTTTCGACAGTCCAACTTTGTCGTGGAGGCTGTGGGAGGAGCTGCCGCCTCCCTCGACGGCAAGTCCGCCGCAACCACCACCACCATCAGCAGGCATCGTGGTGCCACACTCGAATGTTGCGATTGGACATTTCTTTTCTCGAATGGCAGTCTGTAACCACTACCCTGCCACTCGGGTGCCGATTGTATTTACTGGTCCCACGGCTTGTGGCAAGTCGATGGTGCTTCAAGCGATGTTGCTGCGGCCGGAACTCGACCCCCAATTGCTTGCAGCGTGTCGACATCGGTCGTCATACACCACAAAGCAGCTCATTCTCGAGCCGTTGGTGGAGATTCGTCAACATGTCATGGGCACTCGAACAGAGTCAACGCATTTGGTGCTTCTAGACGACGTGCATGTATCCGCTGACACTGGCTTGGACTTTATTCGAGAATGGACAGAAGACAAGAACCACTCGTGGCTGGTCGACACCCGATCCATCTCGGTGCCCCACGCGGTGTTTCTGGCAACCATGCGACACAGTTCGAAACCTTGTGTGAGCGGTCGCATCTTGCGGCACTTTGTGCAAATTCGTCTGGCAGCGTATACTGACTCGTTTCTGTTGACCATTTGTACGGTGGTCGCCCAACATGCCATCGTCGCGTGTTCATCCCTGTTTCCATTTGGCAACCAAGTGGCGGCGGCGACGGCGAAGTTAGTCCACCATCTGCGACACAACACGGCGCTGGGATGGAACGTGCTGGCGCGGGGCCTCGACGTCCTCCGGGTGGTGTGCGGGATGCCTGGTGAAGTGTATGCGTCCTCTGGAGTAGCCATGCTATGGAGCCACGAATGTCAGCGCGAGTACGAAGACGTGTTTCGAAGTGTGGACGATGTCGAGTGGTTCCGGCAGCACCTTGTCTCATGCTGTGCCAGTGTGTTCGGCAATGACGACGCAGACAAACTGACCACGACCTTTCGGCTCAACCCGCTCATGTATAGCCCAAACATCCACCAACCGCAGTGTTACGAAGAGATCTTCCGCACTAAGTACTTGACAGACACGCTCGGAAGTTGGTTGAAAAGCCATCGCTCTGGGACCAACCACCGCGACACGTTTATCTCGTCGTCGCAAGCCGGGTTGCTGGCCCGCGTCCTTCGTGTGCTGACGTTGCCCCTCCGAAAACATCCTCGCCTGACGTACATCTTCACTTACGGACCCTCTGGTGGCCACACCGTCCTAGCTTCGACCTTTGAATTGGCCGGTCACATTCTCGACGTGCCGTTCCATGTCGAGCCCCACGATCGTATTTTGACTTACTTGCGAACTAACAAACCACCGCAACACCGGCCACGCATTGTGTTTGTTCACAATGCAACCTCGATCAGTCAATCCGATTGGAACGACCTCCAAGTTATAACCGCCGTCTCCCCCGTCTTCGTCGTGTTTGCATTCGACGTGTCCAGTGCTCATGAAGCAAGCTGCGGATCGACGTATACAGTGCTTTGCGACCGCCCTAGCTTGTATGCGCACTCGCATATTTTGTGGCTCGTCACGAAGTCGGACGGGACGGACGTCGGTCAGATCTGTCGGAGTACGCTGAAACATCACTTGATCGACCATCCCATGCGGGATACGCTGATGCAAATGTACGCAGAAGTGCAAGTGTTGAACGAGGCGCACTTGGCTAGCGGCTCCGTTGACCACGCGGCATCGCTAACTCGGTTCCACTTCTCCGAGTGCGTGGCGGCGTTGCTTAGCCACACCACCCACGCCATCAAGGACGCTGAAAAGTTGCTTTCCAATGCCCTCATTCATGCCAGCCATGTCACTACGAGCATCCACGACATCGCCGTCGCCATCGGACTCTTATCCAAGCGAATTCATGACAAAACGCAGCGTGCCGCCGACTGCTCGCGGGACCTAGTGCCGCTGCAGCAGTCGATTCATGATATTTCGACCCAACTTGGCGTCGGCGTGGACGAGATTCGACGAGAATCGGCCGAGTGCGATTTGTTGACGGACAAGCTGGCAAGCCACATGGACCCGTACGACAAGGAGCTTCACCGCCGCATCAACGACGTCCTGTCGTTCTCGGACGACTGGCTGGACGAACCGCGGTCGTCGAAATTGCCGTCGGGATTACTTTCTCAAATGACTGACGTCGTCGCCGCCTTGGGCGCCCAAGTCAAAGGAATCAAGGACTCGGTGGCGGGGACCATCGACATGGACGATAAGAAGACGGCCAAGAAGGGCAGCGTGCGGTTCACACTGCAGCGAATGCTGACGCACTTTCCCGGCGCCCCTGCGTCGATCCTGGCCAAGATCAAGTTCATGTCGAATATGGCCAAAGCCGACATGCATACGCAAAGCCCGTGCGTGCAGACGCTCATGGCGTGTCTGGACTACGTGGCCAAGTGGCAAGTGGGGTACGACGCGAGCAAGAAAATCGCCGTCAAAATCCAGGACAGCCGCGCCCGCATCCAATCGATTCAAGCGCGCAACGCAGCCCTGCACGATATGCACTGCGTGGTGGCCAATCAGCTGGGCATGACACAAGCCGACATGGACAGTCGAAAGCGGGACCTGGACGTGCTGGAACGGCAAATGGAACATCGCCGAGAAGCGCGCCGGGTGGTTGAATCGTCGCAAGAGTACCTCGACCACGAACTCATCAAGTGGAACGACGCGCTCGAGGCCGAGCAGCTCAAACTCGCGTGGCTGCCTGGCATGTGCGCGGTCGCTGCGTCCACGTTTGTCTACTTGAAGCCGTATCCATGGCCCACAAGACAAAAAGTTCTGGACAGAATCCATAGCGTGCTCCAAGCGCACCAGATTCTGCTGCCGTCAGACACGTCCCTCGGTTTTTTCGCCCACGATCGCACCGACGTCGAAGGGTGGCACCTCCACGGCCTGCCCCGGAGTTCGTTTTACGTGTCGAACGCGGTCCTGACTGTGAATGCAATCCCGGCGCTGGTCAAATGGACGGTGCTGATTGACCCGGAAATGGTGGCCAAGACGTGGTTGGCGTCCATGTACCGTGGTCACCTGATCTGCACATCGTCGATGGAAACGGTGCTCCAGCGCGCGATTCTTCGTGCGATTAAACTCCACCACCCGTTGTTGATTGAAAACGTCGAAGGGCAATTCTCGGGATCGCTGTCACATTTCCTGAAAGTCCGATGTAGCGACGGAGTGCGGTACTTGCGCGTCGACGACCGGATGGAGCGGCTGCAGGCGGACTGGGCCGTGTACTTTACCACACCAATTCGGTACCCGACGTTTTCGGCGGCGGTGCACCGCGAGTTCCACGTCGTCAACTTTAGCTTGAGCAGCGCCGACGCGTCGGACTTCTTTGACGTCATGTGCTTGGATATGTGGGATGACAAGGAATGCAGCAAACAACGCCAGGCGTCCGTGGACTATGCCGATTCATGCCGCGACTTGCGCGAGGCGGAACACGCCCTGCTCGTTCAGCTCGCGAGCTCGTCCCCGACGAAAGAAGACCAGCCGCACGTGTTGCTGGAACTGCTAGAAGACATCAACCGAAAGCAAGTTGCAACCGACGCCAAAAAGGACGAGGTGATGGTTGACCACGCGTCCAAGCACCAGTATGCGGACGCGGTGGTGCCGCTGGCGACGCTAATGTTTGATTGTGTCGTGGGAATGGGTCTGGTGAATCATCAGTACACGATCTCGTTGGACGAGTTTGTGCGGCCGTTGCGCGCGTTCGTGACCAAGTTGCGCAGCGAATGGCAGGTGGCCACGTTGCGAGGGGGGGTCGACGCCCGCACTACTATGTTGCAGCGGTCATCGTCCCGCCGACTCACTAGCAACGCGGCTTCTTCCACCGCCAATCTGCGAAAGAAACCGATGAAAAAAATCCTCAAACCCGACGTGGTGTACACGACCGACCAGAAGGCATTGCTCGGTGCGTTCTCGGCGTCCATGACCAAGTTGCTCCATCCTAACCATGTGTTGCTGTGGCGGTTTCTCGTGGCGGCCACTCGGATTCTACACACGCCGGCGTGGATGACGCCGTGCGCCGCCACCACGAGCTTGTATATGGACATTGCGTGCATCTTGGACAACCAGTGCTATGCATTCCCTGTGAGCGGTGTCGACCATTTGCGACGTCCTGCGTGGGTCTCCAAAGCTGCGTGGGCAAATTTATGTGTCATCACCAAGCATCGCGGGTTCGAGTACATGTACGAGTACGTGTTGACGCACGAACATGCAATCGTTCACGACGATTGGGAACATGCGCAAGCCCTTGGTCACTTGAACAACGTCGCGGCAGCCTTGTTGCATCAGTTTGTGCTGCTGCTGTGCCTCCAAAGCCCGCGGCGATGGGCCGCCTTGAATGACCTGGTGCAGTTTGCATGGCAAGACATCGCACCGAGTAGTCCGCCGACGTCTGTGGTCCGGACGCTGGCGCATGTGCTCGACGCCACTGACCAGACGACCCCCATCATGGTGTTTTGCGACGACATGCCCACCATGTTGATGGTGCTGCAACAACAACACAGCAACACTATTGCTCCAGGAAGAACCACCAACCCGTTGGTCTCCGTGTTGAGCGGCGAAAATGATGCAGTGTCGACGCTACTGGACGAGCTCGACCGAGCCACGACCACTGGGACGTGGATGTGTTTGTTCGAGTGCAACCGCACGAGCGTCGATACGTGGGAAAAGCTAAGTCTGGCGTGGCAGGAAGCCATCAACCAGAAACCCCAACCGCAGCACCGGCTGTGGTTCATCACGGACATGCAACGCCCCATAAGCTCGTGCATTGCCACAAATGCCGCCAAGCGATGGTTTGTCCACCCGATTTCGGACGTGAAAATGGCCATCGAGTCGTGCGCCGCCGTCCTCGAGAAGGAAGCAGCGACGGTGGCAGACATCACGCAGTGGGACGTTGTTGCAAACGGTCTTGTCATACTCTGTCATTTCCACCACGTGATCAAGGTTCGTGTCATGAGTCGCATAAATACATATAGTATGGGGAAACGTGGCGATGTTCATTATATGCGTGTTGTATATGATGTAGATGAACGCAGCGTACTTTGATTGGATGCATCACGCGCAAGTAGACGACAACACGCTCGAAACCGCCGCGAAAGAACTGGTGGTCGTGGTGGCCAAAGGACTGGCGTCGTCGATTCGAGACTGTCTTGTTCGGGTGTATGCGGCGTACATTGTCAATAAGCACCAACTCGACCGACTGCAGTATCTGTTTGACTGGAATTTACACGCTTGTCAGAGTGTATCCAAGCCATCCCCAAGTGATGTTGTTGTTTCCCCGACGACCTACGCGGCATGTCAGGACTGGCTTGCTGCTCAAGTTCCGTACGAACATACCATCACAGCCGTCCCCGTGCCCCTTGCCCTCGAACCTCCAGTAAATGTCTTTTCGCAGTATCGCCAGTGTTTTCCAGGCGTTGCCGGGTACGACGTCGCTCACAACGACCAAGCCCTCATCCACGACCTCGGTGCATTTTCGCACGATCTCAAGATGAGTTTCTACGACGTGTTGGCGTCGGCGCGAACGTTCCCCAAGACCAGCGAATTGCATCGATATCTGCACTGGGAATGGCTCCAGTTTTCGTCGCAAGTGTCGCACATCCAGCGAGCGCTGGCGCAGTATTTGCAGCACATTTCCGACTGGTACGACGAAGCGCAACAGGTGTTGCTGGGAAAGTTTCCCTCGTCGTGGTACCTGACGCCCCAGTTCCGGATGAAAACGTGTGCGCAGTTGCTCACCCACGTCAAACGAGGTCGTAAGTTTTTTCATTCTGTGGAAGATGGCACCTTCACGACGTATTGGCTGCCAGCGCTCACAGACCCGCACCGCGCAGTTGAATTGCTCACACATCATGTGATTCAGCAGCACCCAGACATGCTATCGTCGTGGGAACATTTGACCGCGTCGTTCTTCGTGGCCGACTCATTGCTGGTTCGATCGCCGCTGATATATCGACTTGCCAAGCAACGCATCAAGCTGCGAAAAGCGGCGGCGGCCGACACCACTGCCCAGGACATCCACCTGTCGGGCATTCTCGCGTACAACGCCACATGGGACGAGTCGACGCGCACCCTTGTCAAACCTTGCAAGATAAACATGATTGAAGAACTTCCGCCCATCCACATGACCGTCACGAAAGCTGCCGACGTGACCGACCCCTTGAGCTACGACCAAGACGCCACCGACGTACATGAAATGCCAGTGCATGTCGTCGACAACAAGACGTCGCCTCCGACCCAACACGTAGTGTTCTCTGTCTGGATCAAGCTGCCAGATGACGACGACGACCGGCGATGGCTCTTGGCCAACGCGTATTTCGTAATCGGTTAGTATATTTTTGTCCTGGTCATTTAAGTCCCCCGCTGCTTCAACATACTAGTAGTCCATTGTAATACCACCAAATGTATGGTATAAAAATGTTAAGTGTATTCAATGGCAACCACAGCCCTAAACAAGGAGTGGTCGTTCATTGCATCGCGTTTGATATTGGCTAAACTTTCTCCATGAATACTACATTGTTATGGAGTTTAAAGGACTATGCGGCCTTGGAGGTCCAGCATACTGGACGCACTTTGCTGCAGCAGATGCAGCAGCTGTTTGACTTGATCGACGTCGAAGGACTCGTATACTTTATACTGGTCGTTGGCCACCACGGAGGCAAGCTGCAGCGCTTTTTGCGCAAACGGAAGGGTCAACTCTTGTTGGGCCTGCGTCGGATAATGCTGCAGGTCCGCAAACGAATCGATAGCGTCGGTGCACACTCGATAGAGCGAAAACACGACGAACGGCAGGCACGCGGCTCGCATGGCGCCGCTGGAAACGTCGGTCCCGTCGTCTTGACCAGTCGTCGACGATAGCCAACCGCCTTCAAACTGCAGCACATCATACAACAACGCAATGGCGTTCGTCGCATGGTATGTCAGCACCTTGACCCGCTTCTCCTCGTCGTCAAAGCAGGGCAACCCGCCGCCAGTCGAGTGCGACAGGACGTGGCGCCATGCATCGTACGCGTCGGTAGCTGCGACGAACGCCGTCCACGACAAAAACTCCCGGACAACTTGGTCGAGTTGGGGATTATTCTCGTCCAAGTAGTGCTGCCATGAAAACGAAGAAGCATCCCCATCAACCGATTCGACATGGCGACGACAGGCATCGTGGACGACGGCGAGGGAGTCGTCGGGGACGGCTTGGAGAACGGACTTGACGCGAGATGGTTTGCGCTCAGCCACGAAATGTCTGGCCAGCCGATTCGCTTGATGCAGCAGTTCCCCTCGATGCCGCGGGTCCAGGCACAACAGCCGCAGCGCTTGGATCCGAGACATGTCGTCCGACGACTCGTTCAACTGGACGAGAACCTGCACGGCATCCTTTGTGATCTGGGCAAATAAACGCGGACAAGTCTCGCAGCAGTACTTGGCGATAGACTGGAGGCCCTGCTGCCGTGCATCGGCGTTGCGAATCGACGTGAGAAACTGCACATAAATCGACGCCTGGCCGTCCTCTGGCAGCCGCGACGCGTACAGTGCCACGAGGTTGTGCTGGGAATGCTTGATCAAGTGCCGAATGTATGCCTTTTGGATCAAATACCCCGTGGATGTGTCAAAGGTCTCGCCCGTGGCGGTCATGAACAGCACAAAATGCGATGCAAACCGCACGAGCTGGGGGGGCAGAGCGTCTGAGGGCAGCGCGGATGTGTTTAAGCGGAGATCCCACGAAAAGTCTTCAGCAGATGGATCTTGAAACAGAGGCTTCAAGATGGACGACACGATCGATTCCACGTCCGACACGATCAACTTGGATTGGAGCCGGCGATGGGGATGGCTCGCTTGCCGCCGCACCACGTCGCTTGAGCTCGCGGCAACTTCGTTGAACAACGTGCTCAAATTGGACGAGAAGCGGGCCACGGACTTGGTCTGTTCGACAAACGACTCGTACAAGTGGAGGTAGTCGGGTTGGTTTTCAACGAATAGGTCGGTCGCGTTGGCTTTGAGCCGGAGCAGGTGCAGGAGCTTCCCGTCCTGCTCGTACTGTATCGCAGCACTCAGCAGCGCCCAGCAATGGTCTTCCCACGACTCGCACAGCGAAGACCGCAACAGCGCGGCAGAGTTGCCGCTCAGAGCTCCGTACACGATGGCTTCGTACTCTCGCGCCTCGAGACTCTTTCCTTTGCGCAGGTTTGACGTGGGCCGCGCCTCGGCAAACTGCCAGCACATTTGCTTCCACAGGATGCGAAGGGGGTTGCCCCATCGACTGAGCTCGCTGTCGTCGTCGTCGTTGCCACACACCGTTCCGCCACTCAGCGACGCGGCGCGCCACGGCTGGCCCAGCTGGATACACAGATCCGCCGCTTCCTTAGGCCGTCCGGCGCGCACGAGTTGCCACACGCCCTTGAGCAGATCGGCATCGTCTTCGACGTCATCCTTGTCGACGTGATGGTCGCCCTCTCGAAGGGTGCTGTCCGGGTCCATGGAGAACGAAAGCGACCGCTGCTTGACGCGGCCCAGCGTGCGCGAATGCTGCATGTTGCGCAGCTCACTCGTGACGGACACGTGTTCCGACGCGATGGACTCTAGCCAACTGAGCACCGTTTGCTTGGTCGCATGAATTGGCCGGAGGTCGAGGCCTGCGACAGCGTCCAACTCGGACGAGGTGGCGTCGATGTAGTCGTCGTTGATGGGGGATGGTTGAGAGGATCGGAGCACGCTCAATTGACGGAGGTCATAGAGCAACCGCCACGTATTGCGTTCGTTACGAAGTTCGTCGCCAACGTTGATGTCCAATGGATGATGCTGTCGTAGCTGAAACGGAGACGTGGCCGACAACGCGTCTTGCTTGGCCATCTCCGATTGAAGAATGTTCGTGTATTCCGTCAAAATGTGCTTGCACAGGGCGTTCGGGTCGTCCGTCATGTCGACCTTGAGGAAAAAGCGCTCGAGGGCGGCGGCAAATGCTTGCTCTTCGGGGCGCACTTGATGCTCCAGCCATTCGGCCGCGGGCTCGCTGGCCACGGAAGGGATGGAAGTGTTCACTTGCGCTAGGGAATGTCTCTCGGATTCGACTTGATATGCGCTGGAAATGGACAAATTGTGATTGGTTGACGACGACGCGAGCGACGTCCACTCGGCCGACGCCTGAGTGATGTGCATCTGCAACGTGCCTTCTAATGCCAGTCCGCAGTCTAGAAGGAACCAATCGAGCGCGACTTCGCGGCTTTGAAAGAACCCACGAAGGTGCTTCTTGTCCAGAAACTTGGAAGTGTGATGGCGCTTCTTCCATGCCAACGCCAGTGTCGTTCCAACGGTGGTGGACGCAGCATGTACGTCCACATACTCCACAGTTCCATCTGGAAATTGAACCTTCACATGGGCACGACCATCCAGCACGGAACTCTCGACAGGTGCTGTGGTACTCAACTCGGCCAATTCCGACAACTCCCACGACGACTCGGGATCCGCATACGAGGATGGGGCATCATGCTTTGAAGAGTGGTCGTCGGTAAACAGATCATGAGGAGCGCTTTCCACGTCTCCATCGTCCATCTGCGCCAAGAGCGCCAGGGATGATTCGGCCGCCAGGATCAAGTCATTCGTGTTCTTGTACGGGCCGCCCACCATTTTCAGTGGAGTCGAATGCGAGGTGATGAAGGCCGGATAACAGTACGTCTATATCCGGATATCGCAATAGTAGTATAATTTTGAATACTACGTAGTACTATTAATACTACAATTATATTATATTAACCATAGTATCCAAGGCTGGTATTAATATTCAATGCTGTCCCGTCTTAACAGTACTCCGTAAGTATCAATAATACTCCCAAGTATTGTGAATTCGCTATACGCTTCCAAAATTCGCCTGGCTTGTCTAATCAATATTGAATCACATCGGAGTTTTGATTGGTTGAATACACTTGTCCTTTCTGCAAGAGCCAATCAAACCCACTCAAAAATAGATTAGCCAATAGCGTCGATTCGTGATTCGATTCGGATGCGAGATTCGATTCGACGGTTCGTATCGAATCCAGACTACTGGTATATTACTACGTAGTATTACTAGTACTAACGTTATTAATACTAATGCTATTAATAGTTCGACGAAGCAATTACGTAGATTTAAATATATACCGAGTACTATTAATACCACTATTAATAGTAGTAGTTCTATCAATATTAATGTTACTTTTAATCGTACGCGTACATCATGCACGAACTTTACTGTCCCAAAGTGTGATGTTGCCTCAATTGCCCACACAGCAAGAGTGCGTTCTGTGAGCCAAAGCACTGCTTTGAAATGAAAGGTGTTTTATGTATCGAGCTTGGTGTATTCAACAATGCACATACATGTACATGTACGCTAAACGTTATTAGTGTCATATATATAGTGAGAGGACTGCTAATTACTATGCAACCTTCCACCGAAACAATGCAAAACCCCCTCTGACAGCAGCATCCCACGACGACAGCAATTTGCCAGCTAGTTGAATACCAGCACGTCCGCCACCTGATCGTCTGCAAACACTTTGTCTACACGGGACTCGTGAGGTACTGCCGTGTCGTCAGCGAGTAGGTGCACAATTTGCGCTTGAACCGACGGAGCTAGCTTCAACTTGCGGACTTCGGCCACGCCCAGCTTGATCCATTGTGGCCACAGTGCCACTTCCTGGAAGAATGACGTCAAGTTGTACTGGATGCGGCGACTCATGCCGTACGCGTGGCGCAAGTACGGGTAGTCCTCTGCATACGCAAACTGGAGGTCCAGCAGGGTTTTGACGTGCTGGAGCCGCGCCATGGTCCCCACTACCCCGTTCAAGTCGACTTTGGTCGACAAACTGGCGGGGGTGTCAAATTGCACACGAACGCGCGTCGTGGACGTGACAGCAACGTCCAAGTGCACAAGCAATGTCAAGTGGGATGGATCGTACGTCCATCCTCCGCCCTCTGGTGTAGCCTCGTCGTTACCGAACGCACAGTATGCCACGTCACGGCCGTCAACTTGTACATGGCGAGCCGGGACCGCGTGGCGAAGCTCCAAGAGGTAGCGTTGGCGGGGCCGCCGCCCGGCAAATGTTCCATTGGCGGGATATATCGTCACCACCATCGACGCATTGTCCTGGGAGTCGTAGGTAAAGTGCGTCCAAGAGTGTTGGTCACCACGCAAATACGCGGACGAGTTGCCCGCGTCGTCGTACACGGCCCCGCTTCCGTGGGGCGTGCCGGGAATGATGGTCAACACGAGCGCATCGGGGGCGGTCTGCGCTTGCCCCAAGCTGGAGGCGGTCGCTTCTGGTCCGAACGGTACGATACTACCCGCCTTGGCGAACCACGGCACCTCATCCAACGCGTACCACCGCTTGTACACTATCGGGCCAGTCACGAGCGACCCCCGTGTCAGATCGAACCAGACGCCAGGGGGCACCCACACCGACTTGGCCGCCAGCTGCGTAGTCGGATCCACCGGCTGGACGACGGGCGCCACCACGAACGACGAACCAAACGCGTACTGATGGGTATACGAGTACGCTTCGTCGAATTCTGGCCATTCGTAGTATAAACCGTGCAGCATTGCGAGCCCCGTGTCGTGCGTGAGGCGGCTCTACCGATAGATAGATATGAACTATGTTAGTTGATCAAAAGAGGAAACATGTGATATAGTATATATATATATATAATAGTGTTGTGTTTATTCTAAACTGGACGGACATGGAGAATAAATCGACACAATCCAAGTACAGAAGAGTATATGTAGCCAATCCGATTGCACGAAACCAGGATCAACACCATTTAATTAGAGTGGGACTTCAATTAGTGTGATATTCCATTCAACTTTATAAACAAATCAAACAATCAATCGATAGATTTGGCGAATCTGCACAATCAAGGCCGATTTATGGGTAATATATGCAGTACTGCTGTACCTGGGTGTATATATACGGCACCAACCGCCGGCGCAAGTTGATGAAATGGCGCATGATTTCGTAGTTTGCATTCGGGTACGTCCAAATCCGTCGGTCCGACACGCTGTCCTACAACCACACCAACAAGGTTGAAAGTGGAGCTAGTAATAGTAGTAGTAGTAGCTACTAGTCGTACCTTTTGAGAATGGGTACGCAGTACGGGGGAAAACACCCCCCATTGAATCCACCGCGTGTACAGTTGGGCATCGTGACCTTGTTGGAACCCGCCTATGTCGTGGCTCCAGTACGCAAACCCAACGTTGGCAGCATTGGCTGTAAAGTACGGCTGAAACTGGAGCGACTGCCACGACGGCACGACATCGCCGGAAAACCCCAGCGGGTACCGGTGGTTGCCGAGGCCACCAAAGCGATGCAGGAGCACAGGACGCGTGTCGTTTCGCCACTGGAACGGGTTCGTAAAGAACACATGGTTGAGCCACAATGTTGGGTTCAGGTTGGGGGACGCTTGGTTGTGCGCTACGAACCAGTCTTCGCCCTGCTGCCAGTCGAGCCACCAAAAGTCGACGCCTTCGTCTTGGCGGGGTTGCAGAGAAAGTTGGAGCCAGTTCGTGGCAAACGACTTGTTGGTCAAGTCGAACGGGACGTACGCTTTGGTGGCTGGGTCGATGCCCATTGCGGTGGCCATGGCCTCGTACGAGTCCTCCCACGGCTGGACGCCGGACGCGGGATGCAGATTCAGCGTCACGTGGAGCCCGTTGCTGTGCAAGTGCGCGAGAAACGCCTTGGGGTCAGGAAACAACTCCTTGTTCCATGTGTAGCCGGTCCACCCCTTGGGCTGGCCGCTCTGATCGGCCGAGTTGTTCTTGTAGAACGTCAAGTGCCAGTCCATGTCGAGCACGACCACGTCCAGAGGAATGGACCGTGTCGCATATTCGTGGCTGATACCGTCAATGTCCACGTCGTTGTACGCCCACCACCGCGAATAAAACACCCCAAACGCAAACTTGGGCGGCAGCGGAATCTTGCCAGCCACCAGCGTCAAGTCGTGGAGAGCTTGCTTGAACTCAAGCCCGTGCCCAAAAAAGTACAAGTCCTGGTACGCTTGGGCGCCATAGTAGCACGAGAACCCGTTGGGCAGCGACGCCAACTAGAACACAATCGCATGAGAAGACATGAGCAGTACAGTAGGTGGACCGTACGTCGTCAAAGCAGCATCCGTTGGCATCGCATTGGTCTTGCGACACGACGTTGTACCCGCACACGCGACGTTCTAGCGGGGGGATGGCGGCGCAGCTGGTGGCGGGTTTCGCCGACGTCTCGACAACCCACGGCCACGGGTCGTTGTCGAGCTCCGTGCTCAACGAATCGTCCACAACGACGTAGCCACTTCGACTGACCAGCCCATACGTACAGTGCGAGTCGGCAATGGTGTCAGGCCCGCCTGCATTGCAATTCAAGTCGACAGTGCCGTTGGTCATGTCGAGGGTTCGTAGCGACCCAAACAAACGCTTGTCGTCCTTGTCCGTCAACGAAGGCGTCCATGTAACCGTGCGATTGCTGCTTGAGACAGATTTCACTTGGACGCGCAAGTTGGCGTCCGAAAACGACACGGAGCTGGTTGCGTCATATCGCACGTGCAACGCGTCGGTGGATATTTCAACCCACTGGTCCTTCTTCGTCACTTGGTACTTGGGCACAGGCAATGCACGGTTGTTTACCACCACCGTCGAGGCGTCGCGAAAGTCAGACGCACTCCATTCGAGGCGTATGAGCTGCGACGTCAGCACCGTGAATCGGGCGTGGCCAGCCAGCACCACCGCGGCAGGATCTGCCTTCGGGTTCGACTCACGCAGTGCCAGCGATTGGCCCATCAGAGCCATCCCCACGAGGGATGTCAGTGCCAGCATGTCTCGTCAGTCCAAGGCAAATCAAGAATGACGACTGTGGCGATCTTTCTCTTTTGGATAGTGCACATCAAGGGAATAGTATCCAATCGGACGTTTAGTAGTACTACAGTACTACAGTATCGTACTAGTACAGTACTAGTCAGTACTATTGTAGGGGCCTTTTGGGATGATACCAGGGTCATACAAACTGTAATATAAATATGAAATATTGGGAATTTGACAGTTTCGAAAATAGTCGTAGAAAGATCATGATCTTATCTTCAATTTGAACTGATTTACGCCAATTTTGGGCAAAAAATGCATGAAATATTGACAAAATGACACGGACTTTCAGCTACTGAGGCTCCTTTTGTCATTAAAACGTTCACTTACTTCACTCAAATAAGACGTATAACACACAAGGGCTTATATGAAGGATTAGATACTGTGCGGAGTAGACGGTGGAGAACGATGTGTGTCGATCGATGGAAAAGTTCCTGCTGTGGGCAAGTCGCTTGATGATTCCATGAACTTTAGTCATCCAATAAAATGATGTGTTAATGGTAATTATAGCCAATCAGTGAAGCCGAATCAGATTTTTTAGTAGATACTAGCACCTACTAACACATTTTGGGTGTTGATTTCCATCGACACATCTTCCGCGCAAATTTAGAAGGCGAAGGTTACCCTGGCTATTCATCATGTCAATGCAACCCATTTCAAGTGTAGTCTAAAGAAATATTATTCGAAAGAGGCGTTGAAATTGCTTCAGTAATAAAGAAGTTACAATGACCTGTCTGACTTCCCAAAAGGCCCCTACAATAGTACCCATAACAATAGTACGTTTTATAATAATCCTACTATTAATAACTTAAGTACATTGTACTCGGAGTAACATTTGTATACTGTAATGCATACTATTAATAGTACTGTAACTACCTGTAACTTATGTATTGCGGCCGTAGCTAGTAGTACTAGAATTTACCACTAAAAATATTGGAATGCTTTTGATAATCCGGATAACACATGCGGACAATCACCTAGCGGCAACCTTTCCATGTCCATTTAAAGCGTCCAGTACAAACTTCGGCGACGTCGGCAATAATGCTTCGCGTGATCCAGAACCTTGGGCAACGTGCGACATGCAACTGACGGGCTTGGCTAATGGTTCTCTGTAGGTCCACTCTACTGCCGCAGTAGCATTTTCGCTCGTCCTGGTGTGAAGTACTCGACTAGCCCAGCACCCGTTCGGGTTCGGTACGCTCCAAGTCCCACAGGCTACCTCCACTTGGGTGGTCTACGCACAGCCTTGTTCAATTACTTGTTTGCCAAAGCCCATGGCGGTGCCTTTCTTATGCGGATTGAAGACACAGACCAGGTACGCTTCCATTCAACGACCTGGCGGCTTGGATCGTTTGCATACTAGACCCGAAAAGTGGACGGCTCTGTGGAGGCCTTGACGCACAGCCTGCAATGGTGTGGCATCCACGAAGACGAAGGTATGTTGTTTGAAGTGTATCCTACCTAGCTCACGATGTGAAACTCAGGCCCGACCGCGGGTGGCAACTTTGGGCCGTATGTCCAATCCGAGCGGCTGCACTTGTACAAATCCTACGCCGACACCCTTCTCCAGGTAGAACTCACCTCCAGTTTGTTGAGGTGACGTGGCGCTCTGTAGGACGGTCATGCGTACCGGTGCTTTTGCTCGCAGGAGCGGTTGAAGTCGCTTCGGGACGCGGCGGCCAGGTCCGGAAGCGGCACCATGTACGACCGCGCATGTCTTGGGTTGGACGCGGTCCAAGTTGAAGAGAAACTTGCTCGCAACGAGCCCCACACCATTCGACTTAAAGTGTCTGAAGGCAAAACCACGTTGAAAGACCTCGTCCGTGGTTACGTGCAATTTGACCATAGTGTGATCGACGACCAGGTCAATTTATATATATATAATGATGGCTATTTGGACTCTTTTTTGACATTATTTCAATATATTCATGGCTATTTGGACAGTTTTCGATGCGATTTCAATATGGTCATGAATATTTGGCTTCTTTTTCGACATTATTTCTATATTTTCATGGATATTTGGCTTTGTTTTCGACATCTTTTCAATATATGCATGGATATTCATCTCGTTTATGAAATATCTCTATAAATATATATATATATGTAGGTTCTCATGAAGAGCGATGGATTTCCTACTTACCACTTGGCCAATGTCGTGGACGATCACCTCATGGGTATCACGCATGTGATCCGCGGCGAAGAATGGCTCTCGTCTACCCCCAAACATTTGCTCTTGTATCAGTTTTTAGGCTTTGAACCCCCCAAGGTGAACCTACGCAGACCACACACTATATATATATCACAATATGGCGCGTAGTTTGCGCATTTGGGGCTGCTACTGAACGAAGATCGGTCCAAGTTGTCCAAGCGTCAGGGGGATGTGGCCGTGGAAGATTTCCAGGTATATATATATATATATATATATATATATATATATATATTAATATATATTGAAACAAAGCGCTCACAGCACGCAGAAAAAAGGCTTTTTGGCGCCTGGACTTGTGAATTTTGTGGCGCTGCTGGGCTGGAATCCGTCAGACGGCAACACACAAGAGATCTTTACGTTGGACGAACTCAAACACTTTGTACGTGAGTTGTTTTTCATATTGTGAGACTAACTTTTGAGAGGTAGTTCTCTATGGATCACGTCAACAAGAGCGGCTCCGTCGTCAACGTCGAGCGACTTCGGTGGATCAATTCCAAGCATATTCGCCGCCTGTTTGACGATCCGTCCAACAAGGCCGATGTTGTGGCGATGCTGCGGCCGTATTTACTTAATCATGTCAAAAATATCGACGCTTTTGACGTTGAATTTGTGTGGGCGGCAGCTTCGTTGATGAAGGTAGACCTAGTACATTGAGATATACATGGTAGTAGTACTAGGACCGAGAGGGGTATTCATTCGTATATGATGTGTGCGATGCTGCAGGAACGGGTGGGCGCGCTACCCGACTTTGGGCCGTTGATCTACTACTTTTTTGCACCTCCCGATCTTGAAGCGTCTACGGCTGTCGAGATGAAGGCAAAGTACTGGAACGACCATACTACTGGTAAGAGATTTTGTGCTTTCGAGTGAAATTTCGTGTTGTGGTGTGGTTTCTCGTTGGAATTTAAATCGATTTGATTGGCTAGAAGAGCTCAACATTATTAGCCAATCAAAACCCATTTCTCAATGAAATGTAACCAATCAGATCGATTGTGGATCGGTTATTTGGTCGGCGCAATTCGATTGCACCCCGTCCCCAATTTTGTACTCTCAAATCGACAATAAAGCGGAATGTAATATTGCGATTTTCCATGGGGGGATGAATGATATTTGATGTAGATGCGGCGGTGGCAGACGTGACGAGCCGGTTGCAAGCGCTTCCCGAAGGCGGCGGCTTTACTTCTGTACGGAATATCCACGTAAACGAACTACTATATATGGCATGACTGTGCGTGTAGAACGCCGTGATGGCCCTAATCAAGGCCACTGCCAAAGATCGCAATCTGAATCTAAAAAGGTCTGTAAAATATATATATTCAACTTTGGAGAGATTCTTTGTTTTCACGCGTTTCGTGGTGACTTGTATAGCTTGCTCATGCCGTTGCGGTATCACTTGACGGGTATGGAAGTGGGTGCTAGCATTGGGGACACATTCCAGCTCCTGGGCAAGGACGTTGCGCTTGGTCGACTTGTGGGCGCCCCCAGTACCACCACCACCGCTTAACCATGAAACCTCAACCCAAATCCTTTACGAAGCGCTCCATAGCGGAAGATTCCACCGGTATATTATACTTTAAAGTACTAAGAAATGACCGTGTCAATTACATTGGTGATTTAGATTCCACCGGTATTTTATACTACGAATTACACGCCGTGGTCGGCTAATTTTTGGACTAAATACACGTTCGACCGTTCTTTTCCGTATGGTCGGCGTTGAATTACGCCCGGCGCGGGTTGAAAAAACGGTTGGTCGTCGTCGACTTGCTCCTCGTGTAACAGCACAAACCCATGTTGTTGCACAATCTACCATAATATATAAACAACATATAATGTCAACGTGATATACTACTAGTACGACTAGCGTGTATCTATGTATGTACATATGTATGTAGTACTAACGTTAGTTAGTCGAGACGACAGTACATACCTGCTTGATGTACGCATCGTTATGGGTCCACCTCCCCGAAAAGCGCAAACTAAAGGCATCGTCCACGTGTTCTTGTTCATCGTCATCTGGTCGAGGTAACAAGTCCACGTTAAACGCAAAGATTGCCTCTGGGCGTAAGATGCGATGGGCCAGCTCAAACACCTAGTTACACCCAAGATCGTCATGCACAACCTCATCCCATATTGTCAAATCGATTCGAAACCCTCAGCAGAATCGAATGTCTTGAGAGAATGGATTGAAGAACCGCTTGAGCCAATCAAATCGAACCCCCGCATTGGTTATATACTCATCGTTGTATAGTATAGTGTGTACAAGATTAAATAGGATCAAATGGATTCGAATGCTATTTGGTGAAATGACTCTCTCTCAAGTCCAAATATTTGGGTGAAATGCACAATAACACACGTCTATATTGTTTATTCGAAACCTCGACCGACTTGGAGAATAAAGTATCGACAACAAAACGACCATATATATATAATGTTACAGTAGAATCACTAGAAGAATTGAGCCAATCAGATGGCACAAAACCTTCATCAACCATATACTTTGAATTAGAGTAAAACTTGAATTCGTCTCGATGGCATGACCCACGCGTTAACGTTAGACATATATGTATTAATACGCTTTCAAAAAATATATAAAAAATAATTAAATCTAAAGTACTAAAAGTTATTAATCAAAAAAATTCTAAAAAAAGTAATAAAATACAATATTCTTTTACATTTTTTTAATAACCTCATCCAGAAATATATATTATGCAAAACAAAACAAAAATATTAAACATTATTATTTAAAAAATTTGAAAAAAAACAAAAACCATTCACGACAAAGCATCGATCGATAGATTTGGACACACAAGTCCAAAGGATGATCACAATATATATGGACTGTACCTGGCGCAAATCTCCGAAATACGGCAGCGCGTTGATCGCTAGCACGAGATCATAGGATGCATCTGGGAGGTGGCCGCCGACATCGAGGATATCGCCAATCTATCAGTGTTACATTTGACTTAACCAGAAATTGACCTCGGACAACTTACTTGCAAGTCGTCGTACAGTGACAATTGCCGAGCATTTTCAATCGACATGGGCGACACGTCGATCCCGAGCACAAAGCTACTCAGCGACCGGAACCAAGCCATAGCGTGGCCAGATCCGCAGCCGAAATCCACCACATCTAGCCAGTGGTCGCCGTCCGAGATGCCGATGCGGAGGCGCAGCGCGGCCGACATGACGGCGGGGACGCTGGACTCGAAGAGCAGGCCGTGAAGGTGGCGGAATGTATCGACGGTCGAAGAAGAAGAAGAAGAAGCAGCAGCAATGCTATGACGATACGCGTACAAGTCAAATAGCTGCGACAAGTACTGCGACGGAGTTCGCCCTGATGGGTAGTGATGGTCTTGGAACGACGCACGGATGTACCGCTCCTCCGTGTACATGGACGGAGATGCAAACAGCGACGCGAGCGCGTGGTTGCCTTCCACTAGCATCCCGTGCTCCTAAGTACATATGTCCATTGAAAACATGTTCTTGTAACGAGGGTGGTGTGCCTGTACCAAGTACGCGTACGCGAGGCTGTGGGTAAAGAGCGACCGTTGCGCCGGCGTGCCCTTGGTCGTCGCGACGTTGAAGTTGTCGATTGCCAACGGCAATCTGTTCATCACTAGTGCAATGTGGCCCATTCTATAATGCACCTATTGAGAGAGAGAGAGATAGATAAATATATTTTAGTGTTGATTCTAAACGGGATCATGAATTGACACCACGACCAAAAATATATAGCTTTTTCGTCCAGATTTGGTTACATTTGGTTCAAGAAGATCATGTCCAAAACCATATAAATGTGTTATTGTGGATTCGAACTAATTTCCAGACCACGTCATCGAATCACGAACCGACGCTATTGGCTAATCCATTTTTGAGTGAATTTGATTGGCTCTTGCAGAAACGACAAGTATATTCAACCAATCAGAACTCCGGCGTAATTCAATATTGATTACACAAACCAGGCGAATTTTGGAAGTTTATAGCGAATTCACAATATGAGTTTATAATATAATAAAGGCAAAAGTGATTCGCCAATCAAGTTGCACGCAACCATCGTCAACGTCTAATTAGTGTGTGACTGACTTCAGTACAACGCTGTCCATATACAAAATCCAGTTCGATAGATTGGGCGAACGAACACACGTAAGTGTCATGAATCATCCATCCTATCAAGTGAATCCAAAGCTATCATGCAAATCTCGTAAATATGTATAAGAGCACCTCGGCTTGCATCGAGTCGCCAATGATAAGGTCGCTGGCGGCCGTGTAATGCGAGTATGCCGTGGAGAACCTACGCAGCCCAATGTCCACCTTGGCAAGCTTCATATAGGCTTCGACCAAGTCCTTGGTGGGCTCGTCCTGTAGAATCGACACGATGGTTTCAAAGCTCTTGGACGCGAGCGAGTAGTCGGTGTTCTTGAGGTAGAGGTCGCCGACCGCCATCAGGGACGGCACCTTGCGCTTGCCCGTTTCTTCGAGGCGGATGCTGCTCATGTAGTGCTTGAGCGCGTCGTTCGTTCGTCCGCACTGAGACAGCGCGTCGGCGAGCTGGTTGTGGATCGTCGCACTCTCCTCCACGATCAACGCGCGCTCGTACAACGTGACCGCGTCGTCGCATGCGCCTACCCGGATCATCTCGACGGCCTTGACGATGTAACTGTCTCGAGATTGAAGAAGGTCTGCAAGAAAGACAAGTGATCACATGGTAGTGCGTACGAGGACCAGATTGCGCACCTTTGGCGTTGTGGAGGTTGAAGGGTAGTGCCACGAGCACGGCCACGAGCAGCAGAGAGAGAAAGCACTCGCAGTTGATCCACCAGCCGCCGCCGCTGCTGCCACCGCTGCCTTCTCCCGTGTTATGTACATCTCCATTCTCGTACTGGTCGTCGTAGGTCGCGCCGCCCAAATCGGCGTCGCTGGTCCGTCGACCACTGTCGCCGTCGTCGCTCAGTCGTCGCGGCCTGTCTTTCGCAACTTTCTTGGATGAGGTCTTGGCTTGCCGACGCAGCATGGTTGTACTAGCCACAACGGTTCCTGCGCTCCCGAACGAGACCTTTCTTGTTTGCTGGGCGCCGTCGGACTCCGATGTGGAGTGGCGCTACAGGGAAATCGTATTTTGGTGTGTTGCAATATTAATGTCGAGGTTTCCGGACATTTCATTGGCCAGTTTCAAATCTATCGAAGGGCAACATGGGACAACAAAATGCGGTTTCAACAGGAACAATAGCAAAGCGTCCGCGCATCCAATCGACGGGGATCGCTGCTGCCCCGCTGCACGAAGGAGATCGAGGCGGCAACCCACGACGCCATTTACCTGGAGACGTGTAAGTCGTCGTGCCTACTCCATTCGGCGGCTGTCTAGCGTGGGTCACACACTGCCCATGCCTGGAATTGCTACAGCTTGACACAGAGAGTTTACAGCATGGGCAACGAGATCTCGAAGTTCGTGGACCACGATCAATCGATCCGACGGACGCCGCAAACCGTCGTCGACAACGAGCACCGGTATGACTTCGTGGCGACATGGAGCACGGCCAACGTCCATGCGTTGTTGAGGGCGTACACCAAACGCGCGACGCCAGACGGGACGTTAGGACAGGACAAATCGCAAAGGCTTGAGGACAGTTACCAAGACATCGTACGATTAGAAACTCTTGTCGAGTCCATGCGTCTTGAAGATGCTGCTGCAGATGTGATCGACACGAACATGACAGACACCCCCATCCCACACTCTCACGTCGAGACCGGCACGGACGTCTGTCCTGCCCACACTCTTCATGACATTAAGGATACCATGACTCCATCAACGCCATCATCCCAGCCATCAACGAAACCTCTCAAACTCAAGACCAAACCTACGCCAAAGACACCAGAACAACTGCAAGAGGCATTTCTCAACTCCACCGAGGCAGAGTACGTCGCACGACGGCACGACATTCTCTTAGAGCTAGAAGCCAAGCGACGTGCGTATCGCACGCTGGCGCAATTGCCGACGTCGCTGGACGGGATCGACTTTAGCCTGCCGGTGCAGTGGAGCCACTACTTTCAATCGGTTATGGAAGTGGACGCGGACGCGCATGCGGGCGCCGCCGACAACGCGCGCCGCCTCTGGCATCCTTCGTCCATCGGACACATCATGGAGAGAGACCCGGGTGCACCTGGCCAGCTCCGCGCCTTCGCATTGGCCACAGCTGCTGCTGCTGCTTCGTCTGCAAACGCCCATGCAGGCGGCGATGGCCATACGGAGAATGAAAACGCCAGCGTGTCCGACGATGAAGATATGAACTCCGACGACGAAGATGATAAAACCGCAGCAAAAGCAGACGGCGATGATGCAGCCGTGGAAACGACAGCAACGACCCCTCCAGAAGCCAACGTCGTTGAACCACGTGGCGTGCTGACCAAGCGTAGCTTGGATCAGCACACACTAGAGACTGCGGTGGCCGCTGTACCGTTGCCGCCGCTGTTCGATCCGTCCTTGCGCAGTCCCGTGTTTTTCGGCTACAGTGTGCCGCCACCGGGAGGTCCGACACCATCGACGGGACCGACAGGTTCTTCGATCCTTCCTGGAACCCATCGCCACGACGACGACGACGACAAGGTGCGGGCGGCGCAGTATTTTGAATCTCGTCTGCAGGAAATAGCTCACCGATTCCACGACGCCAACGCAATTGAAACCGGAAAACTCAACGCACTCAGTGACCGGCGACACGCGCAGCTGGAGCGGCGGCAAAAGGACGCCGCGGTTCGACAGCGAGAGCTGGACGACGCGCGCAAGGAGGGCGTGGACCCAACCGCCGACTTTTTCCGCACGGCCGAAGTCACCCAACGACAGGTGGACATTCAAGAAAGAGCAGAAGACGATCTGTACGAGTCCCACAAGAACTCGATCACGTCGCGCATGCATGCCGCCCGTGTCACATGTGACCAAGACACGCAGTTCCTGCAAGGTCTCCAGTCGCCGGACAAGCCCATGGGGGCTGCTCGAGCGGCGTTTCACACGGAGCAATTGCGGTTGCATCACCAGTCTCTATTGAGTGCCAAGAACGACTTGGTATGTGACGACGTCTTGATGATATCTGAGACATTGCATTATCAGGGCTAACCCCACAACCATCATTATGTTGGTTTGATTAGGTCCAAGCGTCGACCGTACTGGACCAGACCAAAAGCCGGTCGCTGCTGCAACTGACGTCGGACGCGGCCAAACAACAGACGGCACGGGGGCAGTTGCTGTTTGCGGAAGACCAAGTCAAAGCGGCCGAGCACACGATCGCAGTACTCTTGAGACAGATCGATGACGAAGAGTTTATGCTAGACAGAGGGGAGACCCAAATCGCTCAAGAAATTACCTACTTTCCGAGTTTTCAAGTGTTTTCTCAAGATGGCGATACGTTGCTGGACGTGGCGTTTGCGTTGGTGGTCATGTGCGCGGCCCCCCTCTCGGAAAAGCTAGAGTATGTGAGTCAATTGTCCGAAACCAACCTCTTGACCAAGCCCGCACTTGTGCAAATCCTCACCGTGTTCTTTCGCATACTGAATCGAATGGACCAACTGCGCACGCCGAAGGATCGACAGACATGGCCAGTATTGGACGAGTTCCATCTTGCCAACCTCGTCGACCACATGGTGGGCAGCGGCGGCTTCAAGTCGTATGTGACGACGTTTGAGTTTGTCTCGATCGCCACAGACGCCATCCAACGGTCCAAGTACTTGAGCACGATTCTGCGTGTGCCGTGGAAGTACCAGCACGTGAGCCGCGTCCAGCAGCAGGCCATGTCGGCGCTGCGCCAGTTTGAATGTGGCCTCATCAGTGCATCCGACCTCAAGTACCGCCTCGCGCGCCAGAGCATCCAGTCCGCGCCGCGGGGGGGGTCGAGTGCCAAGGAAGCGCTACATGTCCGTGCCTTGGCGATGGGGTCCAACGATCCGCTGAAAGCCGATTACTCTAAGTACTTGAAGCATCGACGGCGCAAGGTGCTGTCGAATGTTGTGCCGTTGGACCATGCCTGCTACAAGAACCTGATCGTGTACCGGTCCGAAGTGGCGGAAAAGGCGGCGATTCGGTTGCAGACGACGTGGCGGGCGCGCCAAGGCCGCGTGGACGCGACGATGGCGGCGCGAAAGCAGGCGTTCTACCATGCCAAGGGGACGGCACTAGCCGACGCGAGGGCATCCGTCGAGGCCGACTGGCGACGCCAAGAGGGCACCACCACGACGCTGGACAAGATGAAATTCGATGCCAAGATTCGCATGCGCCAAGTCAAGTTGCGCACGAAAGGACTGGCGTTCAGTCGCGACGACGTGCTTCGGGTCATGACGGAAGAAGCGGTGCAGGATACACTCGAGGAGGTGGACCATCGGTTTCGGGAAATGGAAGAGGCCGCGGGGTACTGTCCAAGAGTGTTGCGGTTTGATCCGCTGGACGACGCGCACTTTTCAGAGATCGCGCACAGCCTCGTGGACCAGCTGCAGCGCGCGCGGCGGCCGGCGCCGGCCACAGCCAAACTCATGCGCGCGATCGCCGAAAAAGAGATCAAGAAGGAAGTGCCAGAGACATCTGCGACGTGGTGTGAACCAACAGACAAAACCGCGGTCGAACGGTTCCACGAAGCTGTCAAGGACCTCAAGGTGCAGAGGGAGGCCAGCCACGACCACATGCTGCGAGGGATAGAGCCTGTGCAGGCCACGAGCAGCGAACGACGCGAGTGGATGACGCTCATGTGTTCGAATCCGCCATTGAAAGAGTGGTGCGCTCGGCTCGTGGCCATATGTGATGGCATGACCCAGTTAAAGCTCACGGAACTGCTCATGGAACTTCCGTCAAAACGGCATGCGATCGCTTATGTGCGAGGGTTTCATAATGACATTATGGGGGCAGTTGATCGAGACGCGTTGGTGGCCGACTTGATGGGGCACTTTCGCGTCCTTCGTGGGGTGGAGCCTCTCGCCGATGCATTGATCCACATGGCTACGACCGACATGGAAACGACTTGGCGCGACGATATACTCTATCGCATGAACGCCCAAGAAGCGTTCCTGGTCGATTATGTCCACAAAAGTCATATAAAGCACGCAGGCCAAGCCGCGCGGGATGCCAGACAACGGGGCCGCGGAAACACTGACGCCAAGCTCAACATGGACACGCAGCGAAGTATGGCGGTGGACGCGAAAGCAAGACTTGACGACGCCATGGTCAAGTGGAAAGACGCCGAGTTTTCCTATGCCCAAGCCCAACGACGCATGCAACTGGTGCGGGACTCTGCCGTGACACTAGTCGACCGCCGCGATCGAATGCTCTGGGCTGAGCGACTCAAGCGAGCTCTGGAGACAACGGACAAGGGCGCGCACACGTACATTGAAGTGGTTCACGTGTGTCAAGACTTTGTCGAAGTCGCCCGCCATGTCGCCACTCAAATCGTCCGCGAATACTACCTCCCCGTCCATGAAAAGACTGTGATGCCGGTGGCAGGTCCGTTTCTTATGGACGGCCGCAACGACGGCGCCGTTCGATCGAGTCACGGCAAGGGGCTCAAGTTTGAAGCACACAACATTCGATTCCAAGTCGCATTGGACGACCACGACCGATTTGACCATTCAGACGAGCTGGCCGCCAAGTTTGCGGGCGCAGAGTGCCGCAACTCGAGCTTGTTTCTGCCGACGATGCTGCTGACACCAAACGTACTCGTGCCCCTGCAGTGCTGCGTCGACTACCATGGCATGCGGGTGCTGTGTGTGTCCAAGCTCCCGATAGAGTGCTACGACGTGAGTGACAAGGGTGTGGTGCAGAACGTGCGCACGGAATTCGTATATGGCACGAACAACAAGGGGAAAACCATTGTGAGTCACAGCAAGACCCTGGACGCATCGATAGCCAAGGTCGGTGTTGGGTTTATATTTCCTTGGTCACATTACAAGTTGGTTGTGTGGATGCAGACATACTGAATGATGATGATGCTGTAGGTGAACGCGAGCTTAAACTTGGGCGCGCATTGCGTCCGTGGGTCGTTGGACTTGACGGCCAAGTTGATCCACGGAGCCGGCGACATGCACGGATACATCGGACAAGGCGAAACGTTTTGCTTGCTCAAGTTCCGACGCATGATGCCGCCAGAAGACCCCGAGGAAACCCCCCACTTGCCGGCGTCCACTCGGGGCATGAGCATCCTCTGGAGGCAGCTCCGACCGGCGCTGGTCAAGACACATCCCGTGCCGCTGTCACCGGATGCCTTGTCGTTGTTGACATATCAAACGCCGGATTGGGAAAACCAAGCCGCGAGAGTTAAAGACTGCACGAGACGCATGCTAGACGACGTCCTGCCATTGTTTGCAAGGAAGCTGGCCGAGAGGGAGGTATGCATGTATATACACAAAATCCACTATCGAATCTCCATCACACTCTGTCACATACGACCTGGGTCAGGACTATGTGACGTCACCGACGTTTTCGCTTGTCGGGGAACTCCACCGCCATGGCATCAACGTGCGGCATCTGGGGCTGCTGCGGTCGTTGTTTTACTTTCAACTTGACGGGGCAGTCGCGTTGGCATTCAACCAAGCTGTACTGTGTCCGACTGTGGATTTAACAAGGGAGTTGACACGAGGAGATACAATCTACATTCAAGGCCAGCGGTTCAAAGTACTTAGAACAAACCCACATATATATATACCAGTATATCGTATCTAAACTCAATCGTGATGGTAGGTAAGTGAACACGCGCAGGACGTTGTGTCGGACAAGGTGGTGACAGTCGATCGCAAGTACACGGGCGATTCATGTCAGAACGTACCGCTTTACAAAGGGGATATTCAATCCAAGCACGACTTGCGACGGTTGATTCTAGTGGAAATGCTCCAGCGCACAATCAAGAACCTCGTCCGGGCGTCGCTCCGGTCAATGTTACAAGCTAGACAACTTGCCATGGGACCCACGACGCAGACTTCGTTGTTTGTGGTCGTGTTAAATTACATCAGCGGGTCCGGCGCTGGCTCGGACGCGTTTTGGAAAAACCAAGTGTTTGATGGCGTCCGGGCTCGCTTTGGCTCAATTGCCGTGTCGTTTGTGGATCGGCTGAATCTGCGACAGGCGCCAGTCGAAATTGCCCGGTACCTGTCGACTGCGATCGGGTTTGAGCTCACTCGGGACTGCTGGACGCGGTTCACGCAACACCCCCACGGGTTCTTGTTTACCATCGACGACGTCCACGTGGACGTACCGTGTCGCATCCGCCACAACCTGCTGGTGCTCCATTTTGCGGCAGCGTCCATGCTGTTGGACCAGGCCTCGACCGTCCAGCGCACGACGTACCCAGCTGCGATACTGTTCGACGCTCCGTGTGGGTACTGGCCACTCAACGAACGAAAAGGGTCCATCGTCGCCAAAAACATGGTTTCCTCGACCGATCACGGCAAGTTCTCGCCCCACTGCACGCTGGAAGCCGCAGGTCCCATCGCCAACGACGACTTGGGTCGATCTGTCGAGTTTTCAAAGGACGGGTACCATGATATGGCGTTGGTCGTCGTCTTCGTGCCATGTATTGACCTATGACCCCCTCCTTTGGGCGTAGATGCATCACGTTCGTCAAGGCGAAGAAGTGGGAGTCGAGTGCGACCCTGGAAGCATGGGTACTTGTGAGTGCATCAGGCCACGGCATCCGTGCGATCATAAGCCACGGACGGTATACACTGGCCGTGCTAAAGCGAAATGTATGGGGCGCGTGGATCAACATGAACAACATTGACGTGGTGGTGGCGGGGCCGCCCGTCATGCCAGACGTGTGGACGCACGTGGCCACTTCGTTTGATGGCACTGCCTTGCAACTGTATGTGAATGGTGTGCTGTATGGTGATTTGGACGTTCGATCTGAAGTGAACGCGCAACTCGAACGCCGCGAACAACGAGTACGTTGCGTGACATTGTATTGTCCTTTTACCCAAAATTTGGACTTTTTCGCCAAATCTATCTGACTTTTGTATGGAAAATTCGTCCAGTGTCACACATGCCATGTTGAATTGGTCGAAGAATGGATTTGATTGGCTACTTGATTTGTGATATGGCTTTTGATTGGTCGATCGATTGCCTGACGATCATTCGATTCCAATTTCGAATCGACTTTACAACATATTGAAAACAACACAATGCCATGGAATAACAAAAATGGGGTATGTACTACTACTACTTGAGTAGTTTCAAGCGATGCAACGCGATATTGACGACCAAGAGCGTCATGCCAAGGACACATGTATGAAAGACGTGGACCGAGAATGCCAGGCGTTGTATCAAACCAAGGAAGGCAAGCGACTCTTAAAAGACTTGGCGAAAAAACTAACGGACGAAATCGAGTTCAAAGCGCGGCTGAAGAAGGGGGCATCATCGACAGCGTCCCCTGTCACAGATCCAGTCGATAAACCAATACAGGAAGATGCAGCCATACCCAGAAAAAAAGCCGACATGGACACGATGGCCAAGAAGCAACATGCCATGCAAATGTTTTTCAAAAAGTCGGAATCGATCACGGTAAGTAGTTCATGTACATATACCACGATTCATGTGGAATGGCAAGGCGTCGTATCGACTTCTCCGAGACGAGCTCAAAGCCAAGATACAAGTGGAATTGGCGGACGCATTGTCGCAGGACAATCGGCCACTCCGCATCGGATGTGTGAGCAACGCGTGCTCCAACTCCAAGTTCTTTGTGGGGCGGCTGTGCCACGTGGCGTTCTACGCTCGAAGCGTCGACCGAGATGTGCTTCTGCGCCACTTTGTCACAGGTACGCTCGATCGGGCGTGGACGTCGGACGCCTTGTTTGAGCTCTCGGCCGTGCGATTCACAAAAGCCCTCGAGTTTGCTCCAACGGATGGCCCCATGTTGGCGTCGTTTGCGGTCAACATTTGCAGCGCGTTAAAGTACGACTTGGAGCAACGGCGAAGCCAAAACATGTACAAAGCCAAGGTCCGGCGGGCGTTGCGGGCATTCCGATCGACGGAAAACGTCGAAGGGTGCGCCGAGATCCTTCGGAACTTGCCCCACGACGTCCGCTTCAGTGACTTATTCCGGGAAGCATATGCTTGTGTGAACGAGCTGCACCCGACGTACTGGACTAGGCAGAGCAACGTGTCGCTGCTCGAGCTGGACGCGCTGCCTCCTCATTTCTTTATGAGCGGCGAGACCAAATCGTCATCTATGGCTGGCTTAAGTCGTGACGAAGTGACCGTGTATGCAGATATCATTCGGCGTGTGATCGTCGAGTACCCGACGCATTATGGCGATGGGCTGACCGATCTCAAGTGGATTTGCGACTTGGAAACCGATAGCGTTGTCTTATACTTTGTCCTGTGGATCCGCGCGGGCGAAGACAGTCGCCGGTTCGACTTGTCAGGGGTTCCAGACGTGACTGACGTCGATATGGACGTCGTCACAGGCGCCAACCGAAGCTGCTTGGCGTTCAACTTGCACGGGTACAATGCAAACCCCTTCCCATCTCATGCTCGTTCGCCTCTCTATATGTCCCTCCGAAACCGATTATCGTAACATCACCGCCACATGTAGATGTGTCCACTTGACCAGCAAGACCCTTTGCACGTTGAGCCTGCGATGCAGTGCACTCGAAACGCTAGACGTGGGCCAGATTCCCCACTTAACCGACGACGTGTTGGTCGCTCTGTCGAAAACATGTCCAAATCTGAAAGCCATCCACATGGACCGTTGCCCGCTGATCTCAGACGTCGGCGTCGAAGCCTTTGAAGCGTGTCGGGACCTTCGCGAAGTGGGATTTGGTTTCTGCGTCCGTGTCACAGACGATGCGCTGCTATCCCTGGCGTCACACACCCGCCTCTCTGCACTGAACGTGTCGGGGTGTTTGCAATTGAGTGACTTTGTTGGACTGGCCAACATTCTGCCAGCCAGCACGACGTTGACCTCGCTCGACATTTCAGGCTGCCGTCGACTGACAGACCATGGCATCATAGCCATCGGAACGCGATGCACCAAGCTCACACATGTCAATCTAGCGTTCTGCGACAAGGTCACTGACCGCGGCATCTGGGTACGTTGTCGTCCATCACCCAATATCCGTACATATGTACAAACGTATGTGAGTGTCATGTTAATGTTGCAGGCAATCACACACAACTGCCTCGACCTAGTTTCGTTGAACGTGCAGGAGCTGCACCTTGTCACAGACAATGTGTTTTCGTTCGATCAACAAGGCGACGGACGGGCGGTCGTGTCCAAGTTACTCCTGGCTAAGCTACGCACGGTGGTGTTGGCAGATTGTAAGTTGCTTACTGACACGGGTATCGCGTACCTCTTGCATCGGGCGCGGCATCTGCAGTCGATGGATGTGTCTGGATGTTATCACTTGACCAACCAAGGGCTGGAGTTCATCACGACCGATATCTTCAATGGGTCAATCACGGGTGAACATTTGACCGTGCTCGACTTGAGCTACTGCATGTCGCTGTCGTCGGACGGTGTGCGCTTCGTCCGCGAGCGGTGCAAGCAGCTGGTCACGGTGTCATTGACTGGCTGTATACTCCTCCAAGATGCCGAAGTGATTGAACTGGTCAAAGCATGTGGGAAGATTGCCAACTTGGGGCTCGGCTTCTGCCGCGAACTCTCGGACGACGTCCTAATCGCGATCTCCGACTGCTTATGGCTAGACTCGCTGTTTATCAACCGATGCGCCAAGATGACTGACGTGGGGGTCTGCGCGGTGGCGTCTCAGTGCACCGGCCTCCTCGCGGTGAACCTGTCGAGTTGCAAGCGCGTAACTGACGTCGCCGTCGACAGACTGTACGACAACTGCCCGAAACTAGCGCACTTGGACGTAACCTACTGCCCCCATGTTACCCGGGGGGCGGCGTCGAGATTCTCAATCCATCGACCGGACATGATGTTGAGGACAGACTTTGAATCGCAAGGATCACAAGAGCAAGGCGAAGGGAGTGAAGCGGCCGCGGAGAAACTGTTCCGACAACACTCGTGGAAGCAGCACCCAGTTGCAGTCGTCGGAACATCGTCGCATGAACAAGTCATGGTCGACAAGCCACTTCGAGATGCTGCTTTGTTGCGATAGTTAACATTGACACTGTCGAGACACACACTTCATCCAACGAACTAACCATGGCGATTAGTATGGCATCAGACTGTGGTATCTTAAGTGACTGGAACAGCTCGGGGTGCATGGGCGCGAGTCCGTAGGATCTGTACCAGGTACCGCACTTCATGTGGGGTGGCCATTGCGTGATGACATGGAAGATGTCAGCAGGTGCCATGAGAAGAGCCAATCACGTGCCTCGATAATTTTGTTTGACCAATCAAGTGCGTTCAACTACAAGGACCCAGATCGAAGGAATAAAACTTCGATTTCACCAGCACATCCGGATACCAACCATACTAAAATGCATACAAATACTCCAGTTACAACGCCGAAGTTTACTGTATTCCCTTCGACGTACGCGGCGGCGGGACACCGAGCTGCCCCCGAGACGACAATGAATCGGGAAGCTCCAAGCAGTGGCTACGAGAACAACTTCAATGACAATGGCTACAATGGCAGTGTAGATGGAAGGTTATATGGGTACCCTAATGGGGCCACAACGCAGTTCAATCACATGTACGTGTATGGCCAAGACGTGATCCCGACGCCATCGACCATGGCGGTGCCACGAGCATACTACGTCGACCAGAACGAAATGTACATCCACGAAGGCCAACAAGGTGACTACACGACGAACAGCGGCAGCAGCCCCAACGAGCAGTTTCAACAAGAAAGCTATGCCTACCAGCCCGAACGCTACCCCAGTCACTTGAGGCACACTGGCACTCGTGCGAGTCGCACGTCGTTCACGTACCCTGCCTTGACGGAGGCGGCTATTGAAGCGCTGGCGGCATCATCTCAGTACGTGGCGAGCAGTAGCACCCGACACGACGGCCAGTATCGGACCAACAACAACAGATCGAACACTCGACCTCGGCAACAGCGCCGAAAGGTGCTACGCTTCCGCGACCAAATGATCGAAGAGTTTACGACCGAGACGTACTTCCAGACGCCGTCGCGGCCGGCCATGTATCCGTCCGGCGCAAGTTTCCGGTTGTATCACCCCGAGGAACTGCCGTGTCCGGTGCTGGACCAGCTGCCGCGGTCGGACGCGGTGACCAAGCACTTGCGGAACTGCATGTTGATCTCGGGGGAGTTGGGCGTGACGACTCGATGGACGCTTATGCCGTCGACCAAGTTCACCGTGTGCGAATTGTACCCCAACGAAATGCTCATTTGCCGCGAAAAGACAAAGAACAAAGTCCACGAACCCGTGGCGTTGACAGGCATTATGGTCGAAATCTTGTCGCCAGTGTCCATGAGTTTGCGAGTGGCGCACACGCAGAAGGAAATGGTTCGACTGTCGGTGCGCGAAGGCCAGGAGATGTTGCTGCAAGAGTGGTATTGGATGCTGCATGTGGCCATGGCGATGAAAGTCGACGTAGCCGACGCGAGCGGCGGCGGCATCGGGGCTAGCGCGGCCAAGAAGAAGGAAAGCAAGACGCGCAGTGTGTGGGTCGTAAGGTCCATCGACGAAGACAACGAGCCGTCGTACTCGAACAAGGCGGCGCGGTACATCTCGACGGCGCTCGCCGGTGCCGAAGTCCAAGTGCTGCACAACGGCGACGTGGGCAGCCGCCTCTTGGCCGAACGGATCAACGAGTACGTACACGGAAGGACGCTGCGTGAGAGTGTCTTCCTCGGCCGCCATGTCCTCGGCGAAGACCAGATTGCCAGCCGAGCCATGCGACGCAAACTTGCGTACGATTTGTTTGTCCAGCGCGGCCGCATCAAGCGTCTGGTGCTGGTCGTGGAGGAGGAGCTGCTGGCAGCCATGGTCGCGCGCGCACAGCCCCCGACCGACCAAGACGAATTAGGCAACGGCTTTACCACGTCTATGCTCGACATGTGCAACGGCGTCGAGTTCGCAGTCGACATGAAGACGGGCGACACTAAGATTGTGGCGGCGTTTGGGTAGAACATATGCAGGAAAGCAAGTCGTTGGGCTACCTGTAGAGGGGACAACACTGATAGCAAGACACTCGTTGTAACTACAGGTCGTTGCTTGTTGGTGCGGCTACATATCATCAACGACTACTCGTACTGCTTTAGAGTGCAGTGCAGTGTCCGCGGTCATTACTAAAGGCGCACCAGTAGTTCATGGACAACCCATGTGTATACATGTCGTTGGAAAGCACAGAATCGGCTGCAGGTGATGTGCTGCACTGACAGAGTTACTATCGTGTAACTGGCACATGCGTTTCATTGGCGGTTTCACATTGGCAACGCTGCGTGCTGCGGGAACGCTCGCATTTTGAAGGGGCATAGAGGGTATGTCGACAGCCGACGACGGCGGCGGTAGTAGTGCAAGGGTTGTGTCACTCAAGGAAGACGAAGTGGCACCGTGTGAAGCGACTCGAGCGACGTCGGCAACGGAGACGCCCAATGGGCGACGAAGCGTATCCTACGATGGGAGGAGGGTGTCGACAACAACGGCAGCCACCAGCGACGGCAGGCAGCACCGCCCGCTGTCGACGAACGAGAAGGAAGAGGTTGGGCTCTTGAAGATGGAGAATGCCATGTTGCGGCAAAAGGTTCTGGTACGTCGTCGCTTTTGGCATGTGCATTGATTCAACGGATATACTATGCGGGGCTCAGCAAGTCTTATCTACCAGGCATTGGAGCAGCAGTTTGACGACTATGCTAAGAAAGAAACGTAAGTGACCCACTGCGTTAGAGGTGACAGACGACTGTCGATAGGGCCGACGAATTTGAAAACATGGACGACATCAACGACTTGCTTCGAATGGCCGAGCTGGCCAAGCATGAGGCCAAGGCGTATTCACAAAACACATCCAGGGACAAGGTTCATCACTGCTGCTGCTGCTGCTGCTGCTGTTCGTCCTCATCTTGGATGTAGATGCGAAAGGACATTCAAGTGCTGCAGACGATTCTGAAAAAGGTACCATCATCCATCGCGTGGCCGGCCGGATTGTTGATGGTCGATTGACTTCTGACGCGGTGGGGGTACTATGTACATCGTCACAGGCCAAAGCCGAGCGAAGCGAGTTCAAGAAAACGATCAAGCAGAGCGAAGACCGGCTGCGTTACGAGTGTGAAAAGAAAAAGGAGGTCGGCCGGTCTGGTGTGTTTGGCCAACGGCCCATGTTAACGTGGTTATTTGCAGGAGGGCCTCAAGAACGAGATCGACAAGGAGATCTTTACTAAAATTATCAAAGTACAGCATGCTCTGGCACACAAGAGGATGCTAAGCACTAATGTGGACGTGTAGGACGACAGAGATCGGTACCGACACCAAGTGATGGAGCTCACCGACCGCATCAAACGGCTCGAGCGGGAAAAGTACGACATGTTTATGTGGGCCAAGCAGAACCAAGACCATTGTTTGCTGGTACGTAATGGTGTTATGATACACAACCACGTTGAAACAGTGTCACAGTTTTTGATGACACACGATGCGTAGGAGATGCGAAAGCTCACAAGGGCCCTGATCAAAGCAAAGAAGATGGCAGATGAACAGGTAGGGTCTCCATTGGCGTGTGTGTCGGTGGCCTTTACATCCATGTCTAGTCGCACGACAGCAAGGAACTGTATGAGCTGGTAGTCCGAGTCAAGCAAGTATTGCATGTAGCGGCAGATTCGACATAACAAGCAATCCAGGAGGTTGGTTGGATATGATTGCCTTGTTATTCCAGTGGGTTGTAAATGATGCGTTGCAGCGTATCGCCTTGCTTGGACACTTGCACGACCATCTTCAGGTCCATGATGTCGTTTGCGCGGGTTTTGAACGATGCAATCAGCAGGCCGCAGTTGGCCAAGTTACTCGGTTTAATCGACGCCACGTTGATCTGCGGGACCTGCATGTACATACATACATATACCCCCAACGCGGTGAGAGAAGAACAAAGGAAGGTGGGGGCTACCGAGAATTGGAAATGGTTTTCTCCTTGAAGGTAGTCCTGTGCGTCGGTCTTGCCAAGCTGTAAGATGAGAAGTCAGGTTAAGGAGCGCTCCATCGGTCGTATATGGATGGCGGAGCATGTTATAGGACATGAAAAAGGATATTAATAATGTGTCGCTCCAAGACAGAGTCCACGAGGTACTACGAAGACATATGAGTCGGGGCAAACAACAGGTTGTGCGAAGTACAAACCTGCACCTCCCACCATCCGTCGAGGACGTCCTTGTTCACGGTGAAGTCCACTTCCAAGTTGAGTTCGTCCGAGATATGCGTCGGGTTGGGGGATACGTCCACGCGCAGGATGTCCACTTGCGGCAATTGGGCCAAGTACTCGTCGTCGTCGCCAGCCTTGGACTCGCTCATGTTTCTTTTTGGATTCCTCCTCGTGTACTGTACAGGCGCACCAACAAATTATCGGCCGAATATTTCACAAATATCTTCAACCATTCGCGATTGTTTTAAAGTATTTTGTTTCATCCAAAAAGAAAGAAAAAAAGACGAATTTATAGCACTAAACTGAAATGTCATTTCGTCGACGGACATTTGAGATTGCGGTTGGATGATGCGCACATCAAGAGCTCGGCTGTATTGCACGGCGTAGTACTTACTACCTCCGTCCAATCTAAGCTTACCATGTTCACAGACTCCCGTGGTGCGACCGTCGCATATTTCGCGGCGTGTACTGTACATATACGTACTGCACTCATACTCCACATATTGCACTCATACTCCACATATGTGCTCGAAATATATCCTTTGGATATTTTCATTGTTGTTCGTCGTGAATGTCACAGATGCTCGTCCTGTTGGTGGGTGTGTAAATCGATGTTAGCATTGACGTGCCTTTGGATGTGTCCGTGGCTGGTGCCGCCGCCGCTGCATTGGAGGGTTGCCGAGACTTGTTCGAATGTCGTGGAGTTGGCACGGCCCCATCCATGCAGGCATGGATTGCTTCGGCAGGATGCTGCAGCGTCGCATCGTCCACGTCATTATCGACGATGTCCGCGTCCGCGTTGAAAATTTGGGTGGCGCGCTCGGTTGTCGGAGCGACCGGACACGTGGTTTTCGTCGATTTGTAGAGAAGACCTTAGTGTCGCCAAGCGTGAAGAACCTCTTACCTCGCGAAATTTATGGTTTCATATCTTATATAGAGTTTCGTACTTGACAAGGAAGTGTCAACGCGATGCCGAGCGCTTAGCCATTCTCCAAGCGAACCACCAAGAGCCGTTGTTGAACCTTTCCGCAAAGGAACAACGCTTGTGTGTCATCCTGCCCCTGTGTGTGTCCTTGGAGTTCAGTACGTCAGGGCTGTGTGTGCGTCCAACATCATGGTGGTGCAGTGCCCGAACCGTTGGCCGTTCGTGGCCATGTGAAACTGCCATTTATGTGGAGCGCACACTGGCTGGCAATGTCGCTCTCCAGAAAGCAGCAGATGAGGGACTGATTCGAGGCGAGTCAGGGCAGGCCCTTTTGTCCACGGCCGACTAACTGTCGATATATGTATCTTGTTGGACGTGCTGGCGTCAAAGCTCGTTGTAATCAAGGCGAGGGTACGTAGCCCTCTTCAATTCGTTTCGATGCGACCTGAAGGATGAGCTACAGTATATGACCAGTAGTTGTTTGCAGTGGCGCATGGCAAGTTCAACCAAGTTGCAGGGGACTTGCGACTCGCAAGTTGTGAGTACGTATCATCGCAGCCCCCTGCCGCCGACAACGCAGACAATAATGAGCACAGCCTGCGCACAATCCTTGTGGGGTTTGTTGTGCTACCGTTAACATATTTAACGTTACACAAAGCACTGTATTGATTGGGATGACATGACACGTGGATACGAAACAACTTCTTGCAACTGTATTATACCAAACCAATTACATATATCACGCACGTTTTGCCTGATTTGATTTCTGCATCTTCATTAGCGGTAATATGTCGTCCGCCCCATCTGCTTGCGTTTCCTATACCATGAAACTTGCTGATTCTAACTATATAGCACGTGGTTGAACGGGCACACGTCCTTCGACCACCCCAACCAAGAAAAGAAGACCCGCGATAGGAGGGCGTCCAATCTAACAAGGACTTGCTTGGATCAGACGGCTCGTGTATGTTAGCGAACGTTCGTTATACGTATATACCGGTAAGTATATACAGTTTCTGGGTTACGATTCAGTCGACTTTGAACTTTGCCCGAGGTACTCTTGTGTAACAATCGTAAGACTCTTTGGGCCACTGAATTCGAACTGGAACTTGCACTTTGTGTGTTGGACACAGCAAACGCAGTGACTGGAGCTTGGTCAAAAGATACACAAGATACTGCAACTTGTCGTGACCAAGCCGCCTTGGCAAGTGCAGTGCGTAGGTGCGTACATACTGACTGTACTATTAAAACTTCGAAGTAGAAGTGTACTCCACACACATGTAGGTGCGTACTGTACCGGTACTATAGGTGTACTCCGCACGCCCATTGTACCTGCCTGCCCTGCTGTATGTAGTACGTAAGATCATACATCACGATTCTAAGAAATCAAATGCCCATTCTATGTTGACTGGTTGTTCATACTACCCGTAAAAAGTATCCGCACCAACGAGAACTTGAATGCACACGAGGAGGATTCTGCTTGAAGACGTGGCATATGTGCGTGCGACTACGCAGCGCTGATCGTGGTCCGAAGTGCGCAGCGTATGCCACACAAGCGAGTCATCATGTTGGCCCAAGACTATGCCGAAGGACTTGGGTTCGCGGTGCCACCACCGGTGGGTTCAGCTCAGATGAATCTGCCGTGTGTTCCAATTGGACCATCGCAGATCCCACACCCCCTAATTAGCGATAATTAGGACCCCAGAGTCCCAATTAGGATTCAAACGCGGAGTAATTTTGGGCTGGCCCTGCTTGTCTCAGGATTGAAATCGCACTTAGCGAGTTACTCCGACCTTTCGGATAGTATTATGACTTGGGGGTTGTATATACGTTTCAAATCGAAGCCAGGGAATATCTTAAGTGCGACTCCGGAGTGGATAAACAAGGCAACCCCTACAGCTGATTACATTGACACATTTTGGCACGCGTTGCACCACGCCGCCGCCGCCGACGACGACCTTCGACGCATTTCGACCAAGATCCACACATCTTCCAGACATGTTCGCGTGGGGAAAACCCTCTGCCGCTCTGGCGCGCCCTGTGGACCTGTTGGGCCTTAATGCAGCCTCGGACGATGACGAAGCGTGGCCGACACTTTCGTCGGGACGTCCGACAGCTGCATCGAAGAAGCGCACGTCGTCTTCAAGGCGAAAGAGGCATGGCGATGGTGACTTCTTTCTGCCTTTGACGCCTCCTAATATGCAAGCTCCTCCGGCACCCCCCGTTTCCTCGATTGTAATGAACTTGCCGACGAAGCTTCCTGTCCTTGAAGTTCCTACGATCGAGACGAATTGGTCGACGCGCAGCAAGCAGTGGGAGAGTGACAGTGAGGACTCTCCATCAAGTCCCGTCCGATCGCATAGCATCGAGGAACCTCCGCATCTTTCTGGTTCCCATCGAATACGAAGGGCCATGTCTGAAGAATCTGTGCTGAAACCCGCGCGCTATGAATCCACACCGCCGTCGTCGCCGTCCAGTTCACGAGTAGACGATGCGACTGCATTAGAATCGCAAACCCAAGCCCGTGAACATATCTGGAACATGGTGTTCAACAACCATGCATCATCATCATCGCCGTCGTCGTCATCCACCCCGCGTGCATCGCGCGCCATGAGTCTTCCAGGGTGGATGCCCACCATGAAATTCGCGTCCGATCTGCAAGAAGACGACACCTTGAACAAGCCAGTGCCTCCTTATGAACCTTCCATCGACGACGACGACGACTTGGACGAAGTGTGCAGCAATGGATCGTCAGACACGACCGTCTTGTCCAGCTACAACTCGAGTCCGCGCACGACGAGTACCTCCGTCGACTCGTTGAAAAGCCCGCCGCCGCCGCCGCTGCTGGATCCCCATCTTTCTCTTCCCAGCCCCCTTCCATCCTGTCATTGCCCCATGGCGTCGGATTCCACACAAGGCAGTTTCATGCCGCAAAGCAGCCGCATGTCCGCCGCAATTCCTTCGTCCAAGTGCACCTGCGCCCCATCCAACGAAGACGTAGATCCTGTCATATTGGCTCGTCTGGCCGACGACTTTCGAGCCCAGCGATTGGCCAACCAAGCGAACGCGTTGATGTGGTCCGTGGAGCAAGCCACCGCCCGCGGCGTCGTGTCCAACTCCACCGAACAGACGCTGTACCACTTGATTGGCCGGGGGGCGTTTGAAGAGGCCCGGGATATCTTGTATCGGCACTGCCACCTCACCCCCGCCGTGCACAACCTCGGCTCAAAGGCGACAGCGGCTACGGCTCCAGACAACACCCCCCTCTCTCCCACCGTTCCCGTCGATGTAGTGGCGAACTCTGCCTTGACAGCGTTTGTAGATGCGATGGCGCCCAAAGACTCTGTCGCAGGCCGGCGCCACAAACAAACGGTGCTGCGGGCGTTGTCGACGCTGGTGGCGTCGTGGGTCAAGCGCGTGGGGGTCGAGCGGGGGTTGAGTCCCGAGCACATTGCGCTCACGAGCGGCGCCTTGTTTGCGGCCGGTTCATACCGCCTGGCTATCGACGATCCGTCCTCAGACATTGACACGGTCGCCGTCGCGCCTTGGCACGTGACCCACGCCGACTTTTTCGGGTCATTTGTGGACCTGCTGCGATCTTGTCCGGCAGTGTCGAGCTTGACGCCCGTCTCAAACGCGTTCGTGCCGCTGCTGGCGCTAGTGTACGACAATGTGGCGTTGGATGTGCTGTTCGCCCGCGTGCCCATGCCCACGGTGCTGCCGTCGCAAGATATTGACTCGGACTACATCTTGGCGGGGGTGGATCCGGCGTCCATGAAGTCGCTCAACGCGCCGCGCGTGAGCACCCTGCTGCTGCGGTTGGTGCCGCAGCCCGCCGTGTTTCGCGCCGTGGCTCGGGCGATTCGGGCGTGGGCTAAAGCGCGGGGCATCTACTCGAGCAAGTGGGGGTACCTGGGCGGCGTGAGCTGGACTATCCTCGTGGCGTTCGTGTGTCAGATGTACCCCCAGGAAACCGACTGCGAGTCGGTGTTTGTCAGGTTCTTCCACGTCATGTCCGAGTGGGCGTGGCCCCAGCCCGTGATGCTGAACGTGCTGTACGACGCTGGCCTCGGCCTCGAGAGCTGGGACCCGCGGCTCAATGTATTTGATCGGACGCACCTCATGCCAATCATCACGCCGGCGTACCCGCCGATGAACTCGGCGGTGCAAGTTTCCCACACAACGTTCAAAGTCATGTACGACGAACTGTGGCGCGCGCGGCACTTCGCCGACTTGGCGGCCCATGCCGCCAATGACGCGGATGTGAAACGTGCCAAGTGGGTCGACTTGTTTGCGCCGACAAACTTTTTTGTCCGGTACGATGTGTACTTAGGCTTGTCGTACAGTGCCAACACTAGAGACGACATGTGCATCTGGAGCAAGTTCGTGCACTCGCGAGTGCGCAAGCTCGTGGACGGACTGCAACATGTCGAAGGCATGTGCAACGTGCACGCGCTGCCTACCCACTTTCCCCACCCCGTCGGCAACTCATCGCCGGACGGGGGAGAGGGCGGTAGTGATGGGCAGTGTCTGCATCGTGAATCTGTGTTTATCGGCCTCGAGTTCAAAGCACGCGTCCCTGGCAATAGGAGTATATTCTTGGACCCGCAGATGGAAGCCACCATTGGCCAGACCATCCGGTTCTTTGAAGCTACCGACTTGCAGCAGTTTGGTGTGCGCGCGCCGGGGATGACGCTGTCCACAACGTTGTTGCAGTGGGAGTCATTGCCCGAGTTTGTGTTTGCACACGGACGAGAGGCGGCGCGGGACGACCGCGTCCGTCTGGCCACCTCGCCGGCATCGCACCCGGCGCCGCCGCCGCCGCCCCGCAGTCGGTTTGTGTATCCAGCTCCGTTTGGTACCACCACCGCCACCATGAACAGCCACCATCGACCCAAAAGCAAGACGACCAAAAAGGCCAAGCGAAAAGACAAGCAACACACATCGAGTATTTAAGAGTCCCCAGGGTAGTAATTTTCCGTTAATATAAAAGCATGAGTACGTAAACTAACGTTAGTAGTATTATGGCTGGCTACACACGAGGCGGGCGTACGAAATGATCTAGCTCGACCCGGCATGCCACGTCACGGTTGGATAGCACCAGCTGCTGCAGACCGCACACGGAGCTCTCCCACATTTGCCACGCATCTCTAAACTTTTCAATCGTTTGCATCGTGAGAGCAATACTTGGCTCGACCGATGCTATTGCCGCCTTGGAACCGGTGGCTTGCTGCGTCATGTACCGCTGCAACGATGTTTCGATAGCACAAAGGAGATTCACGCACGAAGGAGATGCGTCCATGTGGGTGTGTTGGGTGGACAGCAGCGATCGGAAGTCGGCCACGACCGCTGCGAGCCATCCCGGCACTTCTAGCAGCGGGCAACGCGCGTGTGGCCACAGAAACCGCAAGCATGCCATCGCATTGGGGAACGTCAGCTCCATGCTGACATCCGTGAGTTGCAGTGCAGTGAAGAGGCCCCACTTAGCCGCGATGTTGTGCAATGGAGAGCACGATGCAAAAAACGTCTGGAGCTTCGACAAGGCGTGGCGGTTGAGCGATGTGGCCACAGACAGAGTCCCATGGAGGATATCATTGAGACACCCTAGCGCCATGTTGAGAAGGAGGCGCGAGCTATACTTTGTGACGAGCTGTCGATTATACCAATGTGTAAGCTTTGATATGCTGATTGCAAGCCGCCGAATTTTTCAAAGTACGCGTCGAGGCCAGGGGCTGTCAAGTTGCCTGTTTGAGGGTTGTGCGGCAAGTTATTGGACGTGATCAGGTGCTGGTATTGCGCGGCCGTGCCAAGGACCGACTGGTCCATGCTTTGTTGGAACGCATTCACTTCCTACATGTGAAATGGGGTCATCGCTTGAAGACTGCATGTCTTCGTACATCTAGCGACAGCTCGCCATCTCCATTGCTGTCCATGCGCTGAAACAGGTGTTGAACCGAGCTATTCGTGTCATTCTCGTGATGATCTGGTGCATGGGGAGGCCACAGACTGGTCATCATGGCTGCAGCTGCTGACGTAGAGTACGCCAACAACTCGTCAAATGAATTCTCAAGGGTCAGTTCAAAGTGAAGGGTTTGGAAGAGATTCTGGAGCTTGTCGTGCAAGGCACTCTAACACCACATACAAAACAAACGTGAGCAGCAGCAGCCCATGCTCCTTAAATGAGTTGCGTGGTGCAGCTATAATGTACGACCTCGACGTCGCCAAACACGCTGTGTCGCATGAGAAACGTCATGCGTAAATAATACTTGTCCGACGCCGTCTGTGGCATGGACTTTGTCGCATGCTCGCGGTACCCGTACACAATACTCACTACGACACGATGAGAGGCATATATATTGTCGACCAACCAAATCGTGTAACTCAATATGTACATAGCACACACCGTTGGCTTTTTGCCACAGGAATGAGCATGCTTCCAACACGATATAGTCGTTGAGCAATTGACCAACAACTCTGGCGAGTAACGCAGCCGACTCGTCTACGCTTGCACACGATCTTGTGACGATCATGAAGGAGTAGTAGACGCTGGAGGAGTACTACATGGATGCGTGTGTAGTTAGTTACCTGTGACAGACTTCCACAACAAGAATTCCATGGTGAAAGCCATGGGGAATCCAGTCTCGAGCACTTCGTCGTCGTCCAGTTGCATTTGGTCCAAAATGTCGACCGAGTTGGGTGCCGTACTGGGGTGTTTATCGTCGGCTGCTTTTTCTTTGAATTCAAATCGACAAGATAGGGTAGCCGCGGCATGGTCGTTGGTGGTAGTGGTGGTGGTGGCCTCGTCTGGCCGTCCTTGAAACGGAGTAGAACGTGGCGCCTCGATATGTACGAGAAAACTGTAGTTGGATTCTTGCGGAGCTTCTAAATCGATCACGTCATGTCGTTGTTCAACGGATGGCTGGCCCCCTTTGCCAAACGTGTCGCGCACGCTGGACACAAGGCGCCGCCACCACGAGCTAGCCGATCGACAAATGTCCACACAACTCGTGGCGGCGATTTGCCATTTTGGTGGCGTCTCTCGGTTCTGGTCGGCGGTCCATTGTTTGAACCACCGAAGCATGTCGGAACACGCAATGCGCTCCAGCTGGTCCTTTGAAAAGTGCTCCAGATGATGCTCTGCCTGCATATACAAATCAAGTGTTGAGATGGGAAGCATATTTGGGTACATTGAGGGGTATATGGTACCTCCACGTCGGACATTGCGATAGAGTTCTCCGTGGCCATCAATACGAGTTCTTGGAGGCGGCGAACGTTGAAGCGCAAGCTAGTCTCTAGCGACAAGGTGCGCGTCGAGTCACTGGTGGGGGTATTTGCAGCCTTGAACGCATTCTGAATACGCCGGCAGCATTTGTCGACATTGGGCACTTGAACTCGCTTCGATTGCCCAGACGAGGTGGTGGTTCGGAGGTTGGAGGACAGGCCCAACCATTCCAGCACAGGTCGACGTGGTGGTGGTGGCGGTATGGCGTAGTCGCATGGGCTTGGATCTGACTGAGCTGTCGTGGTATTGCGTGTTGCTTTGCAAACAACAGCCACCCATGACAAGCCTTATCAATTATCTACTTGCTGAAGTAATAGACGTACCTGCTGCGACGCCGATTTCATATTCGATCGCAGCAAGTTGCTTCATCCCATGCAGTTGGTCGGCGATGAGTGTCTCGAGGTTCTCCACCAGCACCTGCCCATGTTAACGTCAACAAATTGTCCTTGGCCTTAGCTGTACCATATCCAAGTCACACAAGAAGAACACGACGTCCGGGACGACCATGAGTTTCTGAATCACTGCGGCCCAGTCCAAGCTTGGCTTGCTGTTCAGCACATCTGTACATCATAGCACACAAGTTGATAGGACGGACTGCAGTGTCTAGCCGTACTATTGGCGATGCATCGCAACGCTTTGTCCGGTGGCAACTTGGATCCTTTCAGCTTGGCAATACCGCGCACACCAAACCACATGGCTAGCAACAGCTCGGGCTTGCTGCACATCGCACCAGTGTTGGCCAATTTCGAAATGACTATGGCACGCTATGTTATCCACAGCCTGTAGAGGAAGTTGGTGGTCGTTCGCCGTACATTCAAACTTGCGCAGCACGGGCGCCTGCTGGACCAGCGCGAAGCCAGCTAAAAAGTCATTGACGCACAACGGAAACGCAAAGAAATCCTTTCGACGGTCCACGGCGTCGACGACGTCTTGGCGCCGCTTAGGCCCGAACCACTCGACAAGAGTGGCCTTGTCGCGGATGAAATGGAGGTTTCTTGACGTCGCCCATCTCTCCAGCGACATCAGCTCGTCCCATGCAGTGGGGAGGAATGGCCGCACGTCGCGCTGAATCGGACCTTTCGAGCACGCGTTGTTGCCCATGATCGATCTAACCGTAGCAACTTCAACTTTACGACGTTTCAAAATCCAACATGTTGTATATTAAAATAAATACTCGGAGTACGTATTAATACTACTATTAATAGTAGGAATTGCTACTGGTATGGAGTATCAGTATTATCAATATATAAATTTAAAATGACAAAAGAACATTTTATAATTAATTAACTAAGAAGTACTATTAGTATTAATACTTGGAAGTACTTTTTTTTATTTCATTCGACGTGCCGCGATGCATGGATATATATATATATATATATATATATAAATGCAGCCCATCATCCCAACGCGACTTCAGAACGGAGCAGCTCCTCCCCCCATTCATTATATAAGATTACACTAAAAGTCGTCGTCGTCGTCGCCACCACCACCACCAGCTTGTGCCACGTCATGGTGGTTTAAGAACGAATTGGAGCCGAAGAAGTCTGAAATGCCTTCGTTTTCGTCCAAATTGAAGCAAAAGTCGGGGTCTGCTTTGAGCGGCGCCAACTTGAACAGTCCCGAGTCAAAGTCCGAGTCTTCAAAGTCACCAACTCCCGCGCCGTGGTCGGCCTCGTGACCCAGCAACGACGCCGAGGATGCTGCGGTCGCTTCCTTCTTGACGCCCTCGTCTGGCACTGTGGACGCTTGGCTAACTAAATATACGTCCACGGGGCCTTCGTTGCTCTTGAGGAAGATCTGAAACCTTCGGCTGCCAGCTGGCATGCCTTCGTCTGGGTCGGGCACTTCCAGCGTCGTGCCTGGAGGCGCCTTGATGGCCATGATACTCTGCTCGGACAACGATTCCATGGCCCGGATGTCTTGATGTGAAATGAAGCTGAGCCCTCCGGGGTTGTTGGCTGACCCGTCGCCGCCGCCTTCGTCGTTGAGGTGCTTTACGCTCATGGTCATGTGCCGAATGTAGTGTTCTAACAGCTTCTCCTCTTCGATCAACTTCAGGGTCGACTCTTTCAGGTCGGAAACCTCTTCGACGCGGGATGGTGCTGCTCGTGTGGCACCGCCTTCGTTGTCGGAGTCCGACTCGTCGTGGCCAGGCAGACAACTGGAACCACCACCCGCCGCTCCAGCTTTCCAGTGGATGTTGTTCTTGCTCGTTTTTTCAATCAGCCCAATGCCCTCGAGCACGTTGGTGATGTCGTAAATCCGCCGCTTCTGCACACCCAGTGAGATCGCGGCCTGATTCAGATCCAGGTTCCCGTCCGTGGCGTTTTGAATGAGCGACACAAACTTCTTGGTTAGCAACCCCAGGGAGCTGTCGTACCGCGTCCCGGCTGGGGACGACGACTGGCCGCCCTTGCCATCGTTCCCTTTCTGCGGCGCACTCGACTTGGTGTTCAACGTCATCGCGCTGCTGGGATCGAGGCCCATGCCATGCAGCGCGAGCGGCGGCCGTTTCAAGTACGGATTGATGGGCATGTACATCGGTAGACCCATGTACATGGGTGGAACATTGCCCGCGGCGGACGTTGAAGCAGCATGATTGTTTGGCGTGGATGTGTCCGTTGATGACGCTTGAGCAGCCTTCGCTGACGGAAGTGCCTTGGCCTTGGACTTGGCCTTGGCACTACTTCCTGCTGCAGATGCAGCGGCATTCCGCGGACGCTTCTGGGGAGGAGTCGGCGTCTCCATGATTGCCCCAATGGCAACGAGGTACCCTTCGTGCCAACTCTATCCGGACGAGTCGGTCAACATGCATATCTTGTGGAGATGCATGTCCTTTCAGTAGTAATATTCAGCATTATTCGTTTTTACAACCCATCGATTCAACATTGAAGGGGCATTTGAGAGTTGTGACAATATATCTGCTCCAAGTTGATAGCTACTTCGAAGGATAAAGTGTCGCTGAGCTAGCATGCGCCAGCTACCTCATAGACACGGAAGCATGACACTGAGTCCCGATAGGAGCATGATGTGGAAGGTCAGCAATACAGTTTTGTGGGGTAGGTCACCCGCGACGAATCAATTAACTGTAAACTTCCATGCTTCGAACGATGCGCCATTCCTTCCTATGAGCTGAACTGCCCATAGATGTACCGACAAAGGTCATGGACAGCGAGGTCACGATAGGGTGCGTAGGATGTCTGCGGACGCATTATAACGTCGATATGTCACGCAACCAAGTGATGGAAGTTACATGCCGCGAAACCGCTCACGTTGTAAATCCTCACCCTGATGCATCCGATCCGCCGCAAGAGCGTCGTGTTGGAAGAGGACGAGAATGAGCCCAAAAAGACTTTGCAACAGAAGGAAGTCATTTCCGCCCAAATGATCGACGTCGTGCAAACGCGTCTCGACTCGCTTCGTTCTGTGGGTACGTTGATCCGTTTTTCACTGCTTTTACTTGTTGACATGACGTAGCCGAGAACCGGATTTACGGCTTGGAATGTGATTTGAAAGCCAACTTGAACCACTCATCGAGAATGGTATGTCGTCCTCGCCGCCATCTCTTTCACGACGCAGTTGTAGGTACCTGGTCTGCCCGATCCTTATGAGACCAACCACGTGGTCGCAACGGGCCGTCTGCGCACGTCCGCGGCGCTGGCCATGAACGCTCGGAACCAACTGCTCATGGAAAGACTGTTCGGGCCAGACGAGAAACTGCGGACGCGCAATGTACTCCTTGTGAACAAACCCACTAAGATGCCTAACATGTTGGTTTGGTTAGAAAACGATGAAAAAGTCCAAAGCGGACATGCTCAAGTCGGAAACAAGACGCAACAAACGGGCGCAACTGGAAAAGCTACTGCAAGTGAGCATCGAACGCCACGTCACGCGCACGGTCGACAGCGTTCTGACGTCGGCAGATTCAAACAACAAGCGGAACATCGACCTCAACGCCAAGCTGCTGCTGTCCCACACGATCGAAAAGATGCGCATCGTCCAGGGCAAGAAAACGTTCAAGCGGTTTGTCTTGACCGAGATCTCGTGCACGCAATTCGAGCAAATCTTTTGGCTTGTGTTTACCCGCATCTTTCAAAAGGTACAATCTCTGAAAAGTTCAACATATTTATAAACTACCACGTCGGGATAGAACGCCGACGACGCCGACCAGATGGAGTGCATTTGCGCGCTGTATGTCAAGATGCTGTCCGTGCTGCGCCTCAACAAAGATCTCATCTTTCGCATTTACCCGTATGCGATTGCGGGCTCTGTCTGCAGTGGCTTTCACTATTTATTTCCGGGCTCGCGACACTTATACGTTCACGACTTTAAGCATCAGGTAGTCCCCTTCGTAACTACGACTAGATGATGTGGTGTGACCATTAGGTGTTTGTGATCGTGTGCGAACTCTTGCTCGGGTTAAAGTTGTGCCCCATCTCGGTGCAAATGATGCGAAAGCAGTACTTTCCAGAGGACCAGCTGGACGAGTTGGCAGGCAAGATGAAATACCTCGACAGCGCCGAGTCGACCCCCCCTGGACAGCTCCCTGGCAGTAGCAACTCGTTGCGAAAATCTGCCAGTGACTTTACCTTGTCCATGGTGAGTACTGAAGTCGCTCTAGGATTTGGTAATAACAGTTGTGATAGCTGCCGACGAGTCTTCGGGTCCACCAAGTGCGAGCGTCGTTCAATGCCGCGCAGTTAAGTCCGCTCATGAAGGAATACTTGGCGACCAACAAGGAAGGTCTTAAGAAGCCCTGCTTTCTGCGTCGCACGACGCCAGTGGATCGATGTCTTGTAGGCGGCGAGGATACGTATCGCAAAGCGTATGGGAAATCCACCCCATTTATAATGATATATATATTATACGTAGGTTTACGAAGAAAGATCAAGCCGTGAATTTTGCCCAACAGTCGTCGGAATTGTACGGCGAGTACCGCAAGGATGTGCTCAAGTACCAGCAAAACGCGCACAACGCCATCAAGTTGATCGATGAGGTATGTAAGCCATTGAAGAGATCTCATTCACATGCACATGTTGATACTGTTCGTTTAGACCAAAGACATTGTCCTGAACGGCGGAAAGGCAGCAATTAAGGCATACAAGGCTATTCTGCAAAACCACTCGATACTGGAAGAAGCGGCAGATCAGGTGCCAGTACAAAACAGCAATGTGGTGGCCACGACACGCCCGACCAAACATGGCTTGTAATCATTCTTGGCTAATTAATTTAACCACCGCCAAATGCTCTGGGCAGTGGAGTTTGCTGTTGTTGTTACTGCTTTGCATCTAACGTGGCAAGCTGAGCCCTGCGTATTCGATAGTGCAATGTCGATATGATCACATTCAACCGCATTAGATGTACTGCATTCCATCTCAAGTCATATGTATACTATGTGAGATTAGCATGTCGTAACTCATCGTCCACAAAGACAGTCCTCGTTGAGAGGAGTGTTGTGGAAGCCACGAACTATCTAATACAAGGTGATGTCCCCGTTATAATCCCAAGGTTGCCTCACAATGTGCCGAATAGATTTTCGACGCTCAACGAGGGTATGGGAAACATATTTTTTTACCCATTGATAGCGGTCTAAATATTTAAATGTTTACAGCTGTTAATTGCAGCCATTTCGACAGACAATTATATACTACTAGTACGTAGTACTTTGACAATTATTGAAATAGTAACTGTACATGAATACAAAAGGTAAGAGCAAATACTGTTGATGGTATTAATACATCGATCAACAAACAGTACTAGTACATACTTAGTCGGGTCTCGCAACCATAAACAATCAATAATTGTATTTTGCCAGCGCCTCGATATTAAATATTTTCGGAATTTAATTGTCAATTATTTCTCCCATACCCTGCGCTCACCCTTCTAGCATCTCCTTGCTGCAAATATATCACGGCACTTTGGCAACCATCGCAAGAACAACACCACTACCGGTACTAATTGAAATATCGAAATATATATCTACCAATAATTTAAAGTGCTTTTGAACCCAAGGAGGTCGTTCACAAGAAAGGGGGCAACGTGTTCTTGGACGGTCGACTCGAACGGAACGTGCGTCCTGCGGTGGCTCTGTCCGACGACGTGAACCCGCATTTTCTTGGGCTTATTCACAAACCAGTCGTGGAATCTCCTCACGCATTCGTCCTTGGTCACGTCGTTCAACTCGTCTAGAAACAAGGATTTGGAATGGAACTCGAGTCGTTGGGATGTAATTTCTGCCCAGAACTCGGCCGTCGCAGCCCTCAAAGTGGACGGACGGGAGCCAGTCCACGCGGCTTTTCGGGCGGCGACGTGCCTCTCAAACGTGTCGTCGTCTAATCCTGCGAGGTGGGCGGGGAATTCTCCGTGAAGAAATGCGTCCACGCGCATCGCGAGGTGGCTGGCCGAGTAGGCGGAGGACACGAGCGACACACTAAACCCGAGGACACCGTGGGTGTGGCGGACGCAGCACGACAGGTCGTAGCCCAACTGGTCGCGACTGCGCAGGCTTGAGTACAGCGGCTCTTGCATGATGCACTGAATCAAGTTGGCGTACACGTTGGAACGGACGTCTCGCTTGCCGAGTTGGTAGTAAATCTCCACCGAAGTGTTGACTTCGTCGACGTGGGCGCTGGGCTGCCGCACCAAGATGCCCCGCCCCAGGGGGGACGATGGTAGCGCGAGTGCTTGTGGCATCCATACTTCCGACCGGTGGGTACACGAAGACGGGGAACAAAGTGGGTGGAGGCGTTCAAGAGGGTGCGCCGCCAAGCGGAATATAGTGTCCGCTGATGCGTCGTCAATATTACCATGAAAAAAACCAGTGAAGCACACACCAACCCACATATCATCCCGGACAAACGACATGAGCCTGTCGCATGTCAACGCTTCCACGGCGGCACAAATGTCTTCCAGTTCAAACAGCGCCGTGGTTTCCAACACAAGCAATCGCAAATACCGCGATTTGTCGGTCGGGTGCCGACACTTGTTGTGAAGATTCTGCACCAACACGTGTCGAATGGCCTCAAACCGAGTTGGGTCCAAGTCTCCTCTGGCAAGGGTTTGAAAGATCTGAGACACGATGGCACTCAGATGCTGACCATACCCATAACACACGACTTCCAAGTCCGACCCATCTTGCAGGCCAATGTCAAAATCCATGTCGGCGCACTGCGCGAGGTACTTAAGCTCACGCAAGGCGTCATTGGCGACCTCGCAGTACAGCAGTGCGCACGCGTGGGCTTCCAGCGATCGACGGACAGACGCCAGTGCGACGTTGAAACATGCATTGATGCGTGGGGTATGGTACGACAAGTCCGGGAGGACCCACAAGTTGGGACGAACTTGGAAAGGAGCGGCAGTAGTGGTGGCTGGGGTCGCGATATAGCCGATATCTGTGGGGATGTACGGGTTCGGCAACGGCCAATGGCTGCTGTGATGTGACTGATGCCACGACTCTACCAGGCCTGGGTCGATGAAATCGCATGTAAAGCTCGTTCCAAACCACGGTTCCTACATCTCATATTTCAAAGTCAAGGTTCACAAGTGACGCCGCTACCGTTTTCCAAGGGGTCATGCCGCCGTCAATTTCAGTGTCGAAAGATGGCGACACCAACACCACCCGGACACTGTGAGCTGAAAACGACGGCAGCAGGTCTTTCACCAGGTGTTGTTGGAACGCGCCTTGGAAGACAGTCGCCTGAAGCCAGTCTTGCGGGGGCATGGCATATCTGGCTTGCATCCGTTGAGACAGCTCCTTGCACGCTACCAACGGGTCCATTTCGTCGGGGAAACGAAACGCTAGTTCAGACGATGCTTTGAATTCAGAAAAGATCCACTCGGGAAGGTCGGGGCATTGGTTCAGCATGTTCAAGTACGCAAACACGTGCGCGGCAATCTCGTCCCAATGGTCCAACCCATCGATGGTCAACGTCAGCTGAACTTCAAACTGGCACCCGTACGAGCCCGACTCGTAGCCGTCCGTGTCGGAGATTCCTGCGACAATGGCGGTAGCCCACCCCGCGTCAGTCAGCTACGATTATGTTAAAAACTACACCTGAATTGTTTGTGATACCGTGGAAAGAAGCGACTGGTTGCATTCGTGGCTGAGGATGTATCGAATGTACTCGGCGGGCTTTTGCTTGTACAGACCCACGAGCGGGGGCAACGAAAAGTACATGTGCATTGCATGCATGTCTTGCAGAGGAATCAACTTGATGAGTTGGGAGCGGAGGGCTTGGAACGGTGAACCATGAAGCTCGTACGATGGGGCAGCTGTCTCACTACTTGGCACTGCACCGAACGAGCGCGCTGTCCATTGTTCCAGCGCGTCAAGGTCATGCGGGGAGCACACGACGAGTTTCATGTGGCTCGCCGTGTAGTACTGGCGGAAGAAGTTCCGAAGGGCTTCGTAGACATTGACGTTGTCCTTGGCAGGGGAGTCGCGAAGGCTTAGTTGGTTGCCCCAACTGAAACGATGGTAGGGGTGTGTTGGAGGCGACAACACGCACAACACTTGCTAACATCAGAGGAATAAGACATGGTGAATGTGAGGGGGAGGTGGGATGCAGCACCTGCAAGCGAACGTGGTCGTTCTGGGACGCGAGCTGGAATTCCGAATCGATGGCGCACAACTCTCGATCCATCGCGTCCTTTTTGAGCAACGGACTGACAAAGAAGTGGGCAAACATGTCCAAGGCGACTTCAAACCCAGACGCGTTGGTTTCAAACACGAACGCCGTGGATTCGCAGTCTGTCGTGGCGTTGCTGTACCCTCCATGCAAACTCAAGTACGACTCGAACGCGTTTTCATCGGGGTACTTTGCGCTTCCTTATCAAACACAACCCTAAAGAGAACATCGCAGTGTCTAGACGACGTTACCCATGAAAAGCATGTGCTCCATGTAATGCGCCAGTCCTTGTAAATGGGGAGGATCGGCGAAGCTGCCCACCTCCACCGTCAGGCATGCGGCTGCTTGGACGCTGTCGCGGGCGTACATCAAGTCCTCCTTCTCCGACGATGAATGATCGCCTTGTGAGTCGTCGTCGAATGGTTGGCTAGTGCCTCGAACGTGCGAATGGTCCGACGACTGACACTGGATCAGCAACACTTGAAGACCATTGGGCAACGTCGTTAATCTGTACAGCCGTCGGTCGTTCGGGGACTTGTACGCATCGAGTGACACCTTCGACAACATCGTAGTCGCTAGCAGCGACGACGTCAACGATGTCTGGTTGAAATACCCCCATTTCGATGAATATGGAGGAGGAAGCAACGTTATGCCTAAAAATAGAATTACGTCCTGTCAACGGCAATTTACTGTTTGACAGTACGTAATAGTAGTACTAGAGTACTAGCCAAGGGAATACTATTAGTATTAATGTTAATACTAATAGTATGATTGATGTGTAATTCCCTTAAGCAATGGTCTTGGATTCAGGGTGCATCGCTAAAGACGCTTTGAATTGCGCGATCGCATGGGGGGTCGTCACGCCATTCGTCGGGGGGATGTTGGGGGAGGACGAGCGCTGGCCCACCACATGCACTTGGAGCTTCCGAGCCGTCGGTCCAAACCAGTCGGAGTAAAAGGCCTCGAGGGTTTCCTTCGTGCAGCGATTGGACTCTAGCCAGTTTGCAACGTCGCGGTTCAGGTCGAACGCTAGTCGCTGGTTGGAAATTTCTGTCCAAAAGCGTTCCGTGGCGACCATCATGGTCACGTCTGGCTCGCGCTTGAGCTGAACTTGGGACTGCACGTGTTGGCTGAACTGGTCAGCCGTGATATTGGCCAGCGTGTGGCGGAACTCTTCCAAGAACGCGTCCATCTCGACGGCGATGGCGGCCGCCGACGCCGACGACGACACCACCGCGAGGCCAAAGCCGAGGATGCCGTGCGTCTCCCGCGCCGTGCACGACACTTCGTAGCCCAGCTGCTTCTTGGTGCGCAGCGAGTCAAAGAGCGGTTCCTCCATGATTTGCTGGAGCAGGTCCGTCAACGCCATTGTCTCAATCGTGTGGTTGGTCATTTGAAAGTAATACTCGACGATCGTGTTGACGTCCTGGTCGTGATCACTTTTTTGCCACAGAATCGTGTTGCTGGACGGCGCGATCGCGCGCACGAGGCGGGGGATCCACTGGTTTTGTGCCGGGGCCGCCACCGTCGCGATGGTCGTCGCAACTTGGTGGATTAAATCCGTGGCTTTGTGGGCAGTCATGTTGCCGTGCACCATGCCCGTAACACTGGCGCCGCGTTGCCAAAGTTCGGTCGAGACGAACTGCCGCATGTCGTGGGCAGTGAACTGCACCGCTTCGTCGAGGAGGGCTTGGTGGGAGAAGCTCGTGCCCAATAGCACGTCGAGTCTGGTAAACTTGGCTTTGGCTTGCACTTTCAACAGCGCGTTCTGGTACTGACGCACGAGTTCGTCCTTGAGCACGGCAAACCGGCTGTCGGCAAACTCCAACCCCACCAGCGTATGCACCATGACCCGAACCAGTTGCGGCAGCTTGTCGTTGAATCCACACGCAAACAACTCAAAGCCGGCGTCCTTGACGTGCACGTCGAACGACAGCTGCGCCACCTGCGCCTGGTATGCATATGCATTCAGTGCATCTTTGACCAGGCGGAGGTACAACCCGCTGGCCATCATGGCTTTGGCGGACTGGATGACGGTGGGGTTGGTCACGGAGCACACCACATGGGCCCGTGGTGTCCGGAACGGAACTCCAGGGTGGTACCAAACAGGCGGTCCGTCGTCGGTCGGGAGACGTCGCGGAGCGTTTTGCTGCGAGTCGCTGACGTGGATGAGCGATAGATCGGTGGGGATGAATGGGTTGGGGGCTTGGTAATGCAAGTTGGGATGCACGCCGCACGTCGACCACCGTGACAACACATCTGGGGCAATCGGTTCTATCACGTACTTGATTCCAAACCATTCTTCTTCCTACAAGCGACAACATAAGTATGTTGTTGACATGACTCGTTAGCAGAAATATTATTTGAACGATTGTGCTTGCTTTTCAGTCAAATTCGCTAATTTAGGTCAACAAATCGACCAAACAAGATATGATTGGCTAAAACGAACGATTGTTGCAATGTGATTGGCTAAAATGATCAAAGGTTCACAAAAATACCTCTTAAACGGAGTTTTACCCCGCTACAACGACAGTGAACGAGGGAGCCACACTTTGAATCGAAGTAGAATCTAAATGTTGAAGTCGGATTGGCCAACTTGGATTATTTTGACAAACCAAACCAACTGGTTTGAAATACATGATTCTGATTGGATATGTACAGCAATATTGAGACGAACTTCCGTGTGGCTTACTTAAATTCACTGTATCGATCGAATATTAGCCGGTCAAAGAGTAGATCCAACCGCCCGAGGACATTTTGAGTAGAAAACACACAAGATATTGTCGATTTGATACAAATTTGTGGAGGGGGTGCAATCGAATCGCGACAACGAAACCGATCCACAATCGATCTGATTGGTTGTTGAATCTCATTGAGACGGTTTTGATTGGTTAATAATTTTGCGCTCGTCTGAAGTAGCCAATCAAATCGATAGAAATTCAAACGAGAAACCACAACACAATGAAATTATTCACTCGAAAGCACAATAATGGGATTACTCCTTCCAACATACCTTCCATGTGACGGCGGAAGCATCGGCAAACGAGCTCGACACGATGTGCAAGCGGAGGTTGTCCACAGTCAAGTGCTGCAACACGGTCGAGTGTACAATCGCCGCTTCAAAGTCGCCTTTGAGCACGTCATACCGCAACAAGTCTTGGGCACAAACTTGAAACATTTCCTTCAAGACAATATCGTCAAGCATTCACGAACAGTGTACTACTCGATAAGACATATTGCATATACGTCGCATGTCCATATGGCAGGGGATGGGTTGGTTGGTACAGTACGTTGTACCTGCATGATAGCCGCGAGTTCTTCGCACTTTTCAATCGCGTCTTGTTCTTCTTGGAATTGGAAATTCAACTCTGTGATCGCCTTGGCCTCGTCGAATATCCACGCCGGCAACGGCGACGCGCGCATCATCGTGAGAAACTGAAACACTACCGTCACCACGTCATGGACATGCGCCAGCCCTTCCGCCGTGAGCTTGATCTCGATCGTAAACACGCTGCCAAACGTGCCGTAGTCGTACCCGTGGTCTTCTGTCAGCCCCGCCGACATCGACAACGCCCACCCTAGGCTCTTGAGCTACATACAGGAAACAGCGCAATGTGATCATAACTATCCGAAACCTATCCATCACCTTTACGTACGGACGTACCAGGAACAAGATGGAGCCTTCGCTTTCATGGCCCACGATCGATGCAACGTAGTCGTGGGGTTTCAAGTGATTGTGCCCACTTAGTGGCGGCAAGCACCACAAGAGGGACACCGTGTGGATGGTTTTCAGCGGCACGATCTGGCACTGCATGGGAGAGGCATCGACGCCTCGTCCGAACGGCTGTGACAACGTTGCAAACGAGGGGGGGGGCACCTGTTTGTTCTGGATGGGGCTGTACGATGTGCGCACCCATGATTCCATGTCGTCGAGGCTGTCTTGTCCACACACCACCAGTTTCATCAAGTTGGCCGAGTAGTGCGAGTCGTAGAACGATCGGACTCTGGCGCGGACGTCGATGCCGCGGGCTGCTGGGATGTCTCGGAGCGACTTTGTATTTCCCCAGTTGAAGTGGTGGAACGGGTGGTGGGCGTCCGCCGTCGTGGCGAGGACTTGCTACGATCACAAGTTGATGCAAAATGCTCAAACTGACCACGGCACCTGAAGGCGAATCTGGTCGCTTGTGGTCGCTTGGTTAAACTCAGACTCGATGGCGCACAGCTCGCGGTCCATCGCGTCGGCTTTCATGAGCGGGGAGATGAAGAACTGCGCAAACATGTCGAGCGCGTGCTGCAGATGGTCCGGCCCGACCTCAAACAAGTAGCTCGTGCGCTCGCAGTCCGTTTCACCGTTGCTGTACCCGCCATGGGCACTCAAAAATGACTCGAACTCGTTTTCGTCGGGGTACTTCTCACTGCCTAACAGGTCGGACGGTCATCACAACGAGGGAACAGCACTGGACGTACCCATAAACAGCATGTGCTCCAAGTAGTGCGCCAACCCACCCAACTCTTGGGGCTCCGAGAAACTTCCGACACCCACGGTCAAGCAGGCACCGGCGCGACGACTGGATGATTTGCCCTTGGACGGGTGGCTTCCCATCGATACGTCCGACGGCCGTCCACGGGAGCCTGCATCCATGTCGCTGTCGTCACTGCAACTTTCGTCGCCATCATCATCTTCGCTTCCATCCTCGTCTTCGCTGTCGTTCTCGTCATCGCTACTTCCATCGGCCGAATAGTCATCGTCAGGTGAATCATCTCCCGGCTGAAACTGGATAAGCAACACTTGTAGGTCATTGTCTAACGTAAGCAAGCGGTACTGCTTGGTGTCATTGGGAGACTTGGTGGCGTCAATGCTGATGTCATGTCAATGAACGACGGGTGATGGAGACAATCGCAACTTACTTTGTCGAGGGCATGTTGGAAAATGTCAGAATTGACCAACCAAATTTCATTCCTATATACTACGTAGTACTGTACTACCGTATTTGTCGTACCTTTGCACCATAGAATTAAATTTGAAGCATTTATTTAAATATTCGAATTATATAATTGATTCGAGATTATATTGAATTATAGAATTATATTCACGTTTTGTATTTCATGGTGCAGAAATACTGTAGTACTACTTCGAAGTATCATGTCAATATTTAGAAATAACTTGACGTTTATCCCGCTCCAAGTCACTTTTCGATTCTCGTTGGACTTTTGGCTCAAGGCATGGCCAAGAGCAATCGCAAGTTTCAACAGGTGAGATCACGACCGCATGTGCATCTACGAAACCACCCTCATGACATCCATCACTACTGTAGCTCCGACGATGAAGGCTAGAGTAAAGAGAAACGGCTTGCGGTTTCAAAAGGAGGTCTAACTCACTCGAAGCGACCCAAGAGAATGGCCGACGAAAGCAGCTCCGCGAAGGGGACGATGAAGCTCCAAGGTGTCAACGGAGCCGCGGTGGACTCGTGTCACTTTATAAGACGACTCGTGTCTCTTTATAATCGTAGGATTGCATGCAGCTCTACGCAGGACCTTGTAGATGACACACCATGCCATCCACGTCAACTGTGACCAAACAACTTTGACAGTCATTCGACTTGTTACGAACTAGTCACGCCATCTTGTGCTGTGTCGGTGGAGTCCTTAATTGCGTCAGTCGACGGCGGCTGCGTTTGGTCAACCTGTGCGTACGCTGCTGCTGCTTCTTGCGGCACTTCCTGGGCATAGCCTTGGGCCACGCCCATCGCGTCGTACCACACACCATGTTGCAACGTCCATCCGGCCGCAAAGTACTGGGCATAGTATGCCGCGACCTCTGGAGACGCAGCCCATTGCTGGCCCCATTGCTGCTGCGCATAATATCCAGCATAATCCACCGCCGCAGCCGCCGCGGTGGGCGGTGGGAAGGCGGTTTCGGGGGTGCTCCCAAACGCAGCAGCCGCAGCAGCAGGGGCTGGCGTCGCTGCAGTCCCCGGCGTGTTGCTAGGCGCAGCGACGACATTGGCGTGTGAGATAACGTTGGGCTTGGACTCGCCAAGCTGCTCCATGAACGACAGGTACTCCTTGTCGATCGTGGCCTTGTCTTCGCCGCCGCTCTTTTGCGTACAATCGCTCGTGGGATGGCTCGTGTCGCCGCAGTTGGCACAGCGCACCTCGACGGGTTTGAACGACTTGTCTCTGTTCGGACATTCCCATTGGCGATGGCCCTTTTCCCCGCAAATGTGGCAGTAGTCGTCGTCCCGCAGCGTGCCGTTGATCAGCGCCAGCTCGCGCAGTTGCTTTTGCTTGTGCGAATTGTTGGTGTCTTCAACAGGTTCCAGCAGCCGCGCCACTTCGACCGCCGCGCGCGCAATGTCCTCTTCGCGGTCGCCCGTGATGAGCACATGCAGCTCCTCGTGGTCGTCCGACATCATCTTCTTGCCCTTGGAGCCTTCCTTGACACTGCCGCGCCCTCGAATGGCAATGCGGCAGTTGAACTCCTTCTCCATGCGCTTCTGCGTGTTCCCGCGCGGCCCGATGATCAGCCCGATAAAGTTGTACGTCGGGTACTCTTTGTGGGGAATCGGGAGCTTGCGCTGCAGTCGCGCGCGAAGGTACTCTGGCGGGGGCTTGAACAGTGGGTTTACTTCCACCAGCTGACCGATGATGTCCATCCGCTGGCTCTCGTACGACGCCCGCATGCGCGCCTCCCGCGTGTTGAGCTTCTTCCCCATCGAGTCGTATACGGGGGGCGGGGACGGCGACCGGTTCGGATCCTTCCCGATGATCGCCGCGTCCTGCACCACCGTCGCCATTTTCAACGCCAGCGCGTCCAACTTTGCGCGCAATACAATCGACTGCTGCTCGGCCGCGGACAATAGGGCTGGCCCGCCGTCGCCTCCAGCCTGCCCCACAGGTGCCCATCTGCTCTTCTTCTTGGGTGCTTCGTCTACTATTTCTGTCGTCTCCACCGCCGCTCCCCAGCGACTTTTCCTTGTCGGAGGTGCGGTGGTCGTCGTCGCGGCTTCGTTGCTCTGTACGTCGCCGTCCTGGTCCCATTTGCTCTTCCGACGACGTTTTCCCTTCGTTTCTGCATCCTCCTCCACAGGAACCTCCACGGGAACAACTTCTTCCTCATGCGATGGTTGGTCGTCGCCGGTCTTTTCAGTGGTCTTTTCAGTGGCCTTGAGGAACAAGCGCTGCACGGCGCGATATGGACTCCACGTCTTCAAATCTTGCCAAAACAACGGAAACGGTCCATATGTCTTGGCATGTTCCGATTGCTCGACGTACCACTTCTTCATGGGCTGGAAGGTTACCCGCATGAGAGCTTCGCGCTCCCGTGCTTCCTCTTGGGCATACGGATCTTCGTCCATCTCGCTCCCTCGGCCAACAACACAATTCGAGAAATCTTACACATCGCCCAAATTAATTAAATTTCACAGGAACTCTTTACCTATATGTAGTAGTACTAATAGTAGTACTAAAAACTATATTTTTATATTTCGTTGGACCACAGCTGAAAAATATCACACTTTGACACATGGGACTTCGCAGTCGAAAGCGCCGACTGGCGGGAATAGCCGACGAAGATGCCTTTGACGTGGAATCTTCCAGCTACAAGTCATCGTCTCGCTTGAGCGGTAAGACGATGCATCCTCCTTTTCTGCCTTCTTCATACCTGTCGTGCAATAGATCACTTGCGGCAATCCCACGACAATGCAGAAGCGTTCAACCTGATCTGGAAGGTGCGTTCATGATTGCTTTCCCACACGTGCACTCACGTCAGAACTATGAAGTAGCAAATCATTGCAGGTCTGGCATATGTGTTGGTGGTGTATGAATTGTGCGTGTTGTGGAAGACGGTGACCAACGCCGCCGCCGTGTCCACGACCCTCGTTGTCGTGCTCGTGTTGATGAAACTGCTGTCGTGTGCTGCCATTTACTCGGTCAAGGGTCTTGTCTCCACGGATGCACGCGGGCATACGTCTTGCGTTCTCTTGTGTGCCCTCCACACGAGCATGTGGCTGCTCTTGCGCGTATTCGACGTCGACGCGACCTCCGTCCGAAACTCCATTCCGCTGTGCACGCTGTACTACCTTTGCGCGACACTAACCGTGTGGTTCATTGGCAACAACGCAAAATCCGAACAGGCGCGGGCGGAACAGCTCCAGCAACTCGAGACCAAGTTTGCCACGGAATAAAAAGTGATCTCAAAGTTGGTTGACATCGTCCATGCGCTCCATATGCGTTTACAGTACATACAATATGCACTGGTATAATAGATATGTAGAAGACGGATCTGCCGGTTCAAAGATAGGAGGTGATAATAGACTGCCGGCTACCACAGGAACCACCCACGAATGAATGAACATGGTAGCTCTGCAAGTCCCGAGGCTATCATAAAGCTTACTATGTCTTAACGGCGGTATCCACCGCGCCCTCCGCCTCGTCCGCCTCGTTGGCCATACCCCGAGTTGTAGCTTTGGTCGTTCCGATTGGACGAATTGTTATCATCTTTGGTTGACTTTTCTTCGTCGGCGGCTGTGACGCTGGTCTCCGTGGGCCGCCGCCCTTCCGGCTCCGTGACGAAGCTTCGTTGGGTCACAAACGTCGTGAGTTGGGCCAACGTGGCCGCCGCGCCGCTCTTGACGTCCTACACACGTCAATTACATCATCGCATTTATAATAATGCACACACATGCACACCACATCACCACGACCGTACCCGGCTCAAGATGGGCACCACGTTCGATTGAATGACACTAGCGAGTTTCAGAAACTGACTTTTGTACTGCCGATGCAACTCAAACCCGGCCGTCTACATATATCACATTACGTACATACTTCACATCAATAACTATATAGATATAGTACAGACCTCCAATGCAGCCAGCAAGATCGGCGCTGTCAACGGGTGCGGCGCCGCATTCACGACCCGCGCCATCCACGTCCATGCGTCGGAGATCGCCAAGTGCGCCGGCTGGGGCTGTCCGTCGAACGGGGAAGTCTACATCTAGTGTCAGGCCGGGGTTTCGGGGTTCTACGGCCGACATACTTGCATCACGGCCAAGAGCAGCGCCACGGCCATGGCCATCCGTTGCGTGTACTTGTCAAATGATTCAAACGAGTGATTGGTATCTTGCTCCATGCCAATCGACAAGCGATACGCGTCGTCCGACTGGCCTTCGCTTCGCACGGGCGTCGTGGGGATCGTATACGGGCACATCTGGTCGAGATGAACCCCATCATGCACAGAACACACTTCATGAGGATGAGAAGGATATATGGAGTTGCTACCGTGTGCATGTGCGCCAAGAAGACATCGGTGAGGTCTGGCGTGTGCACACAGCACATGGCGACGACGTTGGCCACTGGAAAGCACGAGCTAGAAAGTCTGAGGTGAGCGACGATATCGAGATATGGCGGCAGATGCCACCAATATTATATTGTGTTGATTCAAAACAACTGGAGCGATACACAACCAAATGTGCAGTCAAGCATCGGCAACAGCATTTGCCAATCAGATCGCAGGAAATCATCATGAACAACTAATTAGTGTATGACTTTATTGTCGATTTGATACAAATTTGGGGAGGGGGTGCAATCGAATAATCGCGCCAACCAAACCGATCCACAATCGATCTGATTGGTTGTTGAATTTCATTTAGAAGGTTTTGATTGGCTAATAATTTTGAGCTCATCTAAAGTAGCCAATCAAATCGATTTAAATTCCAACGAGAAACCACGAAATTTCACTCGAAAGCACAATAATTCGTGTGATGAGCTTCACAACTGGACATGGTTTTCCATACCAAGTTTCAGTACAAAAAATCGATCGATGGATTTAGCAAATCAGCATAAAAGTCCTAATTTTGGCCCAAAGGACAATCAATACCTGATTTCGGCAATCACGCGCACTTGTGCAGTCAATTTGGACGCGACAAAGTGGAGGGCGAAGTGAAAGTAGATTTCCCCCGCGGCTTTTGCTTCCTACGTGAACGAAACAATCGTGAAGATAGCTATATATAGTAGTACTAGTAGTCGTAGTAGGAGTAGTTAGTAGTACCCCAAACGACTGTCGAATTTTGTCCACTACGAGGCGGATAGACGACAGCGAATTCGCGATTTGATTGCACGCTTCGCCAAGCTACAAACAAACCCACCGTGTCATTGGCGAATACTAGTAGTACTACTATAGTACTACTACTAGGACGACGACAGACCTTTTTCTTGAGAAGCACGCGGATGCGCTTCATGTTAGGGTCCTGGCTGTCAGCAAATGGAACGATGGACGCTTCTAGTTGCTTGAGCTTCTCCATGCGACTCTTGGCAACTAGTACGAATTCGTCTGGAACGTCTGGACGAACGGCTTCATGGGGTTTTGTAGGGGCGACGGGGGATGGCGCGGCTGCCTTCGGAGAGGCATTTGTGGCTCGAGTCGGTGGGGACGCGGGAGGAGTTGGAGGGGGAGATGATGGAGGCGCGGTTTCGATCGGGGTCTGCTTTGGACTGGGGACAAGTACGACTGGTTTTGGAGGAAGAGCAGCCTTGAGTTGAATCTCGAGCCGCTTGACGTTTTGAGCAATCTTGGACAGCATGTCGGCGCGAGATCGTCTCACCTGCATGGCACGTCATCATGAGCTCTGTGATCACGAGAGATATCACACATGGACGGTCATTACCTTTTCCAGTTCAGCATCAATCGTTTGCTGCATCAACGCGTTCTACAAGGATTTCGTGGTGATCACACCACACATGCTTCCAGTCGACCAACCTTTCGCGTGATGTTGCTCGCATCGGACACAAGAGTCACCCGCGCTTCCTCACTCGTTCGTGGCGGCGCTTCAATGGAATGAGGATTCCGTCTCGTGGCTTGAAGGGCTCCGTGCTCGCAGTTCAACCGCACCTGCTGCAAGGCGTCGATGACACCGTCCACGGATGTCGTGCGGCCGTGCCTGTTGTCGTCACGTCTCTTCGCATCGGCGCGTGGGAGAGACAGAATCGAGTAATGTGTCGTTCCATCTGGTAGGTTGACCTGGCCATGTCCTTGCACAAAGCTGACACCGCTGTCATCATCGTCCGCCCACGTCGGCGCCGCTACTCGACCCATTCGCACACCAACTAAATATGGTGTGAAATTGGAAATTGTATAGTTTGGTGACAAATTGTTCCATTCATTTTTGGGTCGAAATTGGATCATCTTCCCAACGTAGCCAACGTAGGGCGTTAGTCCACCATGGTCAAGAAGCATGGCCCGTCGGTCCCTGTGCACGCAGCAGCCCCGAAGAAGGATGAGGACGAGGATGATAATCCGTTCTCGCAGTACTACGGCATGTTGTTGCATCAGCAGAACATGCTACAGGACCACGTGCGGACCAGCACGTACGAGCGCGCCATGATGCAGAACGCGTCAGACTTTCACGGCAAGGTTGTGCTCGACGTCGGCACTGGCTCCGGCATTCTCGCGTACTTTGCCATCAAGGCGGGCGCAAAGCGCGTGTACGCCGTGGAGCTGAGCGCCATGGCGGAATGCGCTCGAAAGCTCATGAACCACAACGGCATGGCCAACAAGGTCGTGGTGATCAAAGGCAAGATGGAGGACGTGGAGCTGCCGGAGAAGGTGGACATCGTCATCTCCGAGCCCATGGGTTTCTTCCTCGTGCACGAGCGCATGCTGGAGACGTATGTGCTCGGTCGGTCCAAGTGGATGAAGCCCGGAGGACTCATGTTTCCCTCCACGGGCACCATGTTTGTGTGCCCGTTCACCGACGACAGCATCTACCAGGAGCAAATGGCCAAGGTAGCGTTTTGGCGGCAGCAGGACTTTTATGGACTGGACCTCAACTGCCTGGTCGACGAAGCCATGGAGAATCATTTTTCCCAGCCCATTGTCGGATACTTTCCGCCGTCGATCCTCATGTCTGCGACACCGATTCAGCACGTGCTCGACTTTCGTTCGATGACCGTGGACGAGTTCCACACGTTTGACATTCCGTTCCGGTTCGAATGCAACCAAACAGGTATGAGTTCGTTATGTAGTTTAGCTGGTTGATTCATCGAGGCTCATCATTGGGTGACCAGCCATCATGCACGGACTCGCGTGCTGGTTTACCGTCGACTTTATCGGGACGGCGGCGACGGTGGTGCTGTCCACGGGGCCATGGGATACAGGCACCCACTGGTACCAATGTCGCATGCTGCTAAAGCAGCCCATCGCCGTGAACCGGTCGCAAACTGTGTTTGGCAACTTGCACTTTACCGCCAACAACAAGTTCAGCTACGACATCAACATGGAAGGTACTTCGGACATGATGATGATCATGACTGGATGGATCGGTTTTTTTGATGGTCTATGTCTAGTGATCCTCGACGGGACGTCGATCTCATCGGCCAACACGATCCGCCTCCAAGATCAAATGTACCACTACATGCATAATGCTGCGTAATCAATATGTCGACTGTGGCTACATCTCGTCCATTCTTTTTGGCGCAGGCTAGATAGATAGGATCGAATTAATCACAATAAACAATGGATAAAGATCGTCTTCTTCATTCCAAATGTTTAAACTAATCCCCCTCTAGGCTGACAGAACAGTTGAGAAGTGGAAACACCCCATTGCCACCTAAGCACAAAAGTGTTTGTGAGTGCTACGAGGCGCGGTTACGACGAGGAATGCCGTACGTGCGGTCCTGACAGGTCGTCGCACGGAGCGGGGCTTGGCTTCCTGAACTACATTTAATCGGTCTTCTTGCGGAACGAGCAACCTTCGGTCAAACGAGCCTTGCCGCCGGTAGGTTGGCAGAGCATGACGCTGCAGCTGCCGCACAACACGACGGTTTGGGCGTGGCTGAAGACAGTGGTGCTACAAGGACATAAGACTACGAACGGGAGCGTCGCAACTGGGTATCGACTTACATGTTGAAGCACCCAGGGCACTTCACGTCCATGAAGAAGGAGTTGGGGGCTTGTACCAAGCGCTTAAGCTTGTGCTTGCTGCGTTCTTCGGTGGCAGTAGGGTGGAGAAGATCACGAGGCTAGACCAGGCACTCACATAAGCAATCTTCATTCATCGCCATCATCAACTTACCATAGTTTTCAGCTAGAGCAACACACTGGAAGAAGACGAATGCTTAATGCTATTTACCCCGGCGCCCTCCAACACCAGTCAATTTTTGCCATCCAAACTTTATCCGGACGATTGCTTATTTTCCGTGTTGGCTGGCTGAGAACCCTCGTCGAACCTATTTTGTGCAAAATACCGCTCAAACTTTGTCGAAATTTCGAATATCCAACGGAAATTTGGGAATTCGTTCCACGGAATTCGACTATTGCAAGCAAGTTTTGCCGACAGTTTGACAATTCTCGGTGATTTAAATTGTTTTCAACCATTTGCTGAATTGCCGATCATATCAAAATGGCTTTTCCCCCGCCTTCTTATTCTGGGATGAGGGAGGCTTCATGCACACACACTCGAAAGGCCAAGGGCTGCTGTAGCTAGTTGACAAGCGACGTTTAGCTACGTAGCTAAACGTGGCTTGTCAACGACGGACAATATCATCGATATTTGAACGTTGAGAACCATCCCGTCACAATCAGTTGGCGCAGAAATGTCATTGGCAAGACTGTAGCGGGAGTTCTATCCGAAGTTAAGCAAGCTTGAACCCTAGCATCGCTGTGGTTTCGCCCGCATGAGTCTATGACTATTTTTGTGGCTCAAACGTTCCCTTGATTGCATTTTGGTGGTTTCTTGACGTAGGTAAGCTTACAGTAAAGGTCAGACGGCAAGGTCTGAACTCGACTAGGGGGACAATATGTATGTCACCCGATATTGACTGGTAGTTCCTCCTATAGGCATTTCCATGTCCATCATACAGTAGGCATGTTGTGGAGGAGATGTCGGTAACTCTCATGGAGCGCGGCGTTGCCGGGCTTTTGCTGCGTCCACTGGTGCGGTGCGACAATGATCGTCAGCGCAAACGGGTAAAGCTTCCTGCGATTCCATTGGCTACAATCTGTCGAGGATAAGGTTTCATTGGTAAAGGGCGTGGGCAGTAATGCACCAGATCAGCAAGCGTACCCTCAAAACGAAACTCGCGTCCGTATACACACCCACTTTTCCTTCCGATTGTTGGCACCATGACCTCGTCTCGACCGAAGATCATCCTCTTCAGCGGGGACCTCGCGGCTACGGATTCCCCAGGTCAACCCAGCACCAACTACGCCGAGCTGGGCTACGACATCAACACTAAAAAAGCAGCCGCCAAGAAGTTTGACGCGCATGATGACACCTCAGCGTTCCACCAGCAACACTACCAGCAAGCCCAGCCACCTCAGCAGCCGCCGCACAAACCAGGTCCTGACTACGTGAACCTCCAGGCATTTGGCCAAGCTTATGCTATCGGCAGCAAGCACATGAGTATCGCGCAATACAGGCGCGCCACCAAGCTGATGGCGTACGGGGCTGCGGCGGGGATTGTCTTGGGGGCGGTTCTCATCAACTGGGGAAGCATCAATGAAGACTCTAGCATTTCAGCAAATGTCGGTCGATGGATCGGTCTTGTGGGCCGGCTGTACTTGCGCGCAGTGTTTTGCATCGTGCTGCCCATGGTGCTGGCGTCGATGGCGCTGAGCATTGCCGAGATTATGCGCATCGGCAAGGGCGGGCGCATCGCGTGGCGGGTGATGGGGTACTTCCTGCTCACCAAAGTGTTTGCAGTGTGCATTGGGCTCGCAATGGCGCTTGCATTCAAAAGCGAGTTCACGTCGCTGGCGGTCAAGGCTCAACCTACCCCCGGGCTCATGTACCTCCGCTGCGGCCAGAGCGCCAACACGTACGTCGTGGCGTCGAGCACGGGCGCCGTGTCCTGCGAGAACAAGACCCTCGAGAACACTGCCATGGCTACATTCGTGGTCAAGGACACCAACAATGTATTTGCCCGCAACATTGACCCGAACGCCGTGCCCTCCGTCAAGTTAGCCAAGTCCGTGCTGGCCCTAACCAACGACATCATTCCCGACAACGTCGTGCGCGCGATGGTGTCGACCAACATCCTGAGCATCGCCACGTTCGCCATGATCTTTGGCGCCGCCGTGTGCAAAAACTATCGCCAAAACTCGACCGGTACCCACTACGTCATGGACATTCTACGCCAAGTCCACTTTGTGTGCGAACTGTTTGCCGAGTGGCTGCTCGTGCTGTCCCCGTTGCCGTTGTGCTTGCTCATCGCGAGCGCCGCCGCGATGGGTCAGTCTAACGCGCAAGTGAACTTTGCATCGTCGTGCGTTTACTTTGTCATTGCGTACTTGTCGGCGGTGGCCATCTACTCGGGCCTTGTCCTGCCGCTGCTCCTGTACGCCGCGACCAAGACCAATCCGTACGTGTACTTGTCGGCGATCGTGCCGGCGCAGGTGTTTGCCTTCAGCTGCTCGTCGTCGTCCGCCACCATTCCGTTTACGATGCGGTGCGTGGAATCGTCGCTCCAAGTCAGCTCTTCGCTCAACCGGTTTGTGGTGACGTTGGGGGCCCCGTTGAACAAGGACGGCACGGCCATCTACCTCCCCCTGGCGATCGTGTTCCTCGCCAAGGTGTCGAATATCACGATCGACGGCGCTAGCTACCCGCTCATCCTGGTCCTGAGCATCCTCGCGTCCGTGGTGACGCTGCCAGTGCCCAACGCGGCGCCAGTGACGCTGTATGGCATTTGGGCCGCCGTCCAATCGGAAAACTTCCCCGCCGCCGTTTCGTTCTTGACTGGCATCAATTGGCTCATGGATCGACTGACCACCGTCGTCAACGTCACGGGGGACGCGGTCGTGGCCAGAATCGTCGCGCACCATGTCGACGAAATGGCCGTGTCTGACAGCGACACGGCGTGTCAGACTTTGTATTAACAATGTAGGTAGGACGAAGTAGCGATGGAGTTGCACACAAGTGCCAGAGCTTCGCAGATTTATCAAGCCCTTTTACGTGGTCATGTCGAGGCGTATTTGAGGCGTAGTTGTTGTAGTATGTTATGATCGCCATTACATGGAGAATCACTGCGCAGCCCTCAACGCAATAATACTTCATGTAAAAAATAACGTGTTTACGGAATAAAAACGACACTTTGACGAAAAACGTAATCAATTTCATGTGCGTGATAATATAAAACGTTGCCTACACCCACACGTTGAACTATAAAAACGTAATTTAACGGTGTTCATATACACACCTCCAAATTGGTTTTCGCGATAGTATCGAAATTCATGGCCGATCTTTTGGTATGTTCTGCGTCAACAATTTCGTATTTCTCAAAACTTATTCGCAAAAGAATGAATGTCGTACAGTATACTAGTGGCACGGACTGTTACTATAGTGTAAACTCAACGTCGAGTCCATGGATATACATGTATTAAACTTGTCGAGTTGCCTACTAGGCGTCGTTCTCACTGTCGCTGTTCGCGTTGAGCTTGGACAGGACTCGGCGGACGTACTCGGTCAAGAGTTTGCCTTGATCGGACACTGCGGCAAAGTCGGCGATGGTCGCCGGTCGAGAGTGCACTTCCAACAAATACAACAGCGCCCGTTCAGCCGCAAACTTGACTCCAATGTTGGGGCTCTTGATATGGACAAAGGTGGGGGCGACCAGTTGGCCGAGGAACGGTCGGGTTGTGGCGGACGTGTGCTTGGACACTTTTTTCACCACACGAAGGGCGGCACGGAGAACGTCCTTGTTGGCGTCTCCGAGGCCAGCCACCACGGACGGAACAAAGTCGGCAAATATAGCCGGGAACCGGGAAATGGCAGCCGTCGTGGCTTCGAGAGCCGCGATCCGGACCAGTGGCTTGTCGTCCCGGGCCAACACGACCAAACGGTCCTGTATTTGCCCTGCCAAGGCATCATTCACCCAGGTATGGGTAGACGCCAACGCATATTGCAACAGCAGCGCGGAGCTGTGCTTTCGCGTCCATGTGGAGAGGCTGACGGAGGTTAACACGAGGTCCGCAAAGTGACTGGCGCCAATCTCGTCAGACAGGTCGAATATGAGCCCGATCGAGCTGCTTGCCACCGTGCGCAGCACGTCTTCTTCGCTGTCCAAGCAGTCACGAAGCGACTCGTACAGCGCTTGGAGGGTCGCGGGGGACAGTTTGCTGCCGACCAACGACAGCGTGGCCAAGATGGCTTGGAGATTGGCTTCCTTGACGCCGCCGGTGCTACTGCCCAGCTTATCGAGCAACTCCGACACGAGGGGGTCCACACGCGGAGAGAACTTGACCAGCTGGGCCAAAGCGGTGCCGCCGCGAGTGCGCACTTCGCCGCTCGGGTCGTTCAAAGCCTTGACAAAGGTCGTTTGCAGTTGCGGCAAAAACGGTTTCAACGACGCGCCGCCCTTGACGAGTAAAATCTCGAGCGTCGACAGGATCGCCGACTTGACGTGGGGCGGAAAACGGTCGCCGGCAATGCGAATCAGCGGCCCCGTGAGCTTAATCAAGACCGACTTCAAGCACACGTCGTTGGACAGCAGCACGAGCTCCCCGATGCCCGCGGCGGCGCTCTGTCGCGCTTCGGGCGTTCCGGTCATGAGTGCAAACTGGTATGCTGGCAAGAACGGCTCCAGTCCCTTGGGCAGGGTGAGCCCCGGCAGCAAAAACTCGCCCGACCCGACGCCGCCCTTGCGATGCCGCGCGTCGCTCACCATCGAATTGAGGTTGTTGCGGATGAAGTCAATATGCTTGGCCAGTTCGTCCGGACGAATGGTCGTGTTGAGGCTGTTGAAACTGTGGGACGCGGCTTGGACGACACTCGCGTCGGCGTCGTTGAATCGGTGCAGAATGTACCGGATAAACGTCGGCACTTGCTCGTTGTAGTTGGCCGTCGTGGCTTGGCAGAACGCAGAGATCAACCAGCACGCCAAGTACCGCGCTTCGACGATATCGCTGTCGCAAAACTTGCACATTTCACTCGACAGCCACTGGACGCCTTGGTCCTCGACGCTCAGCACCAGCGCCTGCAGCGTGGTCTTGATTGCAGTCGTCATGATGTCGTCGTGTTTGCCCGCAAACGACACATACTCCGAGAACAAGACGCCCATGATGCGGTCAATATGGTAGTGAATCACGTGTCCACTGACGGATGCGATGTGCGCGATCGCGCGGACATGTGCCTGGGTCAACGGCGTCGTGAGCAGGCGGGGGATCAGGTACGGCAGCACTTCGCGCGATTTAGCCCGCAGCACTTCTTGCAGCCCGTACAACGCTCGGCGCTGGGCTTCGCCTTCGGTGGATTGCACTCGTCTCAGCAAGCGCGGCACCACTTCGTCGATGGAGCGGTAGCCCATATTCTTGTGGAACACGTTGAACGCTTGACCGGCGGCGGCGCGCACTTCGGGCGTGAAGTCGCACAGCGCTTCTTCAAGGGCATCGACGAGGGTGTCGACAAAGTCCTCGAGTTGTTTCTTGGATGAGCTGCCAATCACTTCCGACAGGCCAAGGCACACACCTTGGCGCATACCGTCGGAATTGGCAGGTGCGAGGCCGGAGCGGAGGATGGGCACCACTTCGGGCATGACGCGCTCGCCCAACTTGCGCACGATTTCTCCGAGGGTTCGTCCGGCCACCGCTTGCTTTTCAAAGTGGCTGCCGGCCAACGCCTCGACAATCGTGTTCATGAGCGTCTCCAAGATGGATCGGAGCGTTTTGGGGGTGTTGGACACGACGCTCTTCCACACACCGAGCGACGCCTGCCGCACGATCGCCGAATTGTCCGAGCGGACCATGTACAGCGACGACAGCACCAGGTCACGGCGGGTCTTTCCGAGCACGCGTAGGATCGCGCGCTCGCCGGCGGCGCTGCCGACGCTGTCGTCTTCGTCGTCGCTATCGGCGGCGTTGTTGGCGTACACGACCTTGTTGCCGCTGGTCCCGCTGATGCGGTACAGCAAGTCGCCCAGTAGCGAGATGGAGCTTTGCCGGATGCGCCAATTGTCGTCGAAAATGCCGGCTTCCAGCGACGGCAAGATGTCCTTGGTGTGCGTCAGTGCATGCGCAGTCACGACAATCGACCCGGCGTGCATGGCTACTTCCCGGACGCCTTCGACTTCGTCCGACAGACCCGCCACGACCATGGGGAGGACGCGGGTCAAGTACCTGGAAAAGATTTGACCGAGGGCTGGAGGGAGAAACGCAATGACCCACAACACCCCCTCGCGGACAGCCGACTTGGGGTGCCGAGCGATGGGGAAGATCTCTTCCTGCAAAAACGTGTCCAGCGAGTCCATGCCGAGGGCAACCAGCACCTCGCACAATCCCTGGGCCGACCCGGAGCGCTCGACGGCCGAACTGTCGGCCTTCATGGCACTGAGAAGCGACGACACGAGCGTCGGAAAGTGGCTTTGGCCGAGTCCCTTAACGAGCATCCCGAGTGCTTTGGACGCCACGGTGCGGACTTCGGGGATCGGATCGAGCAGTTGCGCGAGCAGACACGGCGCGATCGTGTCGAGGTACGGAACCAAGTCCTTGGCGTCGTTCACCATGGAGCACATGTTGCCGACGATCAGCGCCGCCTTCTTCTTTGTGTCTGACAACCGGTCCATGAGTCCGCGCTGGAGAATCGGCATGATGAGTGCCATCGACGGCGCGTCAATCGAGTGGACAAACACCATCGACTGCAGCGCCTGTAGCGCTTCGTTGGTCTTGCGGTTGGGGTCTTGGATGCCAGCGAGCAGCACGGACGAAATCGACGACACTTCAGGGTTCCGGATCACGTGGGCGATGTCGTGCATCGCAGAATGGCCGGCTTCCTTGACCCGCGGATGCGAATCCGAGAGGGACTCGGTCAGCTTGGGGATGATCTGGGGCAAACACGAGCCCAGTTGTTTGGGCGCGCAAAACGCCATCGCCCCGAGCAGTTGGATCGCCGCCTGCTTGGTCCGCCATTGCGAGTCGTCCACGGCGCGCAGAATCGACGGCAGCACCAGCTTGACACCGTGCGCCGACAGGTTCTTCATGATGCCCTTGGACGTCAAGCTGGCCGCGTCCCGGACGCTTGCGTTTGTGTCGGCAAACGACTTGAGCAAGATGGGAAGGATCACAATCACATATGGCTCGAAGAGAAAGCCCAGACGCGCACACAAACACTCGATCACGGTCAACGCGCCTTGACGCGAGTTGGAGTTGGCACTCTTCATGGCTTCTTCCAAGCGCGGAATGATCGCATGCTGTTTCAACGCGGCGATTCCAAGTCCTTTGACGACGGCAGACACGCCGAACGCTGCGCCCATGCGGTCGCCGTACGTTTCGCCCTGGGTGGCATCCGTGAGCAAGCTGTTGAGAATGTCCGTGCTTTGGTCTTTGACCGCTGGAATCAACGGCGACAGGCACAACGCGATCGCGCGCTGCACAGGTTCCGACGGAATCTTGAGGCTGTCGAGCAGACGCTGGACAATCGACGCTACTTTCGGGTCGGCTTTGTCCATGTGGCGAGCAAGGGATCCCAGGAACACCACCATGCCTTCCTTTTGGTGGTCGAACGCGGCAATGTCTTCCGGCGACGTGCCTGGGGCCGCGTACGGCGCCTCCAAGATGGCCACGAGCTCGGCAATGTTGGCCGCGCCGTACGTGGCGATCACTTGGACGCCGGCTTTGCGCATGTGGTGGCGGACGTCTGCGCTTGAGTCGCCGAGACCGCGTTCAATGATAAACTTCAGCACGTCCACAACTTCCGACGGCGTCAAGATCGTTTCCAGCGCCGTGTGTTCAAACAGAATCCCAGCTCCCACGCGAGTCAGTAGCGTTGCCTGAGCTTCAACCAGCACGTCGTGGTGGTTGTTGGGGCGACGGTGCACGATGGGGATGCCAAACGAGTCGACTTGGCTCGCGTCCGTAGGCACCGGCAAACTCGCGATGAATCGGGCGCGCACAATGTCCAACACCGACCGCACTTGGTCCCGATGGCGCTTCAATCCATGGGCCAATGCTGTGCCAGCGCTTTCTCGAATACATGCGTTGGGGTGGCTCAGGAGCTGGAGGAGCGGCTCGGTGAAGTTGTCGGGCAGATCCAACGCCAGCGTAGCCCAAATATGCTGGGCCACTTCCTTGTTGTCGTCGTCCTTGTCGTAGCACGACATAAAAATGGTGCTGCTAAACGCTGGCTCTGGCGCGTCGGTGATGTCCGACCCTTGACGGATAGCTTGGAGCGTCGCGCGTCGGGAAAACACTTTGGACGACAAGAGGCCCGCGTCCCCCAACAAGGGCGCGAATTCCGCCGACGACAGCGGCGACCCCGCGGTGAGCTGGGCCAGGACCTGCGCGGCGGCTACCCACCCGTCGTTCTCGGCGCGGGCGAGCCACGACAAGGTCAGTACGATCATGGATTCACGGAGCAAGCGTTGCGCGGCCACGTCACCGACTTCCATCTCGTCCTCTTCCTTGATCATCTTGGCATGCACGGAAAAGAGCGGCAGAATGAACTGCTTGAACCGACTGGTGGAGGACGTGTCCAGAAACACAGCCAGAATCGGATACACCAAGTGAAACGTCGACGGCGGTAGCAAATTGTACTCGCCGTCCAGTTCAAAGTCAGTTTCCGAGTCCATTTCGTAGCCAAACACAGCGTTCACGAGGGCCTTGAAGAGGCGCTCAAACAAGTCGTTGGACGCCGCGAGGGTCGCCTTGGCCTGGTCCGAAGGGCCATGCGTGGCCACAAACGCGATTTCTAACCCCTTGGCGAGTTGGTTGGAATACACGCGCAAATGCGTAGGCACGACACAGCGACAGATGCTGCGAAGGCTGGATTGGGCAAACGTCGACAGCAACGGACTGCCAAGCAGCGACAGGACCGGCTGGACCAAGTACGGTAGCGCGGCTTGGATTTCGTCGGGGGAGGTCACGCTCAGGAATGTCAAAAGCGAGTCGATGCGGGCGACGACCGTGTACGCGGCACCCACGCGTCGGCGCACTTGTTTTTGTTGGTGGAGGAGGTCCACTTCGTCCTTGGTCAGCTTCTTCTTAGCGTCCGCCGCCTTCGTACCCAACAGCCCTCGTTTGCGTTCGATTTCCGCTCGAACTTGCTGTTCCCAGCGTTCGTCGGCCGTGCCGTGGTCGCGATAGGTGGCGGCGGCGGCGCTTTCGTCTGCCTTTTTGGCCACGTACAGCTCGTCGTCCGGGGTGTGGTAGATGGCCACGTCGTCGGCAGTGACAGCCGTGATATCGTCGCGCCCCAACCGGTGCGCCACTTGGTCCTTGAGCAGGCCATGCAGGACCAAGTGCTCCCCCACGCCATTTCCGGCAAAGTTGAGCAGCGTTACGATCGCCCGATGGCCACTAAGGCGGGTGTTGTGCACGTCCGAATACAAACTGGCGAGCACGGCGTCGACGGTGGCCGATTTGAGGCGTGGAATAAACTCAAAGAGATCGTCGACCGCGTCCGACACGGTCAAGTCCTCGTCCACGTGCTCGACAAAGCGTTTCTTGATGACGTTCCACTCGCGGCTAAACTTCACTTCCTGGGCGCCAAACACGAGCAATGGATGGTGCGTGAGCAGCAGCAGTCGCGGCAGCAGCTCCACGGCCAAGTCGCTGTCGTACACTGTGGCCGGCACGAGCGTCCGCAGATTCTTCCGGAGCACCCCAGACATGGACGTGCCCACAGACTTGTCGGGCACGTTGTCCTCTGGCGACACGATCTTGAGGTCGTTCAAGTCCAGCAATCCTTGCGCAAACGCATCGAGGAAATGCACGCTCGACCACGTGTTGGCAGACACAAACGACGAGATTTTGGCTTGGAATGTACTGCGTAAGGACGCATTGGCGTGGTTGATGCCGCTGATGAGAAGGCCAAAGAGTCGATGGTTGGACGGCGTAGACTAAATATGTGCACACGATTTAGCTATTGGATCCACAAGTCGAAAAGGTCAACGAAAACGTACACGAGTAAGCACCGACGTGATTGTTTGAGGTAACGCTTTCAGCACAGCCACCTCAGGCGAGTCGATGCCGGCGGCGGGGACGGACGGGGGGCTGCTGCTGCTGGCTTGGAGCAGGAGCGCCGCCGACGTCGCGAAGAAGCTGTCGTTCACAAGGGCGGACGGCACATCGAGGACGGATGCGATCTGGTCTGGGTGGCTTTCGTGGAGCGACGCCAGCACAGACAGAGCGAGCACGCCATCCAAGTGGAGGACGTTTGGCTTCTTGTTGGCGGTGTCTACCACCCTGACCAATTCGCGCACAATGGACGCATCTTGAGCCAGTGCGGTGCTGACGGTCTCGCGGGCACTTAGCAGGGCGTACGCGTGCGCGACGACGGCGCTGTCCACCTTGTGTTGCAGCCCCGACGTGAAAAAAGCCGAAATATCTGCCGGCAGTGTATTCGTCGTTGGGTGGAGAAGCGATAGCCACTGACTCACGGTTTGCAGGCCAATGTATCGCGTTCCTTCATTTGCTTCCTTTGTAGACGCTTGAACAAGACTGGGCAGGACCAACGCCGCCAGGTCCGCGGCGGCCCCTTCCCACGCCGGCGCATGAAGCGATGCGTTGTACAGAGTCGTGAACACGGCCTCCCGCTGGTAAAACTGGGCGAGGATGCCGTGCTTGCCGTCCAACACGCCGAGCACTTCAGTCAAAATGGTCTGGACGTGCGCAAAGTCTGCGCAGCGACGCAGCACCGCGTCCACGAGTCCAATGCAGTTGATGCGCACGTCGTCTTTTTGCGATCGGAGTTTGGCGGTGAACACCGGCACGAACATGGGTCCCAAGTACCTACACATGCATTTACATGACAGATGTCCTCGATATTTGTCCATTTGGAATAGGATGACGTACAGGCCCAGGTCGATGCGCAGGCTTTGCGTCATCACGCGCACGGCTTGAAGCAACGAGTCCGGCGATCGCTTAAGCAGACGACTCAGAACGGGCTCCACGATGCTAGCGAATTCGTCGGCAGAGATGGTCGAGACAAAGCCGGCATACGATTGCAATTGCGAGTCCGTGGGTCGAACTTTGGCTTCCAGCGCCCAATACGTGTAGCTAGTGAGCAATCGGAGCCGTTGGGCGTTCGAGAATGTGGCCGCAAAGGTCTACAGAGCACTCATCCCGTGAGAACATATTCTTCAGCGTGATGGTAGCTACGTACGTCAACGAGCAGCTTGGTCAAGTGAAAGCGCGTCTGGAACGTCGCGCTGTCCGCGGCCGTCGACGTGGTGCTGATCGCGTCGAAATAAAGCTCGAAGTACGCCGGGGAGGACTTGACGAGCTGTAGAATGGACTTGTGGCCGCTAAGTTTCAACCGGGCGTTGTCGGTGTCGGACGTGGCCTCGAGGATCGAGACTTGTGCGTGGATCAATGGCTTCAACGCAGGAGAACTACCAGATGTTATTGCATTGTCATGGCGGATCAAGCGAGAAAGCATCCGAATGGCAATCACACGAGCCGACGCGAACGAATGCTGAAACGTTTGCACTTGGGCCAGGAGGCGCTCGCTAAACACGGCATAAAACGCCGCATCTGCCGTGAGAAACGTATCCAGAAGCTTCAAAATGAGACTGGCACTTGAGCTCTTCTCGCAATGGAAGGACGCGTTCAGTAGCAAGGTACTGGTTCGTTTCAACTGCGGTGTGACCTTGAAGCTTTCCTCGCACGATACCTAGCGGTCATGGACGTTAACGGAGACCTGACGGCATTGGGAATGGTCTGGACGTACCACATGAGCTGGGATCGTGGATGCTGATGGTCGGTGGCATATATCCTGCAGCAGCCTCTCAAGGATGTTGCTGTCGCCGCCCTCCATGTTTGTACCAAAGAAAACGATGACAGCCGAAATCAATGGCCTGCCACAAGTTTACGACAGAGTGATGGTCTTCTAGTAGTACTACAAACACCAAACACTTTGACCGCTAGTATTCCTAGACAGGGCGAGTTTTAGGGATTTTGACTTAATCGTTGTGAGGAGTAGTAGTATGTAATTTGTATGCACCGGATTGATTATAATATTGTCAAATCGATTCGAAACTGGAGCCCTCAGCAGAATCGAATGTCTTAGGAGAATCGATTTACTGTAAAGAACCGACTGAGCTAATCAAATTACGTCATGTCGAATTTCTACTGGTAAGCGTTTGACCCCTCCGAATCCCATACTATTAATAGTATATACTAATCGTTGTAAAGTATAGTGTGTACAATATTAAATAGGATCAAATCGATTCGAAAACTATTTGGCGAAATGACTCTCAAGTCCAAATTTGGGTGAAATGCACAAAACCATCTCATTTGTTTTGATATCGAACAATTGAAACACAGCATGAGAAAGGATACCAGAGAAAGGTGCGTCTCTCCATGCTCAATCACTGATCTGATTTTATCCGAATCCGGATAGACGTAGCACAGGTATGGCTTCTGGCGGGTTCAAATTACTACGTAGTATTGGAATAGAGGGGTTTTACTCAGAAATCAATGTGAGTAATGAGTAATGAGTCTGATCGCACCGAGCGCGCCACCCAAAACTTTTTCACATGTCAACGCCGACAGCGAGGCAATGATTATTGACTTTGCTTGCAGGTCTTGGTCGCCGTATGCCGTGATAGGGACGAAAGAATAGGAGGAAGTAAGGGTTTACAAGTGAGTTATTGAAGGTTAAGCTAGCTAGGAGTCTGACAGCCAGTGGTTCGAAGGCCACAGCTGGGTAAACTAATATGTAGTCCTGTATGCAATGTATCTACAGTGTACTTTCTGAAGATGGGAATTGATTGGCCGTTGAGTGTCGTGTGGTCGTAACGTCTCGTCCCGATGCGCCTTTAGTAATGCGTCTATGGGCAAAAACCACAATAGCCTCCCATGCCCATGAAACGCATGGCTCCACGCAGTTTGTCGCCGGTCACATGCTTGGTGAACACATCGGCGGGCATGATGTTGGTCGGGAGGTAGGTGAGCTTGAACTTGCCACCACGCACCATGTCGCGGAGGAAGTAGAAGCGCAGCGCCAAATGCTTGGTACGCTGGACGCTGGATTGGTTGGAGCCGATGGCGATGGCGCTCTGATTGTCGAGGTAGAGAGTGATGGCTTTACCATTATCCTTGATGCCAAGTTCGTCCATGAGGTTGTCCAGGTGGATTCCATGCTGGGCGCTGAGACACGCACCTACGTATTCCGCTTCAGTGGAAGACAAAGTCACGAGTGCTTGTAGCTTCGATCGCCATGAGATTGGCCCGCACGCGAGCATCCATAGATAGCCGCAGGTTGAGCGTCCTGTAGGTCTGTCGTCGGCCCACGAGGAGTCTGAGAAGCCGATAAGTTCGCTGCTGCCGGCTGGTTGGCCGTGGTACGTGATTCCAATGTCCTTGGTGTGTAGAAGGTAGGCTACTGTGCGCTTGGCCATGAGCATGTGCATGTGGTGCGGTGTCGACAGGTGGCGGGAGAGCTGCGTCACTGCGTGCACAATATCGGGGCGCGTGGACATGGCGCAGTATAGCAGGGAGCCGACAATCTGCCGGAACGGTTTGTCGTCGTCCAGTGGTAGGCCAGCGTCTTCGGTCATATGGGTGCCGGCTGGTATAGGCGTGTCGACGCGCTTGCTCTTGTCCATGCCGTACTTGACGGCCATTCGCTCGATGTACGTTCTCTGAGTGACGTACATTGACTTGTCGCCTTCGTTGCGGTCGATCTCCATTCCGAGCAGCTTGGAGATGGGGCCGAGGTCGTTGAGTCGGATACGTTGCTGCAGGTGAGTGAACACGCTTGTGATCTCGTTGTCGTCACTAGCGCAGACCAACACGTCGTCCACGTAGATGGTCACGATCTGGAGGCGGCCATTCACTCGCCTTGTGAACACACAGCTGTCGCTTGACGTGGCTGCGAAGTCCAGATCTTCCAGGATGGCCTTGAAATGTTGGTACCATAGCAGCGCGCTCTGCTTTAGGCCGTAGAGGGCGCCGAGTATACGCCAGACCATGCCGCTGGCTTCGAACCCGTCGGGTGGCACCATGTAAAGTTCGCGGTCGCTCTTGGCGTGGATGTATGCATTCGTAGCGTCGCCTTGGCGGCACTTCATGCCTGTGGCCGCGACGATGGCTAGGATTAGCCGTAGAGAGTCGCCTCTGATGACGGGCGCGTATGTTTCGTCGTAATCAATTCCATATCTTTGCGCAAAACCCTTGATTACGACGCGCGCCTTGAAGATCTGAGTACCATCTGGCATGTCCTTTCTCTTAAACACCCACTTTGACTTCAATGTGCGCGTGCCGTCTGGTGCCTGGGAGAGTTTGTAGCATTCCATTGCTTCGAGGTTACCTATCTCCTTCCTGCACGCTTCCAGCCAGCCGGTCGCGTCAGCTGACTGCATGGCTTCGCGGAAAGTCGCGGGCACGTCCTCGTCCACGTCTGTGGCGTTGAAGCACACATCGTAAGCTGCATTGGCCGCGTCGGATGAGTCGTCCTGGTCGATGGGATGTTGCCACGGCACCTTGGTCGCCACTCCGCGTGTGCCTTCCGTCCGCATTGTCTTGTGCGGTGATTGTCCGCGGTCGCTCGCTTTCCGCTCTGGCTGTGCGGTCGTGGCGTTTGCGATGATCTTGTTCCTCGACGCCGATCGCTTGGATTCGACGGCGGTGGCCCGTGCTGCATGTCTGGCGGCGTCCAAG